CTGGGAGGCAAGTGAAAAAACAACTTCTCCACAGCCAAAATAGATGGCAAAGTCCATCCGCTAACCCAGGTGGCATTCTTTCAGGTTGACAGTCGAAAGATCATAGACTTTGGAGTCAGAAAGTCCTAAAACTTGAATGCCAGTTTCACCACTACTACCTGTGTAAACCTGGGGAGATTTACTCAACACTTGGAGCCTCCATCCTCTTGGCTAGGGATAATCGTACCTAGGTCGTAAAGGGTGTTTCAGGGGCCAGGCACGGTGGCACATGCCTGTAATCCCAGCACTTTGGGAGGCTGAAGCAGGTGGATCACAAAGTCAGGAATTCAAGACTAGCCTGACTAACATGCTGAAACCCAGTCTCTACTAAAAATACAAAAATTAGCCAGGTGTGGTAACAAGCACCTGTAATCCCAGTTACTCGGGAGGCTGAGGCAGGAGAATCATTTGAACCCAGGAGGTGGGGAGGTTGCAGTGAGCTGAGATCATGCTACTGCACTCCAGCCTGGGCGACAGAGCAAGACTCCGTCTTAGGGGGAAAAAATATTACAGGGAATAGCAGCTTCCGGCATGTAAGGTGCCTAATGCTTTGCCTGGTGCATAATCATTAAACAATAGAGAGGCCGGTATTATTCTACTACACCAAGCTCTGCAGGCCCTTTGAATGTTTCCATTCCCAGGGTGTAGCTAGGCTTCCCTTACAACTCTCCAATTTCATTCAGGGCTGTCGATAGTTGTTACTTTGTGTATTTCTACAACCACATGTTGATTAATCTGGAATTTTTATACTTAGCCCTTTTCTCTTTCTGTAGCTCCAGGGAGACTTCTGAAAAAAGGGCAGGAGTTCTCTGGGAATTGTGGCAGATGCAGCCCCAAGGCAGAGAGAGAAGCTTTCAGGGCAAGGCCGTGTGTGTCCTCTAGAGAGAGACTAGTGCCAGCCCAGGCCAGCCGGGAACAGAGAAGGAAGCGGATCCTGACCAGCTGCCATACCCCGGCTGCCTGCATAAAACTCCCAGACAGGAAGGTAAGTATCGTGCCACCTGACTCCGCTGCTCAGGGCCAAGGACCTTCTTGTGCATCTGTACATCCTCAGTGGCTGGCCCAGTGCCGGGCACGTGGTAGGCACACTGGTTTGCCAAAGGGCACTAAAGTAATTGTTGAAATGCAACAGGGCTTCAGAACAAACACACCTAGTATTTCCATCACCAACTCTTGTATTGTAATTCAATTCTATGTATTTTGGAGAAGTTACTAAATTTTTCCAAGTCTGTTTTCTCATCTCCAAAACAAGGATAATGTTAGCATCTGGGCTGTAATGTTGCTGTGTGATAATGTTGGACAAAACGCACATAAAGAGTTGAACACATACCTGATCGATCATATGCTCAATCAGTGTTAGTTACTGCTATTATTATCTGTGGGTGAGATTTCCCAAGGCTGGAGAAATGGGAACCCTCTAGAAGGAAACAAAGGAAGCCCAGGACATAGCTGGTAGAAAACAGTAACAAAGGAATGCAATTTTTTGTTGTTTTGAGACAAGATCTTGCTGTCACCCTGGCATGAGTGTAGTGGCAAATCACAGCTCACATCAACCTTTAACTCCCAGGCTCAAGCCATCCTCCCACCTTGGCCTCCCAAGCTGGAATTAAAAGCACCCACCATACACCCAGCTAATTTTTAAAATTTTTTGTAGAGATGGAGTTTCGCCATGTTGGCCAAGCTGGCCTCAAACTCCTGGCCTCAAGTGATCCTCCTGCCTCAGTTTCCCAAAGAGTTGGGATTACAGGTGTGGGCCATATACTGGGCAGAATGGCAATTTTAAAGTGAGATTCAGAACAAGGAAGAATGGGTTCACTTTTTTTTTGAGGTGGAGTTTCCCTGTTGTTCCCAGACTGGAGTGCAATGGCACGATCTCAGCTTACTGCAACCTCCGCCTTCTGGGTTCAAGCAATTCTCCTGCCTCAGCCTCCCGAATAGCTTGGACTACAGGTGCGCACCACCATGCCCAGCTAATTTTTGTATTTTTAGTAGAGATGGGGTTTCACCTTGTTGACCAGAATGGTCTTGGTCTCTTGACCTCGTGATTCACCCGCCTCAGCCTCCCAAAGTGCTGGGATTACAGGCGTGAGCCACCGCGCCCGGCCACGGGTTCACTTTTAAGGGAAGATGGTAGAATGTCAACCGAGAGAGAAGCCAGAATTACTCAACTCTCGGTAAAAATCTGTCCTACGTAAGAATGTCTTCAAATTACAACAAATGAAAATAAGCATCGTTTGAAAAGAAAACAGAAGCTCAGTAACATAGAAGGAGGAGAGTCTGTGAGCACCTCTCTCAACTGGCTGTCTCCAAGCTCACCAAATGACATCAGAGGAGTCAAATAACTTGCAGATGTGATCAGCATGTGTAATCTGCAGAACTCAGAGCAAGAGCTTTCCCAGTCTTCAAAGGGGTGTATATGCTGGGAGGAGAGTAAGGAGTGGATTCTGGGAAATCCGCTGGGTCAAATGTCAATCCCCAATGAAACCGATGGTCTGTGACCATTACAAAAGAAACACTTGATTACTAGGAGCCAGTTTGGCTTCACTGGAAACAAGGCAGGTCGAACACATTTGTCTTCCTTTTTAAAGGGGTTTTATCAACTGGTGGAACAGATTTCGTTTGGTAAGGGGCTGTATCTTATGTATCTGGCATTTATGAAACACTTCCTGAGCCAAAGATGGAAAGATGACCAAGGTATGGTCTCAGAAGGAGCACACATCCCAGTCAACCGGTGGTGACCTGTGGCTAGACAGTAAGGACCTTAAGTGGCATCATAACTAGTGTAATAACTCTGCCCAAAGCCTAGATTAACAGATTAATGTCAATTTGGAGGGAAATCTGGGTTCTTCTTTGGTTTGTATGTTGTTCAATGTTTTGATCAAAGACCAGGATGAAGACCTTCTCCAAAGGAGCTCATGGCAGACTTAAGAGGAGGGCTACCTGATGGATGGTGAAATTCTGGTTCAAAATGATCTTGAGATGTTGAAAGGAACAATTCGACAATAACAGAATCGAATCCAGCTCAGGCTGTATTATGACATTATGAACCATGCCTCGGGCCGGGCACGGTGGCTCCTGCTTGTAATCCTAGCACTTTGGGAGGCTGAGGCAGGCAAATCACTTGAGGTCAGGAGTTCAAAACCAGCCTAGCCAACATGGTGAAACACTGTCTCTACTAAAAATACAAAAAAATTAGGTGGGCATGGTGGCAGATGCCTGTAATCCCAGCTACTCAGGAGGCTGAGGCAGGAGAATTGCTTGAACCTGGGAGGTGGAGGTTACAGTGAGCCGAGGTAGCACCACTGTACTCCAGCTTGGGCGACAGAGTGAGACTCCAACTCAAAAAAAAAAAAGAACCATCAAGGAAGATAAAATCTTGTAGCTCATTCGTGGTAGCAACAAAAAGATGAAGGACACAGAAGGTCTGGGGTTGGTGGGGAAGTCCAGACTCCGTGTGAAAAGCCCATGAATGGATCTAAGAAGGCATGGGAGTAGTTTCCCCATGTTAGGAGGGCTGACATGGGGTTATCCTGAATTGCTCTTGAGGGAGGTACTGGAGCAAGTGAGGTTTAAGGGAGAAGAAGAGACCTTGTAACATTAAGAGCTGGCTACAGGCCAGGTGGTGGCTCACGCCTGTAATCCCAGCACTTAGGAAGCCTGAGGTGGGAGGATCACTTGAGGTCAGAAGTTCAAGGCCAGCCTGGGCAACATGGTGAAACCCTGTCTCAATCAAAAATAGAAAAAAAAAAAAGTCAGCCGGGCATGGTGGCGCACATCTGTGGTCCCAGCTACTCGAGAGGCTGAGGTGGGAGGATTGCTTGAGCCTGGAAGTCATAGATTGCAGTAAGCTGAGATCACACCACTGCACTCCAGCTTGGGTAACAGAGTGAGACTCCTCAAGAAAAAATTAAAAAGAGCTGACTAGAGAACAGAATGAATTATTCTGCAAAGTAGTGAGCCTCTCATTACCTTAGGTATTCAAACAGGGCTAATCAACCATGCAGTGGGAAACCTGACCAGACAGGCTTGGGGGCCCTCCCCGACACCCTGCTTGCCACCAATTAGTATGGTGAGCAGGGAAGGCTTCCTAAGGAGGTCACATCCAAGCTAGACTGTGAAGAGGGAGACAGCTCTGACCTGATCCCATAGTGTGCCCTAATCCAGCCCTACATGGCAGCGAGTATGAGAACTGGGCACTTCCTACAAGGTGAGATGGAAGGTGGAGCTGAGCTTTCTCTCTGGATCAGAACTGATACAGCAGGTGACAGAGGGAGGAGAAAGAGTGCCAGTGGAGAGCCAGGCACAGAAAATCAGGCCCACAGAGCAAAGACTGGAGGGGTCTGGCCTGTGCAAAAGGAAGGACAGGTGGGAAGGAGAGACCCTCCAGGGACATCCCGCTGGAGGCATGCACATAATTCCTGAATTGTTCCAGGACCAGAGCCTGACGGAATTGGGAAGAGCCCTTCAAGGAGCCCCTGGCCCAATCCCTGATGAAACAGATGAGAGCTGCAGATCAGGCTGAGCAGCTCATCCAAGGGAACCAGACCTGAAAGGGGCTCCAATCCCACCTCAGTCCTTGTTAGCTGTGTGACCTTGGGCAAGTTACTTAACCACTCTGCCTCGGTTTCCACATCTGTAAAATGAAGGTGGAGGGAGCCATAGAAACTAAAAGAGGTGATGCAGGAAAAGCACCCAAGAAGAACTAGATAATCAAGAAGGCCTACATAGTAAGTGCTATCTGCAAATTAACACTAATTTACAAGTATTGGGAGATGCTGGGGAAGGCGGCAAATTGCCAGGAGCCCCTTCCCACAGCAGTGCTCCGTCAGCGCTGTGGACTCAATGCATTTACAATGACCAGGTAGGTCGCTGGCACCCACTGACCCCCCACCATGGCAGAAGTCCCTGAGGTATACAGTCCCACAGAGGAGGGGAGGCTCAGAGGCCAAGTCCACACGTACCTTCTCCCCGGGTGTGACAGAGATGCGCCACACGCAGTGCATGTGAGCTGAGTAGCCATTGGGGTACTCAGGGGAGGAGAAGTTGCCTGTGCTGTCTTGCAGGGTCTCTCCGCAGGCTGCGAGGGAAGGAAATGACAGAGCAGGGTTGCAGGCACTGAATCCCCCATCTTTTCTGGCTCACCCACCCCTGAGCCCTGGCATCCTCTGGGCAAGGGGAGAATGCCTGAGGAGGGTGTCTGCAAGGGTCCTGTCCCTTTAAGATCCACCCCCTCCACCTCACATACAGCACACACCATCCTACCTCCCAGCCCAGTGCTGCCTGGGTAACCAGTGCCCTGTCGTGAAGGCAATGTGGGTTCCAGAGTTAAGGTCAAGCTCCCTTGGTGGGCCTCCGTGCCACCTCCGTCTCCTAGGATTGCTCTGTTCTCCCCAGTTCTTCTGCCCCTACAGAACCTCAGAAGGTGGTGGCTCAGCTTCTCACCACCACCCATTGCTACCCTCAGGCAGCTTCCTTCACTTGGACACTGCCCCCCACTATGGGGTCCCCTCCCCTCTATACCATTCTTTTTTTTTTTTGAGACGGAGTTTCGCTCTTGTTGCCCAGGCTGGAGTACAACGGCATGATCTTGGCTCACTGCAACCTCCGCCTCCCAGGTTCAAGCAATTGTCCTGTCTCAGCCTCCCGAGTAGCTAGGATTACAGGTGCGTGCCATCACGCCTGGCTAATTTTTGTATTTTTAGTAGAGATGGAGTTTTATCATATTGGTCAGGCTGGTCTCAAACTCCTGACCTCAGGTGATCTGCCCACCTTGGCCTCCCAAAGTGCCGGATTATAGGTGTGAGCCACCATGCCTGGCCATCATTCTCTAAGACTTGCAGCCTCAGCCTTTTTGGGGGCACCAGGCCCCTGGCCTCTGCCTCCCTCAGGCCCTGCCCTCCATGCCCTCACCCATCCCTCCTTTGCCCTGACCTGGGCACTTGTAAAGCTTTCGGGCCTGAGCAATGTCCCCTTTGCTGAGCCGTGTCCTTTGGCCAATGGGGGGTTTCACCCCGTTCACCTCATACTTGGGGACAATGGTATCCAGGAAGATGCCCCTGAGGAAGAAGAGGGAGAAAAGTAAGGATGAGCGTCTGATGGATGGTGGGCAGGGAGTGGGTGGCAGGCCCAACCGTACCCATAAGTCACGACCCTGTCGGAGCTCAGACATTCCTCAGCAGGGTCAGGGCCGGGTGGAGACGTCTCACCCTGTCATTATGCTGCCCACTGACCAGCAGCCACCCTGCTCCGTGGCAGCCACACCACAGGAGTCGGGGGAGCCCCAGGAACACATTGGGAGGTCAGGGATGCAGGTCCAGGATGCCCTGGGACCCACTGGTGCCTCCAGCTTGGGCTGGCTACAACTCACAGCCCCAGGAAAGCTATGGGCCCCTAGGGGGTCATCTCTCCAACCCTACCAGGCCCCTGCTTCTGCAGCCCCTCATGTGGCTCCAGCCCTAACTGAACTCCCAGGACTCCCAGGCCAGCTCCTCACCCCGCTGGCACAGGCTGCGTCTGACAGCACCTGTAACAAGGCCAAAGGCAGATTCCACTGCAGCCAGACCAAGCCCCGGGGACAGCCCCACCAGCTCCCAATCTATCTGTCCCCCTATTCCTCCCTGTGAAATCCTGGGTGTTTCCACTTGGAGGAGCAGAGTGAAGGGGAGGCAGCCTCCACCTCCCCAGGGCCCCTGACTCACACCCAGCTGGGTGGATCGCAGTAGGGGGTGGGGTTGGATGTGGTGGGAAATGTAAGCCTGGGTCTGTGGGTGTGGGGGGCAGAATGACCTCACCACCCTTCCTTGGTCTTTGTTCCTGCAGGTCTGCAGGCAGGAAGAGCAGATCGGGTAGGAGCACTGAGAAGAGGGGGGAGGGTCACTGTCTGGGACACAGAGGATGAGCAAAGCACCAGGCCTGGGAATGGTCAGGCCAGGAAGGAGTGCAAGGAGGAGGGAGGCATCATTTCCCACACTCTGCTAATGAGAAGCTGGGGGAGGGGAGGCCGGGCTACCACCTTGGAAGGTTCTGGTTGTGGCTTCTGGTACCTGGGCCTGGATAAGGAGGATGCGCTTGGGAGCTGGGCATGGGGGCTAGTCCAGGGCAGGGACCACGCTTCATGCAAATTAGTCAATTACAAAAAAAGCAGACTAATTAAAAAGGAATGGCTGGGCATGGTGGCTCACGCCTGTAATCTCAGCTTTTTGGGAGGCCGAGTTGGGAGGATCACTTGAGCCCAGGAGTTTGATATCAGCCTGGGCAATACAGTGAGACCCCATCTCTAAAAAAAAAAAAAGGCATGGTGGTGAGTGCCTGTCGTCCAAGCTACTCAGGAGGCTGAGACGGGATGACTGCTTCAGTCTAGGAGTTTGAGGCTGCAGTGAGCCATGACTGTGCCACTGCACTGCAGCCAGGATAACAGAGCAAGACCTTGTCTCAAGCAAAAACAAACAAATGGCCTACAAATGAACGCTCAGTCCTTCGAGCTGATAGTTTTGGAGCTACCCCATACTGCCTGGCTTGCAGAGTGGCTGGGTTCAGCCTCCACCGCTAGGTGCCCTGGGTGCACCTGGTAGTAAGGGAAGAACCTAGTCCCTGCCACACACCCACTGGAGGAAGAGGACAGGAGGGCAGGCAGCATCCACGAACTCTCAGCTTGGAGGCCACAGCCCCCTAGAGGGCCACTCTCTTCCTGGGTCACTGCCCCAGAAGTGGGAGGAGGAGGAGAATGGGCTACAGAGGGCAGGGTGGGGCTGCCCCTGCAGAGGCCCAGGCCCGACCCATCTCCACCTGGAGAATGTGTTGCGAGCGTAGTGCATGATGCTGTCGAAGTCATAGGTCTCCCCCAAGGACTCCACCTCCTGAGGCTCCATCTTCAGGAAGTTATACTCCTGCCCTGTGAAGATCAGAAAAAGGGTGTGGGGGAAGGGAGGGGGTGGGTCTGCCTGGAATGCACTGCTTCCTTTCCAGAGCAGGGAATGGGGTCCTTCCGGTACCTGAGGAAGCCCCCCACCTGAGGGTCCCGGGAGCAGCCAAGGGGAGCCTGAGGGGTGCGGAGGCTCTCGGAAGAGTCCTGCCCAGCAGAGGGCCTGGTGGATGAAGGACTGAAGGCTCAAGGGATCATGGGAAGGAAGTACCCATTTCTAGAGCCACAGCTGAGAAGGAAGCAGTGAAGCATAGAGAACACCTGGGGGAGAGAGGGAGGAGGCGGGAAGGGAGGGACAGAGATAGCCGAGAAATGAGAGAAAAACCCTCAGAGGTCAGACCAGGCAGAGGACAGAAAGACGGCAAAGGTGAGAAGAAAGGCCTGAGCAGCCCCCAGGACTGGCCCACTAAGCCCATGTCCCACCCTAGAGGCGGCCGGGGCTCCCGCAGTCCAGGACCAGGACCTGGCCCAGGCCCCCAGAAGAGCTCCACAATGGATATGCGCCCCTCATCTGCAAGGGAGGAGGAAATGCCTCTGGGGCAGGGGCTGGCTCAACCCCGGCTGCGGGCAGCGCTGCCGGCGCAGGCGATGACTGCGGATAGTAGCGGCTCCCACTGCACCGCCAGGGGCCCTGGAGGTGGGGCTGGGACGGGAGCCGCCCACCGAGGCCGTACGGAGGGGCAGATATCTACCTGGCTGGATGTTCTCACGAACGATGGAAACGTGGCGGTCCCGGTCTGGCCGAGTGTGTTCGTGCCAGAAGCCGACGACATGGCCCAGCTCGTGGACCACGATGCCGAACTTGTCACAGTTCTTGCCGATGGAGATGGCCTGGGGGCCCCCGCCGCGGCGACCCACGTAGGAGCAGCACCTGGAGGGCGGGGCCAGCTCAGGGGGGCGGTCCCGAGCTGGGGGAGTGCATCCACTCAGGGGCGGGGCCAGGCTGCCGGGGGCGGGGCGGCAGGGGAGCGGAGCGGAGGGGAGGGGTGGGCCCTGAGCGCCGAGTGCCCAGGCTGTGCGCTGGAGTCACAGCCACACAAGGGGCAGTTCCTGGAGAGATGCCCCATAGCAGGAGGGGACGAAGGGACCCAGGGTTGTGCCCAGCTGGGGGCAGCGGCAGTGCCCAGGGCAGAACCTGGGTTGGGGCAACGGCGGAGGGTGCAGTGCCTAGGGCTCCCTGCTCACCCGCAAGGTCGGTAGGTGAATACAATATAGCTGTCCTCATCGGTGCGCTCCAGGAAGGTGACACAGGTGTGCTTCTCCCAGTGCCTCATGGCCTGCCGGAAGACTGCCCTCTGGCTACCTGCCAGGAGGAAGGAAGCCAGGCTGCCACGGTGTCCAGGCGGTGCCACCTGCTACCCACAACTGAAGAGTCACTCACAGCCATTCTAACAGCAGACTTCCAGGAAAGGAATGTGTGGGCACTCTGGCTGCAGGTGGCACCCACACACACCTCCGTGCCTGGCAGGGCCACCCCAAACCCAGATTCCGATACTGGCTGCAGCCTGGGTCCCACAATAGCACGCTCACCAGTGAAGTTTCCCCCAATGACAAAGGGGATGACCCCATCAGGCCACACACGCTCCGGTCTGGACGTTGCTGCCCGCCGTCTGCGAGATCTGCCTCTCCACCTCCCGGAGGCTCCCCTCTGAGGCTGCCCGTTGGTGCTCTTGCAGCTGGGGGTAGAAGTGTTTTCTGGAACTGAAAGAGGAAGTGATGTGGCTAGTGAGTGGAGAGGAAGAGGAGAAAAACAAAAGTACAGTCAAACCTCACGTTTCACGGATGCTGTGCTTGCAAATTTGCCTACTGGCTAAAATTTATTCATAGCCCCCAAAATCAATACTTTCAGGCCTTTGGCAGTCATTTGTGGACGTTTGCAGAGTGGTGAAAAATTTGAGTCACCCAACAAGCATGTCCCCAGCTGAGGCTGGACAAGGCCTTCTGCTTTCAGCACTCTCCGTTTAAACAAGTATCCTTTTTGAGGTCTAGTTAAAGTGCCATGGTTTTCAAATTTTTGTGTACTTTGTTGAGGGTTTCACTGTTTAAACGGGCCCTGATTGGCCAGGCACGGTGGCTCACACCTGTAATTCCAGCACTTTGGGAGGCCGAGGCAAGTGGATTCCGAGGTCAGGAGATCGAGACTATCCTGGCCACATGGTGAAACCTCCTCTCTACTAAAAATACAAAAATTAGCTGAGGGTGGTGGCACACTCCTGTAGTCCCAGCTACTTGGGAGGCTGAGGCAGGAGAATCATCTGAACCTGGGAGGCAGAGGTTACAGTGAGCCGAGATCCCACCACTGCACTCCAGCCTGGCGACAGAGCGATGAGACTCCATCTCAAAAAAAAAAAAAAAATTAGTGGGGCATGGTGGTGCCTGCCTGTAGTCCCAGCTACTCAGGAAACTGAGGCAGGAGGATCACTTGAACCCAGGAGGCAGAGGTTGCAGTGAGCTGAAATTGCACCACTGCACTCTATCCAGCCTAGGTCACAGCGCAAGATTCCATCTCAAAAAAAAAAGAAAAAACAACTACAACAAAAACAAAAGAAACAAAAGGCCCCTGAGCATAATGCTGAAGTGCTCTCTGTGTTCCCAAGGGCAAGAAGGCTGTGATATGTCTCACAAAGAAAAACACATGTGCTAGGTAAGCTTCTTTGATGCATGCATTAGAGGGCTGTTGGTCATGAGTTCAATGTTAATGAATCAGCTCTGTATTAAGGAAGGTGTCTTTAAAAGAAACACTCATAAAACAAGATGATGCATTGATCAGCTGATAAAAATGTTGTGACCCATGGCTTGAGGGAACCTGGCTCTGTATTTTCCCTAGGAGCAACGGGTCAGCATTTGGTAATGTTTTCAGAGACTGTACAGAGTAACGATAAAGTTATTCTATAACTTCAGCAAATGGCAAGAATTGACTGTAATCATAGAATAGAACAAAGGTGTCCTCGTTTTCTTGGAACTGTGGGGGTCTGAGATTAGGAGAATATCCCTTCTCGTGGAATAAACCTTGACATTTGTGGAGCATTCAGAATGCTCGGCCTTTTTTTAGTTTCCCAAATTCATGTTTGCATTTGACATGGGAGCTCTAAGGCACGTGGGCAACTGTCATACTGTATTTGGCAGATGAGGAAACTAAGGCCAAAGCTTTACCCAGAGTCACCTGGTGGGTTAGCCGGGGACCCTCCATGCAGCTTTCCCTTGGGCCGTACCTACTAGACCCCACTGAGGTCACATGAGCCTTACTTGTTAGCAGGCTACCAGGTCACCCTCTAATGCCACCTACCCCGTACTTTACTCCATGGGGTGCCCACACCAGGCTCTTCCCTCAAGCTGGACAGGACAACTGCAGCCACACCAAGCGTTCCCAAAGCAGGCAGACCTCAATAAAAATTCCTGCCCTTTGGCGCGGTGGCTCACACCTGTAATCCCAGTACTTTGGGAGGCCAGATCACTTGAGGCCAGGAGTTCAAGACCAGCCTAGCCAACACAGCAAAATTCCATGTCCACTAAAAATAGGAAAAACTGGCTGGGCGTGGTGGTGAATGCCTGTGGTCCCAGCTACTTGGGAGGCCGAGGCATGAGAATTGCTGGAACTCAGAAGGTAGAGGTTGCAGTGAGCTAAAATGGTGCCACTGTGCTCCAGCCTAGGTAACATAGAGAGACCTTATCTCAAAAAGAAAGAAAGAAGGAAAGGAAAGGAAAAAGGAAGGGAAGGAGAGGAGAGGAAAGAGAGGGAAGGGGAGGGGAGGAGAGGGAAGAGGAGAGAGAAGGGGAAGGGAGGGGAGGGGTGAGGGGGAGGGGAGGGAAGGGGGAGGGGAGGGGTGAGGGGAGGAGAGAGGGGAGGGGAAGGAAAGGGAGGGGAGGGGGTGAGGAGAGGGGAGGGGAGGTAAGGGGAGGGGAGGGGGTTAAGGGGAAGGGAGGTGGGGAGAGGAGAGGAGAGAGGAAAGGAGAGGAGAGGAAAGGAAAGGAAGAGAGGAATCCCTGCCTCTGCCCTTTGGGAAGGGGATAGCTATTTGTGTGCTCTGAGGACCATGTCCCAGACATCAGCACTGGCGGTGAGGTGCCTTCTACAGAGCAGTGAAAGGCTGGAACAGACACAGCCCAGGCCCTCATTCCTCCTATTCCCATATCCACGCACAAGTACCACGTGGGCTTTTATTTATTTATTTATTTATTTTTGAGATAGAGTCTCACTCTTGTTGCCCAGGCTGGAGTGCAGTGGCGCAATCTCGGCTCACCACAACCTCTGCCTCCTGGGTTCAAGCGATTCTCCTGCCTCAGCCTCCTGAGTAGCTGGGATTACAGGCATGCACTACCATGCCCAGCTAATTTTGCATGTTTAGTAGAGACGAGGTTTCTCCATGTTGGTCAGGCTGGTCTCGAACTCCTGACCTTAGGTGATCCACCCGCCTCAGCCTCCCAAAGTGCTGGGATTACAGGTGTGAGCCACTGCACCCAGCCTCATGTGGGCTTTTAGGTGTTTTGACCACAATCAAGGATAAGAAGAAAGCATCCCTGACCTTAAAGAGCTTTGAGTCCAGCTAGGGAGACAGGAGCAAATCCTTTCAACAGGGTGTGGTAAATGACTGAGTAACAGTGTGAGTGCAGAGGAGAGAGAAAACAGGGGAAATGGAGGGACACTCATGTTTCGTGGGCAACTGGGAAAGATGAATAGGAGAAGCTCCTGAGATGGGCCTCAGAGGATGCACAGAAACCTGCGAAGTGGAGAAGCACCGGGAGGGACTGCAGTGTTGGGCAGTCTCAGATCTGGAGTGAGAAAGCTCGGGTTCCAGTCCCAGCTATGCCACTCACTAGCTGTGTGATCCTGGGCAGGTCACTTTACCTCTGTGGGTCTTAGTTTCTGGACCTGTAAAACAGGAGTTGTCCTGACACCACCTTTAAAGGTTGGGGACAGTCAAGCTAGACAATCCATGGAAAGTGGTTTGTAAACTGGAAGCAGAAGGAATGTCAGTTCTCAGTTGCTGGAGATGTCTATATTTGCTACTCCTCTGGGGAAGGGATAAAGATATCCCAAGGGAAAATAAGCCCATGTGCTGAGGTCAAGCTCACAGCCTCTGTCCTGGGAGAGCCTGGCTGGGAACAGGGAGATTCTTTGTTTCCCTAAGCCTGGAACCCATTTCTAGGACACAGAGGGCCTGTCGGCACCTGGCTTACCTGGAGCTTTGAAGGAGGACCTATGGGCTGTGCGCTGTCTGAGATCCGCAGCCTTCTGCACCTGGAAGGCCCTCAAGTCCTCTTCGTCCAGGGCAATGTCCCCAAGAAAGGCAGCTAAAGAGAAAAGCAGCAGCCAGGCCTGAGTTAATCCTCCTACCCAGACCTAGATTCGACGTGCTTCTAGTCCCACCCCTGTGGGCATCAGCCCCAACCTCCACAGCGACCGTGATCCTCAAATGCCATCTGAAGACGAAGAAGAAGAGTAGTGAGGAATCAGTTTATAGAATTTCTTGGGAAGCTCATGCTCACTTTTCGGTTAAAAAACCCAGTAAACTGGCCAGGTGTGGTGGCTCATGCCTGTTATCCCAGCACTTTGGGAGGCCAAGGAAGGTGGATTACGAGGTCAGGAGATTGGCAGCATCCTGGCTAACATGGTGAGACCCCGTCTGTACTAAAAATTAAAAAAAAAAAAATTAGCTGGGTTTGGTGGCATGTGCCTGTAATCCAGCTACTTGGGAGGTTGAGGCAGGAGAATCGCTTGAACCAGGGAGTTGGAGGTTGCAGTGAGCCAAGATCCTGCCACGGCACTCTACCCTGGCTACAGAGCAAGACTCTGTCTCAAAAAAAAAAAAAGAAAGAAAAAAGAAAAAGAAAAAATTCCAGTAAAGCTGATGCTTAGCCCCTACCAAGCTGTTAGCTCTTCATTCTTTGGGAGCCGTGGGGGAGATAGGGTCTCACCTCTGTGCCCAGCTAATTTTTAAAAATTAGCAGGATCTTGCTATGTTGCCCAGACTGGTCTCAAAATCCTGGCCTCAAGGGATCCTCCAGCCTCCTCAACCTCTCCAGTAGCTGGGATTACATATGTGCAGCACAGAGCCACCATTCTTCAGCAAATAGTTACATACTATTGTGGTCCAGACAGGACCCTAGTCATTAGCAAGACAGAAGAGGGCCCTGCTACTGTGGAGCTAACCTTCGATAATATGCAAGGAAATAAATACTGACCTAGGGTCTTCCAGAGAGCATAAAAAAAATAAAATGAGGTATGCTGACCACGTGGTGTTCACTCAGCAAATGCTGTTTCAATTAAACCAATGGGAGGTATGAAATAAAATAAGCCACAGGTGGTGGCTCACACCTGTAATCCCAACACTTTGGGAGGCTGAGGCGGGCTGAGGCGGGCAGATCACTTAAGCTCAGGAGTTCAAGATCAGCGATCAGCCTGGGCGACATGGTGAAACCCGTCTCTATAAAAAATACAAAAATTAGCAGCCAGGCGTGGTGGATCAAACCTGTAATGCCAGCACTTTCGGAGGCCGAGGCAGGCTGATCACCTGAGGTCAGGAGTTCTAGAACAGCCTCACCAAAGGCTGTTCTAGAGAAACCTGTCTCTACTAAAAAAAAAATACAAAATTAGCCAGGCATGTGGCTCATGCCTGTAATTCCAGCTACTTGAGAGACTGAGGCAGGAGAATAGCTTGAACCTGGGAGGGGAAGTTTGCAGTCAGCTGAGCTCATGCCATTGTGCTCTAGCCTGGGCAACAAGAGGAAATTCCATCTTAAAAAAAAAAACCCCAAACAAAAAAAAAAAACATAAAAATTAGCCAGGCATGCCTATAGTTTCAGTTATTCACTTAGGAGGCTGAGGGAGGTGGATTAATTGAGCCCAGGAGGTCAAGGCTGCAGTGAGCCAAGATCGCGCCACTGCACTCCAGCCTGGGCAACAGAGTGAGACCCTGTCTCAAAAAAAAGAAAAGGAAAGGAAATAAAATGCTCCAATTTTCTTTTTTTGAGACGGAGTCTCACTCTGTGGCCCAGGCTGGAGTGCAGTGGTACAATATTGGCTCACTGCAACCTCCACCTCCTGGGTTCAAGCAATTCTCCTGCCTTAGCCTCCTGAGCAGCTGGGACCACAGGCATGCACCTCCATGCCTGGCTAATTTCTGTATTTTTAGTAGAGACAGGGTTTCACCATATTGATCAGGATGGTCTCAAACTCCTGACCTCGTGATCCTCCCACCTCACCCTCCCAAAGTGCTGAAATTACAGGCATGAACCATGGCACCAGCCAAAATGCTCTAATTTTCATTGGAACAGATAAGCATCTTTGGGAAATGAAGATACCTTCTGGGAGCTTCCCAGCTAAGAGGAAAAGACTTAACAGTTCTCAAATAATTTCTATTCCAAGTCTTAGACTACCCAAGCAGAAAGGCCAGAGGGGAAGAGAGCCTCTTTAAAGGGCCATTCTGATTCCAGTATCTGGAGCTGGGGAGGGATGTTTCCAGAGACCCGGCTGAACTGTCTGTCTTCCTTTTGAGAAGTCTGGAGAAAAGAAAGCAGAGGCCAGAAAACTGGCTGCTTTGGAAAGGGCTCAGATGGGAGCTGCACGCTGAGCTGGGCTGGGCTGGGGGAGGCATGAGGCTGGGCTGGAGGTGGGACCCACAGCAGCTTCCCTGCAGCTCCACCCATGGCGACATCTGCTTCTCATCCAGGCAGAGTGCTATACAGGCCTGGCGGTCGCATTACACAAATTGTTTTAACCCTGAGGTCTTCTACATAGGTTTCTCCTCCCCAGTCGGCCCCACTGGTGAACACACACACACACACACACACACACACACACACACATTGACTTCACACACACAATCGGACACCCAGCGTTAGTGTTCCTACGGACATATGGTGACATCCACACCCTTGCCATCCAGTGCAAAGCCGTCAAAGCCGGAGACACACATCCTTGCACACGCAAGCAGCCCCCAGCACTGCGCTTTCCAGGATGTCTGAACGAATGAATTGCCACGCTGATATTCTCTGGCTTGCAAATACATGCTCAGAGACACATCCTCACCTAGACAGGATCAACAGAATGTGGGAGTGACTGTAGCAGTCATCAAGGCCAACTTTCCATTTTACAGATGAGGAAACTGAGGTCCCAAAAGAAACAACTGAAACTACACTGCTAGTTCCTGGAAAATCTGGATGTATAACTCAGGCCTCCCCATTCCCAGTCCAGCGACAACTGCACTCTCTAGAACCCCTATTGTAAATACATATACACAAAAATAGACGGACAATCCACAGCAAAATACACACGCAGTCAGACAGTCCTAAAAAAATACACACATGCACAAGCTCCAACACACACAAACCAGCTGCAAGCTCTGAACCCATTAAGCCAGTAATAGTCGTGATAATGACATCTTATGTAAATATCTGTTGAAATTTATGTGGTGCTTTCCAATTGGCAAAGTGCTTTCCCATTAATTAATTTAATCCTGGCCTGCCCACAACATGCCTAGTAAGCCACACTCCACACCATGCTCTTGCAGAGGAGTATCCCATTAGAAACCCTCAGAGAGATAACCTAAGTGGCCAGGTTCCAGCCCACCTCCCTGACTATAGAGATCAGAACCCTTGAGCCTACGAAGGGCAATAACTCACTCAAGGTCACCAGCCAGTAAGTGGCCCCAAATCTCTTCCACCCCATGAGAAAGTGTCCCTTACCGAAATTGTCATCCTTGGCAGGTGGCCTTGGCTCAGCAACTGATGGGACAGCTATAGAAGATGCTTCTCAGGTGACATGCAAGAGTGGCCTTAGCAAGGACATGGGATGGGGGATACTCTCCAAGGAAGGAGCAGTGGGTTCACACTTGCCAAAGTTCACATAGATGTGCACATGCCACACGAATGCCCCCCCACTTACACATGTTACATCTTTCACAGACACTGCACCTGCAGGCTCCCACACCCAAACCCACAGGCATCACCACATACAGGTGTGGCTGGACATGTAGAATCATCTTTGGACATAGAGCAAAGGGCAAGGTCTCTGGAGTCAGGCCTTTCTTGGAATCCCAGCGTGACTACTATTAGCTGACAAGTCATGTAAACTCTTCTAAGCCTCAATGTTGTCCTACGTAACGGAATGTGTCTCCTAGGATTACTGCATAAAATAAGACATATACACGAAACCCCTGACACAGAGCATGCAGCCAGGTAAGCACCCACCTGCCACTTTAATATTATCCCAACGACAACCTGAAAGCTCAAGGTCAGCTCTAGACCTCCTCAGGAAATGCTGGCTTGCCCACACTCGCTGTTCCCCACCCCTCCTTGAGTAAAACCCCAGGGCAGAGGCCACAGAACTGTGCTGGCCTGCGGGTCCAGGACCAGTGTAGGATCAGGGCAGAGCAAATGCAACGCAGGGCAGAGCATGGGCCTGGCTGCTGAGCTCCTGGGTTAGGATGTCATGACTGAAGAATGCGTGGGAACCGAGTGGGGGTGGGGAGAGAGGAGGTGGGCAGGAGAGCCTTAGGGGCAGGAGCTGGGCTTTGGGGCCCTGTGCATTTGGAGTCCCCTCTGGGGAAGTGAGAGAATCTGGATGCTAAGGAGTTCAGGAGGTCTCTCCTTACTCAAAGGAAGCCCTGGGTCATGGTCAGGGTAGTAGTTATTTTCAACACAAGATAAAAAAATGTTTGTGTTGTTTTCAGCTGTAAACCTGCCAGGAGGACTGTGGCTGAGCCCAGGTATGTGCCTGTGCCTGGGAAGAATCTCACTCTTCCAGGTCAACCTCTGGACTCCAATCTCCTCCCCAAGGGCATGGCAAGGCATCCGCTTCTGAGGAAGTGGCGAGAGGAGGCTGGCTGGTGTAATGAGCCATATGTGCAGGACTGATGCATGTCCCATCACATAAACACAGCTTCTAGCTGAGGGAGGACACACCCAAGTCCCTGCAAACATGTGGATGGACTTCATCACATATGTGCCCTTCTGCAGAGGCGCATGCTTGCATGGTAATACCTGCGTGTACTCAGGAAGACCCCTGTGCACGGGTGAGCTGGCTTGCCCATAAGGCAGCGACACACCCACAAATGTGCACACACTCAACTTCTTCCCATGCAGGATCTTGTGTTTTCAAACACACAGATAACTGCAGGCATGCACCAAGCTTCACAGGCCACACCCCACAAAGGGCAAGGGCATACTTAGAAATGGACAGGGATGCACTCCTGTGAGACAAAGGGAGGGAGGGAGGGAGGGAGATTAGCTGACCCTCTTGGATCTCCTTAGGGGGTTCCCAGTGGCCTGAGGAGTGCTGCTTCTGCTCCCCCCACCCCAATATCTTCTCCCCAAATCTGTGGAGAAACTAGATTTTTTTTTTTTAGACAGAGTCTTGCTCTGTCATCCAGTCCCAGCTCCCAGCACCCAGCGAGAAATATGACAGCGAATGTCCTGGTTTACCCGCAGACCAGCAGGCGTGGAGAGGGTAGGGCTGAGGGATTCGCCCGATCTCCTCGATTGGATGGGTCTTATTCCACCCAGGCTAGAGTGCAGTGGCGCAATCATAGCTCACTGCAGCCTCCAGCTCCTGGACTCAGCCTTGAACTCTCGCGCTCAAACTCCTCCCATCTAAGCCTCCCAAGTAGCTGGGACTATAGGTGCATGACACTATGCTCAGCTAATTTTTAATGTTTTTTTTTGTAGAGATGGGTGTCTTGCTGTGTTGCCCAGCCTAGTCTTAAACTCCCGGCTTCCAGTGATCCTCCCACTTTGCCCTCCATTGCACCCAGCCTAGAATTCTTAAGAATCCCTCCTTCCAGGAGAATCCCACTGTCCCTCCCCCCACATCTAGAGCCCAGGGAGAGTATAAGTCTTTTCCTCCTTCCTTGGGGCACTGAAATAAGAAGGTGAGTCAGGGGGTAGGGGCCTGGGTGGGCGGGGTGACTCAGCTATCTGGAGGGGGAACGTGTCTGGTGAGAGATTGCTTCTTGACCTCAGAGGGTGTACCCTAATCCCCTATGGCTCTCTGATGTCCAAACCTAGGCCAGGCAGCCCGCTGGGTGAGGATGGGGATGTGGGCTGAGAGCACCGCTCCTGCAGACTCTGGGCTGCCAGATCAGGTTGAGGTGGTAGCAGGGGCCTCACTGGCACAGGGTCACTACCCAGACCTGGCTACGACATGCTTCTAGCCTCACCCCCGTGGGGTCAGGCCCCTGGACTTCTCTGCTTATGGGATCAACTGCGTCCCAATTCCTGCCTCCAGAGTCTCTCTGGGGCTTGTTGGCTGGTCACCTGGGGCAGCCAAACAGTGCTGGAAATCTTGCAGAAGGAGATTTCACCCCCTTCATGGCTTGGCATCCTGAAATACAGGAAATCAGGGCTGCCTCAAAGTCTTCCTGGGCAAGGGCTAGTGAGGGCTTGGTGGCACCAGCTCTGAGCACACAAACAGACCAGCCTGGCTTCCTGCGCACTGTCCTGGTCTTGCCCAGAAGGTCCAGGAACCTCTCCAGGGTATCAAGGGTCTTAATTTTGCCCTTACTACAACGGCAATCATAACTCGGCCAGTAATGGCCAGAGGTGACTTCCAATGAAGGGAGCTGGCTATCCTCAGAGCAACCCAAGAGGTCACAGGTAAGCTGTGGGAGTCAAAGGAGCTTTCAGTCCCAGCCTTTGAAAAGAAGCAGGGACAGCCACGCTTGCCATCATCACCTCCAGCATCTGGAGGTCAGGGCTGCAGAGGGTAGAGGAAGCAAAGCCAGGAAGGAGAAGGCAACATGGAGAACAGAGCCCAGGGACTGGTGTCCGGAGGGCAGTAGCCCAGGGGCGTGGGTGTGAGCGCCTGGAAATGCCCATGTGAGTATCCTTCAGAGGTGGGCAGCAGGTCTCAAGCATCAGTCACACCTGAGAGGGAGGCTTGATCTGACGAAAGGCCTGGCCTTGTCAGGCTCCGGGGCCCTCTCAGCTGCCCCCAGGCCTGGCCCAGCGCCCCCTCCAGCCTCACTTCACCCGGTTGGAGTGCTTTCTCCAGAACCCTTACTCACAGCTCCAACTCAGCCAGCCCCACCTTAGCATGAAACCTGAGACTGGGGGGCGAGAGCCCTCAGCCTCCTACTGCTCTGAAAATCACTCCCATTTCCAACAAGAAGGGAAAGACATCAGAATGGCTTCCCACCATTCTTTAAGGCCTGGCCCCAGCCCCAAATCCTCCATGAAGACCCCACAGATCTTCCCAGCCTGCTGTGATCACTTTTCTCTGCCACCACCAGGCTGAAGACAGACAGGAGACTCCCTGAGCCTTTAGCGTCCTACCCTCCAACATGGCACTCAGTGTGGCTTGGTTTGTGCCGTTGATTATGTCTGTAGGTGTCTTAGGTCCCTACTGGAGCATAAGCTCCTTGAGGGCAGGGTCCTAGCTTGTACATCTCAGCACGTCCCACAAGTTCCATCCCAGGCCATAACACATATTATGTTTTGATGGATTGACGGATAAGAGGCACAAAGAGACATCAGCAATCCCACACCCCTCAAAAAAATGAAGTGAGAGTCTGAAGCACAGAAGACAAGGAGTAGGGAGCCCACATTTATTTAGTGCTGACTGTGTGTTAGGCACTAATAAGCGTTTTATGTATGTTCTCATATTTAACGCTTTCCACCAACTCTCCATTTTACAGGTGTGAGAACTGCAGTTCAGACATGATAATTACCACTTCCAGGTCGCACAGCTATCATGAGTGGCTGGGTCAGGATTGGAAGCTAGATGTGCCTGCCTCCAAAGCCCATGTGCAGTCCCTTCTGCCCTGTGCTCACTCCCAGCACCCAGCAAGAAAAATGACAGCGAATGTCCTGGTTTATGCTCAGCCCAACAGGTGTGGAGGGGGAAGGGCTGAGGCATTTGCCCTGATCTCCACTGGATGTGTCTCTCATTCCTGCCTGTGGTCCATCTTCCCGGGAGAGTCACTGAACAGGGTCCCCAGAGCCAGGATTAGAGCAGCCTGCCCCTCCGCCCCCTGTGCCCCATGCAGGCAGTCCGATTCTAGGATCCGTGCCACTTCCCCTGGCTCTGGCTATTTGGAGATGAGCTGAAGTCAGGCAGGAAGTCGAGGAAAAGTTCTGCTTTCTTGTCCCTGTGTGTTCCCAAACAGCCTGCTCAGGGTCACGCAATCGGGCAAATGGCCCGAGTGCCTGACCATCTGGTCACTCCAGGGACAGGACCCTCCTGGGCCCAGCAGGAGTGAAGGGGTTACATAGAGACAAAGAACACACACACACACATACAGGCAAACACACACTCCGGGGCCCTGACATCGGCTAATTAACCTCTGGTGTCTCAGGGGTGGCAGAGCGGATATACAATATCTGGGTTCTCTTTGTATTTTCCCTCTTTCCACCCCAACTTGGCCTTGGCAGGGGTGTCTGGGCACATAGGGGCAAAGGCAAGTCCCCCTTCTGGGCTGGCTTCTCTGACTTTGACAGCTGTCTCCTAAGTCCCAGAAAGCTGCAGCTACTGGTTAAACCACGGGATACCCAGAGAGCACGGTCTCAGGGAATCCCTGGCAAAATTTCTTTCACTTGGGCTGGGTGGTGGCCTCGGACTTGCTCCTTGGCGACTCAGGCCTCCCAGCTCCAGGCCGGACAGATGTGCAGCCCCAGGGCAGCCCACACAGGCTGAAAAACACCCAGCTCCTGGAGCAGGAGAGATGAGGGAGAAGGGGAAAGAAAACTCATGCACGCACGCACACACACACACACACACACACACACGCACAGGAGTTTGGCCGGAAAAGTTTCCTACAGAAGGAAAAGCAGCCTTGCCCGCAGGTTTTCCCGGGACCCAAGGAGACTTCCCCAGGAATCCTCTGGGAAGATGAGAGGCGGCGGCGGCAGCTTCCACCAGCAGCAAAACTTCAGTCCGAAAAGTCCCCCAAACCCCCCTTCCTCTCCCCCTCGTTCTTTTGTTCCCCACTGCATTGCCAACCAGGCAGCTCCCGGCTTCCCACACTGGACTGTCCTCCCCCAACCCCGAACCCGAACCCGCCCGCGCCTCCCCGCCTGGCCCGCCGCCGGGGGACCGGGGGGCGCTCACCCGCCTTGCAGGGGTCTTTGTAGTTGAGGGGCTCCGGGTCGTCCTCCTCCGCCAGGTCATAGGTGTAGTCGGCCAAGTCCAGCGGCCGGCCGGGACGCGGGAGCAGCAGCAGCCCGAGCAGCAGCGGCAGGCGGGCCACGCCGGGCATGCTGGCGGGGCGGCGGCGAGAGAAGCGGGCACTGGAGGCCAGGGGAGGGCGTCCCTCGCCCGCTCGCTCGCTCGATCGCGACGGCGACCGCGACCGCTCCCGCCCGCGCTCCCCGACCTCTTCCCCTTCCCTCTGCTCGCCTCCCTCCTTCCTGTCTCCCGCCCCCCGCTCGGCCCGCGGCTCCGCGTCGGTCCTCGGGCTCCAGCCGTCTCCCTCTCCCTTCCCTTCTTTTTCTCTCTTTCTTTCTCTCCCTCCCGTTCCGCCCCCCCTTTTTAGGGAAATGAGCTCGCTGGAGGGCGGGTTTTCGCCCGAGCTCGGCCCCCCTCGGGGCCGGGACTGTGCTCTGCCGGGCCGGGCCGCGCGCCAGCCGTGGCTGGGAAGGCGGGGAGCCGCGCGCCCGCGGAGGGGGCTCGGGCCGCCCGGGGCGCGGGCCGCGGGGCCGGGGCGGGAGCTCGGTCCCCCAGGGTGCCTGGCGGGCTGCCGCTCCCGATGTGCCCTCTAGCGGCGGCGTCCCCCGCGGACGCCCGGCCGAGCCCCCGCCCCGCCGCGGGACACGCTGTCAGTTTCTCGCGCCGCCCCTGCTCCTCGCCCCCGCCTCGGGTCGGTCTCTCAGCCCGCGTCTCCCTCGCTCCCCTTCTCGGACCCTCGCTCTCTCGCGTCTCGCTCTTTGCGCTCTCTCTCGCTGTCTCGGCGTCTCTCCCTCCTCCCGAGACGCCGCTGGAGGGCGCCGAAAGCCCGTGGATGGCTCCCGGCAAGTCCCTCTACCCCGCCGGGGTGGACCCAGTCCTTCAGTGCCCTGAGACAGAGGAAGAATGGCAAACCCCTCTCTGCTCCCTCAAGTCCCTTCCCTTTCTGGCCGGCCGCCGCCGGGGCAGCACTGCGTCCTGCGGGAAGATGGAAGCAGACCCTTTGCTTTTCAATTAGGCTGCTTTATTCTGTTGTGGCAGGAGTTCCCCGGCCCCTGGGCGCCACCTCCGCCCACTCCCATCCTCTCCCCAAATTCCCATTTCTCCAGGGCCTGTCCCCGCGGTGTGGGCAGAAGCAGCTTCTTGCCCGTCTGCAAAAGTTGCAAAAGACCCTTTTCTCTGGGCGTTTCCTGTCCCCTTGGGGCTTCCACTGACCCTGTGAAGCAAAGGAACGTTGAGGTTGGACAGAGGTTCCCGGTAGTGGGAAATACGGGTATGAGCCTCCCCTCCCCTGAGCTCCCTGAATGACCAGGCTTCAGTGGACGCCCCAGCGCCTGGTCAGCCTGAGCGCTCCTCCACTGCTCAGCGCAGGTGGCCCGAGGGCTCCTCCGCTGCTCATCAGGGTCCCTGGGATCACACCTGCTCACCTGAAGCGTTCTAGATGTAGTAGAGCGGCACCTCGCCACACAGGGTGCTCACAGCCATGCCCAGGAAGCCGGAGTCCCCTCTGGAGGGTGCTGAGCCTGCATCACGCCCCTCCTCCTGGCCCAGCTTAGAGGTTGGCATTTCGGGCTTGGCCTGCAGAAAGCATTCCATTTGGAATCTGGGAAGTGAGTTTCTATCCCATGTGCAGCCCGGATTGTCATACTTCAGGCATGTCAGGCAATCTCTCTGAGCCTCTGTTTCCTCACCAGGAAAGGGGGACTGTGCTGGAGTCAGAAGCCCCCAGGTGGTGAGTGGGCTCACCTGAGCCCAGCAGCTTGGCAGCAGGGTGGGTAGGAAAGGAGTCGTGCAGGGGAGTATGGAGAGGCATAGTCAGTCCACAGCCCACGAGGAACGGTACTTTACAGACGACAAATAGCCACCATTCAGACACTCCTCCCAGCAGGCCTGGCAGGGAGACAGCCCACTCCTTTCACTCACACACATACCTGGAAGTTCTGGACTTTTCTAGTGAGAGCCTCCAGACTGGGGATGCTCTCCGGAGCAATCTTCATGATGTAGCAGCAGGTGCCAGGGGCTGGCTTGTAGGTGATCAGGAGCTGGACACAGAATGCTGGCGATCATTCGGGGGTTCCTGCCCTGCTCCCTCCCTGATCCAGATCCTTAGCCAGATCTGTCTAGGTTAAGCACAGGAGTCATACTAGGAGGGGTTCAGGCAAAAAGGGCTGGAGGAGGGGACAGATGGATGTGAAGTGGCCTAGCTGGGTGGCTCTAGCAGAGTCTTGTCATTAATCCCAGGGTCAGGAGGTCCCGGCATACCCACCCGCTGGTAGTCATAGACCACGAGGCCTGTGGAGCCGATGGAGAAGGTGGCAGTGGTACCCAGATGCTCACTCAGGGCCAGGCGTTGCTGGGCTTCCGGGGCCCCAATGCTCATCTCCAGGACCTGGGAAAAGCGCACAGATCTGCCTGGTCTTCCCCTTTCCTAATCAGCCTGCAGTACCAATCCACATACTGAGACCTCTGTACTCAGATGTGCTTCCCTCTTTCCCGAGAGCTCAGGGAGGCTGAGTGGAACCAGGTGATGGAGGGAGTCAGCTGTCCTGCTGCAGGACAGGGGCCTTGTGGAAAAGCCTGGGCTGGGTTGCCACCTGGTTCCTGCCTCTTTCCTTCTAGCTGTGCCCCTTGCCTCCCCTCCACTCCCCTTGGACACTTTCCTAACGCCCATCCCACCCAGCCCCTCTGTCTGGCATGTCCTGTGCCCCACTGCTGCCCCATCCCACACCTCTCACCATCTCCGTGTGTTTCTGGCTCATGTGGAGACCCATGAGCAGGGCTCCCACAATCACCACGACGACAAGGACCACCACCACCACCACGATGAGAAGGCGTTTCAGGTGCACCGGGCAGCAGGGGATGCCAAATCGGCCCCGGGGAGCTACGGAGTAGTCCTGACAGGGTGGGGCAGGCAGGGAGACCGGCGTGAGGTCATGAGGGTATCCCCTCCTCTCCCTGCACAAGCTGGACACCCTCCTATGGCCACCTAGGGCTGGATAGCTGATGTGACAGATGGGCAGGGAAGGGCTGAGATTAGAGGAGGCTTCTTGAAGGAGAAGGCCTGGATTCTACCAAACACACAGACACACAGAAGCTGAGAAGCAGGGTCTAGTTTTGAGGGACCCCAGAGAGCCTGCTTCACCTGTCTCTTCCTGCGCTTACCCCAGCCCTCTGGCATCCCAGCCATGGCCAGCCCCTCTCTGTTCCCCAAGTGATCACCCCCATTAAGTAGGAGTGACATTTCCTTTGTGAAGTATCCCCTGACCTCTGGTGTATTTCATGACTTCTTGCTTGGGGCTGTCTACAAACAGCCCTTTCCATCAACCCCTATAGTGGCTCTCGGCCCATGAACTGCTTCCCAAGGGTCTCTGGCTTAGTGGTCTTGGTGTCCCCATGCTGACTTATCACAGCCCTACGTTAGTTGTGTGAGTGGATCTGGATAAGGAAACAGGGCAGGGAAGTTAGAGGAGGCAGGGCCCATCACACACACACACACACACACACACACACACACACACTCTCTCTCTCTCTCTCTCTCTCTCTCTCTCTCTCTCTCTCTCTCTCTCTCTCTCTCTCTCTCTCTCTCTCTCTCTCTCTCTCTCTTTCTCTCTCTCTCTCTCTCTCTGCTCTCTCTCACCGGCGGGCTCTCCATCAGGACCTCTTTGCTGCCCACATCCATCTTATCGCAGGCGCTATGCTCTCCTCTCCTCCTCCTCCAGGTGTGACCAGGGCCTTATATGTGTCGGTAGGGAGAGAGGACAGAGGTGAAGGACCAGGCCCCCTGTGTGCCAGCCAAGACCTTGGCTTTGAAGCCTGTTTGTTCCTGACCCTCCAGAACCAAAGCCCAGATAAGCCAGCTGTGAGAGCCCCCAAGGGCCCTTGGCCCTGGCACATGAGTCCTCTTAGCCCCAGCAAGAGCAAACCTGGGTTAGCTGAGCAAACTTGCCCTTGGGGCATCTGCACCTCTCACTGTGGGTATCTTGTTGGCATGCCTGCCTTCCTTGCTGGCACCTGCCCCTGTGGCTTTCCTTGTTCTTCTGTCAGCCTGAACCTCTCGGGTGGCCAAGGGTTTGACCATCACATTTCCCAAAAGAATTTCTCCATGACTAGGGATGTGCTCCCGGAGGCGGGTTCTGGAGACAGTGCCTGTAGATTCTGAGGGGACTCGCTGAAGGCAGGAGGTGCTTTGATGTCAGTTTTGGGTATTTCATAAATGTATATTTCCCTGCAAGGGCCGAATTCCCACTTCAAGCACTCTTTCTCTCACCTTGCCTCCTCCCACACATCTAGTAACAACCTCAAACTTGCCCCCAGTCATTATTTTCCTAATTCTGGAAACTCTGTCCCCGCTGGTGGCAAGCTCTTACTCATGTGCAGTGCTTCCTTCTTTGCTGTGGGCATGTCTGTCAATTGCAGACTGTGCTGATAGCAGATTCCAGGTCTGACACTGTTTTCTTCCACCTGGACAGCCCTACACAGGGCTGGCTCTGGTCACTGGTGGGCTCCCAGTCTCCTTATCCTCGAATCAGCCACTCACCCTGTGGTCTACACCCCACCCCTCTAGACTCCCTTTCTACATCCTCTGATCCTAAATTTGCTGTGAGAATGCTACTCACCCAAATATGATCAACTTTTGGGACAGTCTCCTTCTCCGTTCTCTCGTACTGCTTTCCCCAAAGCCATCTCTGCGTATTCATAAGGCCACATCTGCCCATGACTTTGGGCTGACTCACCCTTCCTCTCAGCTCCCTTTCACTCTTTGGGCCAGGTGGTCTCTGAAGTCCCTTCACCTCCCAACTCAGGTGACTGAGGCAGAGTCCACGCCTCCCTCTTTAGGCCTTGCTCTCTTAACCTCCTTTCTTTTTTTTTTTGAGACAGGGTCTCACTTTATTACCCAGGCGGGTGTGCAGTAGCAAGATCACTGCTCACTGCAGCCTTGACCTCCTGGACTCTGGTGATCCTGCCACCTCAGCCTCCCGAGTAGCTGGGACTGCAAGTACATGCCGTCACACCCAGCTAATTTTCATATGTTTTGTAGAGCTGGGTTTTTGCCATGTTGCCCAGGCTGGTCTCGAACTCCTGGGCTCAAGTGATCTCATCCTCCTAAAGTACTAGGATTATAGACATGAACTACTACGCCTAACCAGCTCGTATCCTTTACCTTTAACATGCCACCTCAGTTCCTGTCCCCTGTCCTGGCCTCTTCCCACCTGAGCCCTGCCCTTCGGTCATGAGTTCCCCTGTTCCCTCTCCACCTGGAGGGTCTTCAGTCCTCAGGTTGCCTAATAGCATGGCATCCGAGCTGAGAGCCCCTGAGAAGCGAGACAGGAAGGGAGAAAGGGAAGGAAGTGTTTGCTCCCACCACCCTCCTCACCCCCTAGCTGCCCCTTTAAATATTTGCCTAAGACTCCAGCAGCCAGAGAGTGTCCTGGGACAGTGAAAGGAGGGGAGGGGTGCCAGGATGCGGGGGAGCCCGGAGAAGTGTCCTCTCAGCTCAGCCTCAGCTGTGTGCAGGTGCCAGATGTAGGAGACAGCTCTCCCGCAGTGCCCACCCCTGCCCTCCCCCTGGGCCCCCGCTCTCGCCCCCATCGTCCTGGCAACATTGGGATTGATCAGCTGACTCACGAGTACTGGGCCTGAGCCATGTGGGCAGCTGGCCAGTGGGAGAGCCAAGCACTGCAGGCATCTCGGGGTCCCTGTGGGCATCTCGGGGAGGGGGCCATGCTGTCCTCATGTGGGACTTGTTCTTAGCAGGCATTGTGGGTGGGGCTTGCTGTCATCGCTGGGTGCTGGGAGAGGGGTCTCTTTCTTTGAAAGAAGCCTCTGCTCTTCAGGCCTTCAGTATCCCCTGCTTGTTACCCTTAGGCTGTAGCTGTCACAGGCTTTGTGGCTGCTGTTGCTGCTGCTTCTCCTCTTTCTTTCTTAAACCTGCGTTTTGGCTTGCTTGAGGGCTGGGGAAGGGTGCCTGCTTCCCGGAAGGCTCACACCAACCAGGTGGAGGTCTTGGGTTCCTTGGAGAGGGAAACACAAGAGTCTGCTCTTTAGCTGGGTGTGCCAACCTTCCCCCTCCTCCATACCAGCCCTCTCTGCAGCCTTCTCACTTTTTGGCCTTTACTTAAGCCATTTCTCCCTCTGTGAAAGCCCACCTCCAATCCCTCTCCACTTCTCTGGTTTTATTTTTATTTATTTATTTTTTTGTTTGTTTGTTTTAGAGACAGGGTCTCTCTCTGTTACCCAGGCTGGAGAGCAGTGACGCAATCGCCGTTTAATAGCTCACTGCAGCCTTGATTTCCTGGCCTCAAGTGATCCTCCTACCTTAACCTCCCATAGTTCTGAGATTACAGGCATGAACCCTGCATTCTAGCCTTCCATCTCTCTGAATGCCACCCACCCAAACAGGCCAAGAGCCAATGGCACCTGCTCTGTGACCTCACTCCAGTTCATGGTGCCCTCTGAAATCCTCAGCCTCTCTGTGGCACCTTCCACCTGCATTTGGCACACACAAATGTTCTCATCGGTGACATGGGTGCTTTTTGTTGCTCTATCTTCCAGCCCAACTGTGGACCCTGGAAAGGAAAGGAGCATGCTTCCTGCAGGCTTCGTTGAACATGCCACTGGGCAGGAAGCTCACAAACAGCCAACACTTAATGATAGTCGACAATGAGACCAACCCCAACAGCGGTCGGCAGTCCTCGCCTTCAATATGTGAAGGTCTCAGTGCTTCCACTGGCCAGCTCTGGGACTCAGCAGGAGTCAATCTGCTTTGCTGGGCATTAGTATGTTTGTCTGTGAAATGGGTCAGGTCCTAGCTGTCCACCTCACCACACTGTTGTGAGTACTGGATGACATCCTGGGTGTGAAATCCAATCATCATCAGCATCGTCTACTTCGTACTCTCGGGCACCTCTCACTAGCCAAGAATACAGCACAGACTTGCCCTCTCTATTTCTGGGTTGACCCCCTCCGAGAGTCGTGGGTGATGGACAGCACACGGTGGCCACCCCTTCTGCATAGGCCTCCCCATTTCCTCCTCCAGCCCCTCAGCTGCAGTGGTTGGGACAAGATTCACTTTGCCCTTTGTGTACTGGGCAGAGCCGTGCCAGGGACGGGTGGGGACAGTTGCCTAGCTGCCCCAGCCACCTCCCTACCCCCACTGTTTCCCTCCCCACAAGCTGGCATGGGGAGGGCAGCAGGGCAGCTGGATGTGTGGCAGCAAGTGGACATCAAAGGGCAGGGGCATCCCTGGCTGGGAGAACACAACTTAAGCTCAGACCAGAGAATCCCCTGCTGGCAGAGGCCGGGGACAGCTGGGGAAGCATTTTAAAGCCAGTGGTCTCCGTTCCCTGGACTGATGTGGAAAGGGCACGAGACTAGGAGCCCAGGCAGCTGACAGCCAGCCTTCCCTTGCCCTGAGCCCACGAGCTCTTAGGACAGTCAACCCCCTTCAACGGGGACCTAATGTGGTATAGAGCAGCAGTCTTCAAGCTTTTTGGTTTCAGGACCCCTCAATACTCTCAAAAAGTACTGAGGACCCTAAAGAGCTTTTGTTTATGTGGGAAATATCTATTGATAGTTGCTGAGAAATTAAAGTTTTATTTGCATATTAATTTAAAATATCAGTAATAAACCCATTATATGTTACGACTAAATCATATTTTTAATGGATATAACTATTTTACAAAGCAAAAAAAAAATTAGAGAGGAGTGTCATTGCTTTAGTTTTGGAAATCTTTTCAATGTGGGGCTTAATAGAAGTGAAAAGGGTGAATCATGTCTTAACAACATTAGGAAAATTGTTCTGACCTCAGACAGTTTCCGAAGGGTTCACAAGGACCTCTCGTCTCCCAGGGGCATACTAGGAAGAGCCCCACATAGAAGGACGACCGTAAATGGCGAAGTTGGGCAGAGTGGGCGGAAATCCCTGCTGATACCTTTTCTTCCCGTGTAACAGGCCTCGCTTTTCTTGTCTGTAAAAGGGAATTACTATCGCCTGCCTCAAACGATGGAGAGGATGAAGTAAGGAAAGTACAGAGCACATGCTAGATGCATAACAAGCTTAGCCAGCCTCTTTTGGGGGGCCTCAGTTTCCTCGTTTGTTAGACAAAGGGCTGGACTGGAAAACATCCAACGCGCTCGCCAACTCCAACAGGCTGTGGCTGAGCAGTGAGAAACGTTCCAGAATTCCACATAGTCCCACTCCAGCTCCAGAGGCTGCATTTCCCTTCTCAGCTCATGCTGACACAAAGGTACATGCTGTTCAGCGGCGCGTGGAAAAACATGTGAATCCAGTTAGAAGCACACTTCAGACTCCTCCAGGACGCCCTTGTGCTTCTAATCTTGCCTGCTAACTTAGATATGCGTCTGTCACTCAAGACATGCCCATGGCTCTGCCCTGGGGATGTGTCTCTCCATGCAAAGAAACCCAGGTACCCAGAAGCACAGGGATCCCTCACCCCGAAGCGCCTCCACAAGGCGGTGTGTGCATGTGCCCGTGCACAGATAGGTGAGCACCGGCGCGCACGGTCGTGCCCAGCACACGGAGGCACAAGAACACGCTCACATGCTTTCACTTACGCGCAGCCACACACGCGTATGGCCCCAGAGACCGCCTGGTAGAGCACACAGCGGCCACTCCTCCCTTCGGCGACTCCCAGGCCCAGGCCTCCCCCCGCCGCCCCGCGCGCGCCCCCGCCGCCCGCGCCGCAGTCCGCATCCACCCGGTGCGGTCAGCCCCGGCTGCGGCTCCAGCTCGGTGCTCCGCGCTTCTTTCCGAGCCGGATCGCGGGAGCGAGCAGGGGAGGGGACCGCAGCCGGCGCCCGAGGGCAGGAGGAGTCCGCCGGCGTGCCCCGGGCTGCCGCAGCAGCTGCCGGTGGCTAGGAGGTGCCAGCCCGCACGGGGTGGCCCAGCTGCGGGAGCGGCGGGGCGGGGGCCGTGGCCGCGGGCCCCGGGGAGAGCTCGCGGGCAGCATGGCGGGGCTGCGGGCCAGGCGGGGCCCGGAGCTGAGGCTGCTGGCGCTCTTGGCGCTCGGCTTCTGCCTCACGCTGCAAGTCAGTGCTAAGAGGCCCCCCAAGACGCCCCCCTGCCCGCCCAGCTGCTCCTGCACCAGGGACACCGCCTTCTGCGTGGACTCCAAGGCAGTGCCCAGGAACCTGCCCTCAGAGGTCATCTCCCTGTGAGTGTCCAACCCTGGCCTTGGGGGGTGGGGAGGGAGAGGAGGCCGATGACAGCTCTGGGAGAGGACAGGAGAACCCCTGCTCCCAGTCTTCAGAGTGTAGAGACCAGGGGGACCGCAGGGGTCCTCAGGACTGGAGATTCCAGGCACCAGTGGGCAGCGAGTCCTGCAGTTTTGCAGGCTCAGCCGCCATGGCTGGGAAAAGCAGGAGTTCACTGCCAAGAATGAATCATCACTGCCAGGAGCATCAATGAGACCTACTGTGTGCTGGGCTCCGGACTTGGGGGGGTTGTTTACACGAGCATGTGGGCCCCTGTCTGTGATGTCACACCAAGGGTAGGAGGGCTCCTTATGCGGGAGGAGGGTGGCAGGCAGGGCGGGGTGGGAATGAGCTATGCCCTCCCAGCACCCTGGCTCGGGGCACATGCCTGCCACTGGCCAGGCACTCGGCACCCAGCCCAGCCAGCCTGTCACTTGCAGCAGCCAGCCTCAGGGCTCCCCTTGTCTGTGGAACCAGAGAGGCTGTGAGGTCCTTGGGGACCAGGATGCCAGCCACCACCCCCCATGCCCCATCTCTCAACAGCACCCAGCACATTGTGGGTGTTTGGATGATGATGACGACGGTGCGGGTGATGGAACCTTTTCTTGGCTAAGAGGGAAGCTGAGCCTGGGGCCATCGGTGCCCCAAGAGGCAGTAGGGGAGAACCATGGGGAAGGCAGGGGGTGAATTTGGGGGGAGAAAGGAAATACACACAGGTAGGGCCAAGGAAGCTTGGTGAAATGGGGCGTTTCCAGAGTGAGTATAAAAGCCACTCCCTCCCTGTCCACCTCTCCCTGCCTCAGCACAGTCCCTGCAGCCCCCACAGTACTGACTGGGGTGTCTCCGCAGGACCCTGGTGAATGCTGCCTTCTCAGAGATCCAGGATGGAGCATTTGCCCACCTCCCACTGCTGCAGTTCTTGTATGAACAGGGCCTTGGGGAAGGGTTGGGGGGACTGTGGGGATGGTAGAAGGGGACAGATCCTGGGCTGGGGAGACAGAGAGAGAGTGGACAGAAGCAGCCTCTGGAGATGAAGATGCAGGTATCCCTTGCTTCTGTTCTGAAAGGATGTACCCAAAAGGCAGGGCAGCCTGGAGTCATGGGAGTCAGGGGCAACAGGAGGAAAGCTAGAGACGGCTTACAGAAGACGGGGGGGAGGAGGATCGGGGATGGGCTCTGCTCCTCTGCTCCTCTGGGTCAGTACCCAAGGTGGGCACTGTGGAGTCATCTTAGAGACAGGTGACCCCAGGAATCAGGGATCACAGAAAGAGCTGGGGGCTGAAAGAAAGGGATGGCAGGAGTGTCTGGAACTCTACAAGATGCCATCCATGAGGGACAGTTGTCCATGAGGGGTCGAAGTGGGACAGAGTGACGGTGGGGGACAGGGAGAGGAGATGCCATGGGGGTGGGCCAGGAGCCGATTTGACAACAGAGCCCTGCCTTGGCGCATGTTTAGGAGCCAACAGGGACTCTGGGAGCTTCTGGGGCTAGAACAGGCTCCTACCTGGTCTTGTTGCCCAGGTGGCCCAGGGGTTCCCTATGGGGTCCCTACAGGTGGCAGCAGGGCAGCCAGATCTTGGAGAAGCCCAGGGCTGAGGCAGCGGGCTGGGGGCTGGGGCAGCAGGCACACCCTTGAAAGCTGTAATTCCAACTTTGTCTCCGCAGGTTACTCAACTCCAACAAGTTTACGCTGATCGGTGACAACGCCTTCACAGGACTGTCGCACCTGCAATATCTGTGTGTGGGACGGAAGGGGGCCATGGGAAAGCAGAAGGGAGGGGGACCCCAGGCCTGGGGGGCCAAGGGTCTGGGTGGGGAGTGGATGAGAAGGATTTGGGATGGGGCGATGATGGGAGGCCATAGCTCTTGCATCCCACGATGGCAGGGCCTGAGCAGGAGGTCGTTTCATTCGTTTTGCCTCCACCCTACCTGATGCCCTGTCCCTACCGGCTTGATGATGCCAGACTCCATCTGGAAATCTGTCTTGGGGACATGGGCTGACATCTAGGCTGAGGCATAGGGCGAGTGCTGCTGGGGGTCTGGCATTCTGTGTGACAACTGAGACCCATTCTTGCTTTCCCTAGCTTCATTGAGAACAATGACATCTGGGCCCTATCCAAGTTCACCTTCCGAGGACTCAAGTCCTTGACTCACCTGTGAGTACATCACGCATTCACACACTTCACTGAAGCCCCACCTCTCCTGTGGCTTTGGCGGTGGTCATGATCTTCAGATGACCCAGAGGTCTCTCTTGCAGCTCGCTGGCCAACAATAACCTGCAGACACTGCCCAGAGACATCTTTCGGCCCCTGGACATCCTGAACGACTTGTAAGGCCCAAGTGCTGCCTCCTCCAACAGTGCCGCAGAGGGTGCATCCCTGGAGGGAGTAGCATGGGAGTCAGGACTGGGATGGCCATGAGGTCTTGAGAGGCTGGGAGGGCTTGGGTCTTGGGGGTCCCTGAGAAGGCGACGTGCAGTTAGATACGGATGGTAGCTCTCCAAACTGGAGTTTCTCTGAAAGCACACCAGAGACGCCATGTGTGTATGTTTTAAAAATGTGCTTTGTAAGCCTGGGCGTGGTGACTTATACCCATAATCCCAGCATTTTGGGAGGCTGAGATGGGTGGATCACCTGAGGTCAGGAGTTTGAGACCAGCCTGGCCAACATGGCGAAACCCCATCTCTACTAAAAATACAATAATTTGCCAGGCATGGTGGTGGGCACCTATAATCCCAGCTACTTGGGAGGCTGAGGCAGGAGAATCGCTTGAACCAGGGAGGCAGAGATTGCAGTAGGCCAAGATCACACCATGGCACTCCAGCTTGGGCAGCAAGAGTGAAACACAGTCTCAAAAAATAAGTAAAAACATGTGCTTTTTTTTTGGAGACAGAGGAGTCTCACGCCGTTGCCCAGGCTGGAGTGCAGTGGTGCCATCTCGGCTCACTGCAACCTCTGCCTCCCAGGTTCAAGTGATTCTCCTGCCTAAGCCTCCTGAGTAGCTGGAACTACAGGCATGAGCCACCACGCCAGGCTATTTTTTTGTATTTTTAGTAGAAATGGGGTTTCACCATGTTGGCCAGGCTGGTCTTGAACTCCTGACCTCAAGTGATCCGCCCACTTTGACCTCCCAGAGTGCTGGGATTACAGGCATGAGCCCCTGCACCCAGCCAACATGTGCTCTTTCAATGTATCTTTGACTGGACTCTACATTAAAGTCCAATGAGGGAGGAGTGTTTGAAGGTCTTGAGTGAGTAGTGGCGTATAGTAGTATATATACAGCACATAGTAGTATGTAGCATAGCCACACTCATTTATCATATTTATAAGAAAATAAAAGCCTTGGATTGTGGGAGGCTTAGAGAAACAGGGATGAAACATATAGCTGTGCAAGTTGCACACTGCAAAAACTAACCTGGCCAAAGAGCTCAGCAAGGGCTGAAACTGGCTCCACACTGCTGGCCAAGCCCACACGTGTCTGTGGAGCTGCATCCAGCCAGAGCGCAACTTTTCTCTAATCAGTACAAAGATGCAAGTGAGCGACTCGAAGCAGCCTTGACCAGCTCTACTAATGGAAACCTGGAGGGCCTGGGTGGGCCTAGCCCTGAGAGCCTGTCCCTCTCTGTGCCCCCTCCTCTGCCCTCATGATGCAGAGATCTGCGGGGCAACTCCCTCAACTGTGACTGCAAGGTGAAGTGGTTGGTGGAGTGGCTGGCACACACCAACACCACGGTGGCGCCCATCTACTGCGCCAGCCCGCCCCGCTTCCAGGAGCACAAGGTCCAGGACCTGCCCCTGCGGGAGTTCGACTGCATCACCACCGGTAGGAGGTGCCCCTGCCTTGGGCGTCAGTCCATGCCTACCCCAAGGCAGCTTGACAGTCATGAACCCTCCCCACCCTGTCCCACAACACTCAGCAGCAGCAGTCAAGCAACCACTGTCACCCACGCAGCCCTTCCCTTCTCCTTCTGGTCTTGAGTCACACGTCTCTCATTCCTGCAGATTTCGTGCTGTACCAGACCCTGTCCTTCCCAGCAGTGTCAGCTGAGCCCTTCCTCTACTCCAGCGACCTCTATTTGGCTCTGGCCCAGCCAGGTGTCAGTGCCTGCACCATCCTGAAGTGGGACTATGTCGAGCGGCAGCTTCGAGACTATGATAGAATCCCAGGTACCTGTGCCCAACCTGGCTCTGCTGGCCCTTGCCAGGGGGAGGGAGAGTGGGCTTCATCATTCAACTCCATTGAGTTCCTGTAGGTAGAGGGATAGATGAGACATAGCTTCTGCCCACAAAAACTTTCCAGTCTTTGGAAGGAGGCCAATATGTACACAGATAACATCCATATGCTAGGCAGGTGTTAAAAAGGGAGATATGAACACGATGCTCTTAGCAGCACAAAGGACAGGCCTATCCTGGGCAATCAGGGAAGGCTTCCTGGTGTAGGGCAATATCTAAGTTGAGTCTTAAAGGATAAAAGAAAGGGAAGACTCAGAGGTGATGCCCAGGTTTCTCACTTAAATCATCAGATGAACTGGGAAATGAGGAGGAGGAGACAGGAGTGACTGTTGAGCTCAGTTTTGGATCTACTGAGTTTGAGCTGAGTCTTGAAGGCTGGAGGAGATTTAGGAGCTAGAAAAATAGAGTGTTTTGGCAGAGGGAAAAGCATGAACAAAGTCAAGGAGGTGTGTGGTACCTTAGTATGTGAATGTGTGTATGTGTGCAAATCATAAGCAGCTTGTACGACAAGGGATAAGGTTCAAGGTGGGTGAACCCTTGACAGGGTTTGGGCAGAATGTGTGATCCAGTCTGCACTTTGGAAAGCTTCTTGCAAGGGAAAAGGCTAGGTGTGGGGCAAGACACAAGGGCAGAACATTAGGGGGATATGTGCCTGTCTGCTAGAGGGGTGTTGGAGCCTGGACATGAGACAGTAGCAGTGAGGATGGAAGGAGAGATTTAAAAGGAGGGTTAAACTGACACAAGATGAAACAGAAAACTTACATTGCCCCATCTCCATTAAGGAACTTGAAATCAGTATTAAAGAAAAAAACAAAGGGCCAGGTGCAGCGGCTCATGCCTGTAATCCCAGCACTTCGGGAGGCTGAGGCAGTTGAATCACAATGTCAGGAGTTTAAGACCAGCCTGGCCAAGATGGCGAAACTCTGCCTCTACTAAAAAACTACAAAAATTAGCTGGGAGTGGTGGCGGGCACCTGTAATTCCAGCTACTCGGGAGACTGAGGCAGAAGAATCACTTGAACCCAGGTAGCAGAGGTTACAGTGAGCTGAGATCATGCCACTGCGCTCCAGCCTGGGTGACAGAGTGAGAATCCGTCTTTAAAAAAAAAAAAAATGAACAAAAGAAAGAAAAAAGGAAACCCAAAACACCTTCCCCCCAAAAAACCTCCTGGCCCCAATAATTTCCCTGGTGAGCTCTATCAAACATTTAAAGAGAAACTAACACCAATCTACATACACACTATGAGGAAGTAGAAAGGAAGCTTGTTGGGACCAGGGGACTGATCAGGGAGGGGCGAGTGGAGGAGAGAAAGGTGTTAGGGATGACTGCCAGGTTTCTGGATTGGGAGACTAGTGGAGCCACAGCTGAAACCAAGAACAGAGGAGGAAGAGGGTAGGCTCAGTGACGGATATGGAGCTCAGTTGTGAGTTGTGAACCTTGAATGGTGCTTGTGTGGGTGTGTAGGCCAGGAGAGTCTGAGGGAAAAGCAGGAGCTGGGGGGTGGCATGGGGGTCATTAGCATCTGGGCGGGGCAGACCAAGCCCAAAGAAGGCATTTAGGCAGTGACTGCCAGAGCCTGAGGCTCTGCGAAAACTTCTCTTGGGAGAAAGGTGGGGTGGTAGTGAGAAGGAAAGAGGGGTGAGTTGGGGATGTCAAGGTGGAGATGCTGGGCAGTAGCTGGAGACCCCAGGACAGGTGGGCAGTGCATGGTTTCATGTGCTTGGTGTCCGAGAAGGGCTCTGATGAAGCTGATTGTGAGTATGGGTGCACCTGGGCACTCATTCTTGTACATAAAAGCCCTTTCAAAAGTGAGAACTCTTGGGAGGTTGTGTTTTTATGCGCCGTTATGCAAAAAGCAAGGAGTCTTGGGTATACCTAAGATTTCTCGGGCTGGGCGCGGTGACTCATGCCTGTAATCCCAGCACTTTGGGAGGCCGAGACGGGCGGATCATGAGGTCAAGAGATCGAGACCATCTTGGTCAACATGGTGAAACCCCGTCTCTACTAAAAACACAAAAAATTAGCTGGGCATGGTGGCACGTACCTGTAATCCCAGCTACTTGGGAAGCTGAGGCAGGAGAATTGCCTGAACCCAGAAGGCGGAGGTTGCAGTGAGCCGAGATTGTGCCATTGCCCTCCAGCCTGGGTAACAAGAGCGAAACTCCATTTCAAAAAAAAAGATTTCTCTCCCGACTGTGGATCCACTCAAATTCTTCCTCCCTTCCCTGCCTGGCCACTGCCAGTGGGGTAGCTTTGGGCAAGTCACTTGCTCTCTCTGAGCCTCAGTTTCTTTTTGTGTGAAACAGACAAAAGTCACAGGGTCCTTTCCAACGTGTTGGATTCCTCATCAATGTAATGTGTGCTTACATTCAGCACAGTGGCTGCCTGCACACCATAAAAATTCAATAACTGACATTAAGGTTAAGCAACAAGTCAATATCGAGGGACACCTATTTTGGGCTGTGTCAGCTTATATTTGAACCCTAGGGTTATGGGTGGAACAAGGGTGATATACAACTGGGCATCAGTTGTGAATCAATTGGAAAGCACTGAGTGCTTAGTGAATGAACTTCCGTGTGGGTGGAATGGTATAGCACAGAGTCTTGGTCCTGGTCCAAGGTTGGAAGGGATGGCCTTCTCTGAGGGGGTGGGATGGAGTGGGAGCTGCCCACCTGCCTGATGCTGCCTGCCCCTGTCCTGGCACAGCCCCCTCTGCAGTGCACTGCAAGCCGATGGTGGTGGACAGCCAGCTGTATGTGGTCGTGGCCCAGCTGTTTGGCGGCTCTTACATTTACCACTGGGATCCCAACACCACGCGCTTCACCAAGCTGCAGGACATTGACCCGCAGCGTGTGCGCAAGCCTAATGACCTAGAGGCCTTCCGCATCGATGGTGACTGGTACTTTGCCGTGGCCGACAGCTCCAAGGCAGGTGCCACCAGCCTCTACCGCTGGCACCAGAATGGCTTCTACTCCCACCAGGCGCTGCACCCCTGGCACCGCGACACAGACCTGGAGTTTGTGGACGGTGAGGGCAAGCCGAGGCTGATCGTGTCCAGCAGTTCCCAGGCGCCCGTCATTTATCAGTGGAGTCGCACCCAGAAGCAGTTTGTGGCTCAGGGTGAGGTGACCCAGGTGCCTGATGCCCAGGCTGTGAAACACTTTCGTGCCGGTCGCGACAGCTACCTGTGCCTCAGCCGCTACATCGGCGACTCCAAGATCCTGCGCTGGGAGGGCACCCGCTTCTCCGAGGTGCAGGCCCTGCCCTCCCGGGGCTCGCTGGCCCTGCAGCCCTTCCTCGTGGGTGGCCGCCGCTACCTGGCGCTGGGCAGCGACTTCTCCTTCACCCAGATCTACCAGTGGGATGAGGGGCGACAGAAGTTTGTACGGTTCCAGGAGCTGGCTGTGCAGGCCCCTCGGGCCTTCTGCTACATGCCTGCTGGGGACGCCCAGCTGCTCTTGGCCCCCAGCTTCAAGGGACAGACACTGGTGTACAGACATGTTGTGGTGGATCTCAGTGCCTAGCAAGGTGCTGAGGCCTCTGGGCTCCTCAGGGTGGCAGCTGGAGGTTGGGTGGGGGCCTCTGTGAGCAGCATGTGTGCCTGTGTGAAGACACGAGGCCAACCTGCATCTGTGCCCTGGCATATGCACATGCCCGGTGTGCACAGGCACACCCTGTGGACTGGCCCAGGGGGACATGCGTCATCACTGTAATCAGCATGAACACCAGGCACCGCTGGGACACCTAGCGCCCAGTTCCCGTGACCCTATCCGGCAAGTCCCTGCACTCTGCAGCCTTCCCCACGGTCTGCCCCCAGTCTCATGCATATGAGTGGTGCAGGGTGCTGGGAGCGAGAGGGGCCGCATCCTCCTGTTCCCTTGCTTCTCCTTCTGCCCCCTGGTCTTCCCTGTCGGTGCTCCAGGCGTCGTTTACCTGCCCTTGCTTCCCTGGGGTGCACTCAGCCCTGTCCCGCCCCGTCTGCATGCTCATGTGGATGGGAATGGACACAATTACACACTCACACGCCCCATCCTCACCCCATGTCCATCTATAAACATGTCAGGGCACATGTGCTTACATGCAGAATCAGTGCTGCCCACTGGGCTCGCCTCTGTTACTTTGCCTCTCTGCTTGGAGGGGACCCCCTCTGCTCACCCCCATCGTGCCCCCCTGCCACTGATAAGGATGAGAATGGTGGTGCCAGCTTTTGAGGGCCTGCTTGGCATCCTGGGGGCAAAGCCCCTTTGCCCAAAGCAATAACAACAGCAGCAGAAGCAGCCTGGGGAGCTTCCAGCTCTCTCTGCCTCTGTTCTTGGCGTTTCCTTCCTGGTCCTGAATCCCAGCTCACCCATGGACAGAGGCCCCCCCAACTGAAAGCCTTTCTGCTTTTCTTCCTGGAGCTGTCACTTCCTCAGCCTGGGACTATCCCCTGCTTCACCCTGTCTTTGGGACATGGCCCCAGAGCTGGGCAGGCCTCTTGGGTGAATCCGAGAGCTGGCCGAGCTGCAAGCACCCAAGCTACCTGTGACGGCACCCAGAGTGGAGCCAGTCCTGAGGGCATGTTGCAGCCCTGGCACCCCCAATCCACAGAGGCCCCCCCTAGGAGCACTGTCTTTCAGTGGACAGGGTGGGAGCCGAGCTTCTGCTGCCCTCTGCTGTCTGCTGAGATGCCAGGCTAGTGGAGAGGGAGTGGGCAGGGGTGGCCCTGCCCTGTGCCCAGATGGTGTGATGCTCCTTGTGGCAGGATACCAGGGCACTGAGGGGCAATGCTATGATTCACTTGCTTCAAATAAAAAGTTCCCTCCCCATAACTGGTTCTCAGTATCATCAAGGTGTTTCATTGAAAACGGAGCCTGGGCCTGCCCTGCTGCGCACAGGGGGCCTGGCAATGGTCTCCAGACTTTCTTCCTCCTGCTTCCCTTCTTTCTGAGACGTGGGCATCCCCAGCATCACCTGGGGCTGGGGTCAGGAGTTCACAGGGATGGCACTCAGGTTCTGGGCAGGTGTGACAAGTCTCCAGCACCTGGGGCTGACTCACAACTCATGTTCCTTCCTGGAGATCACAGTCTGGGGACCCAGGAAGACTTGAGTCTGTCCCACTGTCAGGTCAACTGCAACCAGTGTGGCTTAGGACAATCTCAGCAATTCCTCTCTTTTTACCCCTGACTCCCATTCCTCCACTAGACAAATATCTGTCACCTGCCATCTCCACCCAGGTGAGGTGCCTTGCAGTCCTAGGTGACATCCGGGTCCCCCTTCTCCCATATTTCATAATCCACCAAGTCCTCTCCATTCTTTGTCTCACAGGTTTGCTAGATGGGCACTTTTTTGTCTTGCCCTTTCCAAGCTCAAATCTTTGTCCAAACCCTTCTCGTTGTCCACTGTGTTGGGTCCCTTGCCAGCCCCTGCCAACGAGCTTCTTGGTCCGATTCTTTTTTTTTCTTTTTTAGATGGAGTTTCACTCTTGTCGCCCAGGCTGTAGTACAATGGTATGATCTTGGCTCACTGCAATCTCCGCCTTTCTGGTTTAAGCAATTCTCCTGCCTCAGCCTCCTGAGTAGTTGGGTCTACAGGTGCCCACCACCACATCCGGTTGATTTTTGTATTTTTAGTAGAGACAGGGTTTCACCATGTTGGCTAGGTGGGTCTTGAACTCCTGACCTCAGGTGATCCACCCGCCTTGGCCTCCCAAAGTGCTGGGATTACAGGCGTGAGCCACCGTGCCCGGCCATCGGTCTGATCTTTCTAACACATACTTCTCTCCTGTCCTACCCTGCTCGGGAACCTGCCTTGGCTTCCTGCTCAACAAGCCCATGAGCCTCTTCCCTACATGAAGATCACCTGTGACCCCATCCCACTGCACACACCCAAGCCTGGACACACCCAAGTCAGGGGCCCTCAACATCTCCGAGTGGAGTCGAGAGAGTCTGAGACAGTCAGATGGGGGACGGCGGGGGCGGGACAATGCTCAGGGTGTCAGTGCAAGTAATGGAGTCTCGGGACAGCACGCTGGTGCTGAACGCAAAACAGGTGCTGTCAAACTGGGGGACCCCTCTTCTCTTCCCCCATGGGCTTGAGTAAATGGATTCCTCTTGTGGCCTTGTGTGGGTTGGTGACAGTATAAGGCACAGGAGATGGAAGTGGGGGAAATGATGGATCCTTGGGCAGGGGTGCTTGCTGTGTGACCCTGGGCAGCTTAAATCTCTTCTCTGTGTCTCAGGTTTTCATTTGTCCTCCAGAGCCCCTTTCAGCTCTCGCATGTCACAAAACCCCCTTCGTTTCTCTTCTTCAGTGAGCATCTGTGAGCAGCTGGGCACAGCGGACTGGGTCATGGCCGGAGAGCCCAGGCAGCTTGAAACCAGCCTGGCGGGGGCGGAGAACTGGAGACAGTGGGGTTTGGAGCCTGGATAACAGGGGTGTGAATTCTGGCTCAGTCCCTTCCCGTGGTGTGATATTTCAAGCAAGTCATTTGATTTTCCTGAGCTTCAATTCCTCCTTCTGTGAGGCAGATTAAAAACCCCACTTCATGGATTCCTGATTCTGCCAGCTTGATAGCTGGGTGAAACCAGCTAGTAACACTCAGCCACATTACCTAGCCTATTTGTGCCTCAGTTTTCGTCATTTGTAAAATGGGTATAATCGTGATACCTACCTGATGGCATGTTTGTTAGTTTTTTGTTTTTTGGTTTTTTTCCAGCTCAGGCTGGAGTGCAGTAGTGCAATCTTGACTCACTGCAACCTCCACCTCCTAAGTTCAATTAATTCTCCTGCCTCAGCCTCACAAGTAGGGGGGACTACAGGAGCACGCCCCCACGCCTGGCTAATTTTCATATTTTTGGTAGAGACGGGGTTTCACCATGTTTGCCAAGCTGGTTTCGTAGTCCTTACCTCAATAATCTGCCAACCTCCATCTCCCAAACTGCTGGGATTACAGGCGTGAGCCACCGCTTCCGACCCTGACAGGGTTATATATCATGAGATTTAAATGCATTAATATATGTAAATCCATATATACAGGTATAGTGTGTTCAGCACATAATTATGATTTGCCTGGGTCTGTAGGACTATATGAAAACAGAGGTGGCTTAGAGAAGGGCGTTTTGTACAAGAGGAGGAGGTGGTTTTTTGGAGAGAACTGTCTGTGGGTGACAGTTCCTCACCCATCCTCAGTCTTGGCACCCCTATGCCCCATATCTTACATGCTGCCTCTGATCTGGCCTCCTCGCCCCCAGAAATAGGTGACTGATCTGCCTTCCACCTCCCTAAACATGCTCTTGGCTTAGCAGGCACCTCCATCATCCTGGGGAGGGCTGTCCTTTTTCAAATGGGAAATAGGCCCTTATCCTGTGCTTGGGAGAGGTTGCCAGGGTAAGTAGGTTGAGTCTCCCAGACATGCTGGCATTCTGCTGCCCAGTAGAAAGATAAATATCACTTTGACAGCTGCTAACCCCGTAGGGGGAGCTCTTCTGAGGGTTGGGAGGCATTCTCCTCCCTCGGCCACTGAGTGCCCAGCTTTCTGTGTGTGTCTGCCGGGTCACCTGCCCTGGGGCTTGTCCACGTCCAGAGTGCTGCTTAGCAACCCAGGGGAACTGGGTGACTGTGTCAACAGCTTAGGACCAAAGGCTGCAAGAGGCAAGGTCCATGCACTCTGCCAAGGCCAGGGAGGGTGGCACTCAGCTGCCAGCCTCTTGCCCTCCATGCTGAGACTTGCTGTCAGCAAGGACCTGACATCTCTTCTCTAGATTTCCCAAGCACAGGCACTGGGACCAGGAGTCTCCATGCAGAAGACCATCCCAGCTGAGTGGGCTTTGGGTGGGACCAGGGAATGTTTCCCAGTGAATGGGGGTAGACAGAGGCCTGTGATGCTGAGGTCAGGCATGTGGCCCCAAAAGGCAGCGGAGGAAAGGAACAGTTCTGCAGACTCACCAAAGGACTCAAGGCTCACATGTGCAGTGAGCTCCTGAGTCATCAGGTCCCTTTCCTCCTGAGACCATCAGGGGATCACACCCTTCCTCCTTCAGGGGGACCCAGGACACTTTTCACTTAGAGAACAGTGTCTGTGCCTAGAGATGGACAGTGGCTGGGGCCTTCCTTAGAGGGGTTCCTCTAGCCCTTGGCCTGTCTGGTGACTCCAATGTGTGTGTGTGAGGGGAACGGGTAAATGTGAGGGGGTGGTTAAGAGAGGAGATGGAGACATGGGGGCTTCCAGGGAGTTTCTCCTGTGGGCCTGTTTCACTGCTAGCTCTCACACCCAAAAATACCAATAAAACTGATGATAATAATTAAGACCATATAATCATTGTGCATTTATTTACCCCCTGGAAGCCTCCTTTCCCTGGCCCCATCATTACCTTTTCCATCCTTACGATAGCTGGTGGGCGTTAACTATGGCTCCAATAAAAAGCAGTAACTGCCTGTGTTTCCACCCCACATGCCCCGACAGCTTTGCTCCCACCCTCTGCAGGGCAGGGCAACACTGTGCTCCCTATTTGCGGAGGGAACAATTGAGGCAGTAAGCTGAAGATGTCATAAAGAATGAAACCTCACAGGGCAAGCAGAAGCAGCAACTTTTGCCTTCTTCTTTTTTTTTAGATAGAGTCTCACTCTGTCGCCAGGCTGGAGTTAAGGGCCGCAATCTCGGCTCACTGCAACCTCTGCCCACTGGTTCAAGCAATTCTCCTGCCTCAGCTTCCCAAGTAACTAGGACTATAGGTACGTGCCACCATGCCCGGTTAATTTTTGTATTTTTAGTAGACACGGGGTTTCACCATGTTGGCCAGGATGGCCTCGATCTTGTGACCTCGTGATCCTCCCACCTGAGCCTCCCAAAGTGCTGGGATTACAGGAGTGAGCCACGACGCCCCCCCTTGCTTTCTTTTTTAGAGGCTTCTCCCTTCTTCCAGGTGTCTGCCTCCCTCCCAGAGGAACTTCTCCGGTTCCACGTCCGTCTGCAGCGCCACTCTCAGCCTGCAGCTGCTGATGCCTCAGAAGACTGATCAAGCCAAGCATGTAGCCACCAGCCAGCAATAAACATTGGGTGACATCGGGAAAGTTACTTTTTACCAGTGAGCGTCCTATTTCCTACATGGTAAAAAGGATGCTTGCAAAATTAAGACCTTTTGTGCAAACACGCACTACAAAATAGCAATGGCTGAGGCTACTGTTAAGGGCCCAGGGATATTTGTGTAACTTGGCTCAGAAGAATAGGTGGAATTTCAAACTTCTGGTGAAGGAACTTGGGAGCTGGGAGCTGTACCCAGAATGTCTCAAAGCATCGTGGTCAGCCCACCTCGGAGTCAGGGCTCTGGAAGGGCATCCCAGAGCGAAGGGAACCCCTGAAACTCGCTGGGGTGAAGAGTGCCTCAAGTTCCCTCTCCCGGACGCCGCCCCGCTTTCCCTCCTGGACCCACTACTGTAAGACCCGGGCTTGCGGGCGCTTAGCCAGCGTCCTTCCAGCTCCTTCCCGAGCCTGCAGGGATCCTCCCATAATCCCCCAACCGCATCTCATACCTTTACCCATTTCACTCAGGGAAAAACGAGGCGAGAAGGAAAGACACTGGGAAAAACCAGTGAAGGGTCGCGAAAACTCTGGAGTCCCGATTTTCTTCGTGTCCCGACCCCCGCACTCCCCCTGCTTTTTTATTGCAGCTTCCCACACTCTAATCTTTCCGATTGGGACGGCGACTCTACTGTGGGCCCCACGCGCAAGTCCCGTAGCACATCGCCCCTTTAAGGGGCGGGCCTCTCGCCTCCGTGACCTCGCCCCGCCCCCTCTGGGACCACACTGCGCTTGCGTGGTGAGCCGGAGCCCTGGGGTTGGGCAGCACTTGGTTCCGTGCAACTTTCAAGTGAGTTGCAAACTCCGCCCTGCAGGCCGGTGCCGGTGGCTGGGTGCACCGGGACCGCGGCGACTCGCACGAGCGAGGCCGCGACCTGCCGCTCCAGCGCGGGACCAGCAGCGAGGGCGGAGCACGGGGTTCTCCGCGTCAGGAAGGGCGGGTCGGAGCCGTAACTGCCCCAGCCGCGGGGCGTACGCGCCAACGCCCGCTCCCAAGTCGGCTTCCTCCCCGCCGGGGCCACTTTGCCCCAGGTCTCACCGTTCTCCAGGTCCTCTGAACTGCAGAGTCGGAGGCCGTGGGCGGCGGGCTCGGCCTCAGCCGAGGGACAGCTGAACCGCCCCTCTGCTTCCCGCAACTGCCCCGATACCCCCTTGTCCCAGCCCTTGCTTGAACGACCCTCTGGGCGGCTTCCTGGGGTTCTGCCCTCGTCCCCAAGGCCGGAAAGATGGTGTCCTGGATGATCTGTCGCCTGGTGGTGTGAGTATGGCTGCCCTCAGACCTCCTCTACCCCGGGGTGCCGTCCCGCCCCTGTGGTGGAAGCTGGGGACGTGCGGTGGGAGAGGGAACTTTCCAAGCTCCACCCTCCCGCACTCCATGCAAGGGTTAACGGACCTGTGGTCTTGCAGGCGGTGTCTGGGGCACAGCAGGCTCCCCGCCCCACCAACACCCCCCCCCGCCCCCACCAAGCCTCGTTGGCTGAGGACGACCCCTGCCACACGCCACACACACTGCAAACAGATGTGTGGGGCCAAGGGCCACAGGCCTACCTTGCAGCTCCTTGGCAAACACAAGGTGATATGGCACGGTGTGGGTGGAGAATCCAGGTGCCTACTTGCCATCGAGCAGTCACGTGACTCACATCCTGCTCCTCACCTTTGAGCACTCCAACACCTGGTTCACTTAGCCCTGTCTGCAGCCCGGCAGTGCCAGGTCTGGTGGCCCTGGGCCTGATTGCATGCCCATGGGAGGGGACAGTCTGGTGTTCTCACCCACTTCGTGGAGTGGCTGTCCTCTTGCTCCATCAGGCACCCATGGGCCACATGTGCAGGCCTGGGCAGGCTTGGGATGTTTGTAAACAGCAGGGTGGGGAGGTGGCCTCCAGGGTTCTGACTCAGGCACGGGTTGTACAAGCCAAGCGAGAAAAACAAGGTAGGTAATGCCACCTTGCACCCCAGTGGGGGGAAGTGGCCACCTGGCAGGGTGGGAGTGGGGCATGGGGCCCCTCATGTTCCCGGTGACTGCTCTTCCAGGCTGGTGTTTGGGATGCTGTATCCAGCTTATGCTTCCTATAAGGCTGTGAAGACCAAGAACATTCGTGAATACGTGAGTGTGGGTGGTTGGGTGTGTGTAGTAGGACTTGGTAGAGGGGAGGTTCTGAGTTGGCCTCTCCCTCCTCCAGGGGCAAGGTTGTGTGGCACATCCTGAGTGGAGTGGGGAGGGAGAGAGAATGGACCCTGTTCGAGAGGGTGTAGATAGAGGTCAGGCCATCGGGTGCCTGTGGAAGATCTTGTGGGTGAAGCCCATTGGAGGCAGGCACAGGAATGAGCAGCAGTTTCTCAGAGCTCCTCTCCAGCCCTGTGTGGGCTCAGCTATGCAGCTGGACAGGCTCATTGGAATCTCTGGGCGGGGCTGGCCAGGATGGGAGTTGGTGCTGCAGGCCCCATGCGACCTCTGCGCTCTCACCCCGCAGGTGCGGTGGATGATGTACTGGATCGTTTTTGCACTCTTCATGGCAGCAGAGATCGTCACCGACATTTTTATCTCCTGGTATGGATGCAGGAGCCGCAGGCCAGGGTCAGGGGTGGCCCACTCCAGCCTGCTCCTCGGCTCACCCTGCCCCCTGTGCTGTGACAGGTTCCCTTTCTACTATGAGATCAAGATGGCCTTTGTGCTGTGGCTGCTCTCGCCCTACACCAAGGGCGCCAGCCTGCTTTACCGCAAGTTTGTCCACCCGTCCCTGTCCCGCCACGAGAAGGTACCCCAGGGGGAGGTGGGAAGGGAGGCTTAGGGGTGGGTGTGAGGGAAAGCGCCCTGGACCTGGGATTTAGGATGCTGGGGACACTGGGGTTCTAATCCCAGTCCTGCCGCTGGTGAGCTGCAGAGGTTGGCAGAGCCCAGCCTGCCTCATCTTCTGGGATAATCAGGTGGGGGTGCACATGAATGACCTTTCAGGGCAGAAGTTGGTTTGGGGGTAGTGGTGGCAGCAGCTGGAGCATGGCCGCTCACTGAGGTGGCCTGCCCTACTCCTGGTGTGTGTTTGTGGCCCAGATCTGTAGCCCCTGGGCACCAGGTGGGGCTGGGCTGGGCTGGGTGGCGCCACAACCAGTGACTTCTCAGAACCTGCAGAAGGAAAGGGACTCTGGCTGTCCATCTGAGCTCTCCTCCCCACTGGGTCCACAGGAGATCGACGCATACCTCGTGCAGGCCAAGGAGCGCAGCTACGAGACCATGCTTAGCTTCGGGAAGCGGGGCCTCAACATGGCCGCCTCGGCTGCTGTGCAGGCTGCCACCAAGGTGCTACGAGCCCCCGGCCCTCCAGCAGCCCCTGTCCCACCCCTAGGCCCTTTTGGGCCCATTCAGCTCCTCTGCCAGGGAGCCCAGAGACGGAAGCTGGGGAGCAGGGATGAGAAGGTCAAAGCGTGGAGCTGAAGTCAGACCTTCCTTCCTGGCTCTGGCACCGAGCGTGAGCAGCAGTGCCTGCTCTCTGGCTTTGGTTTCCTGTTGGTGCCACGCTGGCACGGGGCCAGAGCTTGCTGAGCAGTTTTCAGTCCTGCATCTCAGCCCCAGTGATTAGTTGGTTGGCCAATTTCCCTGGGCAGCCTCCCTGCTGAAGCCTCTCCCCCATACCCCTGCAGAGTCAGGGGGCGCTGGCTGGCAGGCTGCGGAGCTTCTCCATGCAGGACCTTCGCTCCATCCCCGATGCACCTGCCCCTGCCTACCAGGATGCCCTCTACCCAGAGGACCAGGTGCTCCACCGGAGGCCACCCATTGGTGAGTGGACAGAGGGGTCCAGGGCCATGCCAAGAGGGATGGCTTCCTTCATGTGCACCCTGGCTTGCCCCAGAGCTAGAGGAAGGGCTGGCCTGGCCACAAGCATTCACTGCCTCCTCCTCACAGGGTACCGGGACGGGGGCCTGCAGGACAGCAACACGGAGGATGACTGTTGGTCAGATACTGAGGCGGTCCCCCGGATGCCAGCCCGGCCCCGAGAGAAGCCCCTGAGCCGCAGCCAGAGCCTGCGTGTGATCAAGAGGAAGCCACTGGTGCGGGAGGTCAGTGCGGGAGGATGGCAGGAGGAGGCAGGGGGGCTGTGCTGGCGCTCCCCACACCCTCATGCTGGGCCTCCTCTCTTCCCAGGGCACCTCGCGCTCCCTAAAGGTTCGGACGAGGAAAAAGACTGTGCCCTCAGACATGGACAGCTAGGGTCTGCTGCATCTGGCCCGTTCTTACCTCGTGCCCTGCAGGGCTCTGGGGATATTTGGAGAGACCTTTGGCTGCCCATCTGGCCTGCCTGCACCGGCCGCTGCGCCCCGCCTTCCTTGCTCCTGCTGATGGTTAAGGGCCGGGAGCAGATGCTGCCAAGGCCGCAGGCAGGATGCACCATGATGTACCAAAGCAGGCTAGGCCAGCACTCTATTTATTGCCTTGCTCTGCCTCCTCCTTCTCTGACTGTGGGACCAGAGCCCTCCCGGAACTCCTGCAAATGAAACCAAAAGTCTACCTGGGTGTGTTCATTCCTTCCTGTCCTTCTAAGTACTTGATAGCCTTTCATAAGGCCTGGTGTGTGTATCTTGGTTGTGTGTGTGTGTGTGTTGGTGAGTGAGGTCAGGTTTGCGAACGTTTTGATAAATAAATACATAAAGGGGTTCTGTTTCTCCTGAGTCTTATTCCCAGTGCTGACGTCATACCCTTGAAATTCAACAGCCCAGTCGCAGCCTAGGTCTAAGGTTGAAGAACCCCAGTCCTCTGGAGGAGACAGAGCCATTGACAGAGCGTTGTGATGCAGCATGTGATTCCATGAAAAAACTCTTGGGGCGCTCCAAGAGCATCAATGGGAAAGTGGGGGGACCAGTCCAGAGGACAGGTCAGAACCAGAGAGGAGAGGCTTTGGCCAGAAAGGTACAGCTGTAGAGAAACCAGTGGGAGCCCAGGCAGGCGAGGGCTCGGGGCAGCACGTTAGTCCCATAGGGAGGTCAAGCTAGGCAGGGGAGTCCTTGGGAGTATTTCCTCCAGGAGCCTGGAATAAGGGGGCCCCTGGGGCAGCTCTGGGGACATCCAGTTCTGTAAACACTCAGGTAACAGCAGGGGTAGCATTGCACCTCTGAGGAGTGGCCACGAGAGGGCAGCAGCAGCCAGGATCTGGGCTGCCCCCGGCTTCCAGGTCAAGAAGGGTGGGGCTGGGAGACTGGCCAGAGCCTCGCCCTACTGGGCCTGGCGGAACTTGGACAGCCTCCAGTGTCCCTCCCTGCTGCTTGTGGTCACTGGTCCTTGGCCTGCCCCATGCAAGGAGTCTCCTCTGCTCTCCTGAGACCAAGGCTCTTTGCCTGGCTGGTTCCACTCCAACCCCTCCTCCAATCCCTGGGGCCACTGGGTACCCAGCTCTGCCCTCTCCTGCCCTGATGCTGATGCTGGTCTCGTCATGATGCCTGGGGTGTGCCCCTCTGCCACCGCCACATCTGCTCCTCCTCCCTGCTTTTGATTAAGCAAAGAGGTGGGTGAGAGTGTGGGATGAGAAGAGGGGAAATGGGGTAGTAACCTGGAGTGGCCTCAGAGAGTGGATTAACTCTTGGTGTGGGGATTATCTGGGTTTTATTTGGGGGAGGCTCGTAATCTGCTGCGGTGGTTTAGCTCCTCACATATGGGTGCTTGCTGCCATCCTACCATGGCCTGTCTTTGCATTGTGGGGTTGTCTTATCTCCATTAATTCATTCAAAAAATCTCTATTGAGCCTCGAGCAGGTACCAGACAACATGCCAGACGCTGCAAGGGGAGTGACGGCTGGCGCCCAGAGTGTGGCCGCCCACGCAGACACTGCTCTAAGGCCCTAGCATATACTAATTTAATCCTCATAACAATCTTTGTGGGGGTACGTACTACTCTTAAGAGTCTCCATTTACAAACAGGAAAACAGGCACAGAGAGGGCCAGTGATTTGCTCAAGGTCACATAGCTAGTAGGTAGCAGAAGGGCTTGGAATCAGGCAGTCTGTCTCCAGCGTCTGTGCACGTAACTGCTATGCAGTACCAGAGTGAGGGAGATGATTTCTGCCTGGCAGGCAAGGACACGGAGACTAACGTGTGAAGTATTTGTTGTGTGCCTGACCTGGTACTGGGCATTTTACAGAGATGATTTCCTTGAATCCTCCCAACAAGCCTGTCAGGTAGGGACTATATCCATTTTTTAGAACAGGTTCTCACTGTACCGCCCAGGCTAGAATGCAGTGGGGCGGTCATAGTACCTTGCATCCTTGAACTCCTGGACTTGAGGGACCCTCCTGCCTCAGCCTCCTGAGTAGCTAAAAGTACAGGTGCTGTTCATCACACCTGGCTAATTTTTGTATTTTTTTTTTAAAGATGGGGTCTCCCCATGTTGTTCAGGCTGTTTTTGAACTCCAAGGCTCAAGTGATCCACCTGCCTTGACCTCGGAAAGGGCTGGGATTACAGGCATGAGCCACTGTACCCATAGGGTTATACCCATGTTACAGATGAAAAACTGAGGCTTGGAGCCAGAACACCTTGCCTACCATCATGCTGCTTGGGAGTCAGGGACCCTGAGTCCTGATGCACCTCTGCCTGGGAGTTGCATTGATAGAGGTGGGCTGGCAGGATCCACATACCCAGACCAAGGGAACAAAACCAGAGGGGCGCCAGGCACGGTGGCTCACACCTGTAACCCCAGCACTTTGGGAGGCCAAGGCAAGCGGATCACCTAAGGTCAGGGGTTCAAGACCAGCCTGACCAACACGGTGAAACTCCGTCTCTACTAAAATATAAAAATTAGCCAGACATGGTGGCTCGTGACTGTAATCCCAGCTACTCGGGAGGCTGAGGCATGAGAATCGCTTGAGCCCGGAAGGCAGAGGTTGCAGTGAGCCGAGATTGTGCCATTGCACGCCAGCCCAGCGACACAGCAAGACTCCATCTCAAGGAAAAACAAACCCAGAAGGGCGTGTGATGAATGGCAAAACGAAACAAAGCAAAAGGAAACAGCTAGGGAGAGGCCTGATGTGTGGTGGTGAGGGAGATTTCACTGGGGTGGGGGCTTCACTTACCCTCCTTCTTAGGACAGGTGTTTGGAGAGGACCACAGGGCCACCCGAGCCCCTTGGCAGAGCTCTTGATGTCTTGTCCTTGCCACCTCATCAACCAGGCTGTCTCCTGGCTCCGTGTGGCCCGTGCATACTGACCTCTGACATGCTCTTCCTCTACCATCCCATTGTATCCTATTTCCCCTTGCCCTTAGAACCCCGCTCAGACATGTCTCTCTGGGAAGCCCTCTGCCAGCACTCCCTCCCGTGGAAGCGGTTTGCTGTCTGGACCTCACCGCCTCTGTTCCTGCACAGACTTCTGCTTTTGCCTTGAGCGTGTTACCTTTCCTCCCCCACTGTATTGTGACTTCACAAAGAACACGTGTATTTTACACACTGTTGTAGCTCAGCCCCGAACGAAAGGTCTAACGGAAGTGAAATATTTTTGTGAGTTTGCGATTGGGTGGTGAAGTCCTGCTCATTCTCTGACCTGTCTGTGAAGCTCTCCTGCCTGCCCCAGGGCAGGACTGGGAGCATCTGGTAATCATTCACGAACAAGCCCAGATCCCCCAGCGCCCAGCACTGAGCCAACACCTGTGAGGCCTGGAGGAGTTCTTGCTGGTGAAAGAACAAATGCACACAGTGAGCATGAGTTCTGGGTTGGGGAGGTGGGGGAGGTGGGGGCGGAGGGGGGTGTGGGATGTCCTTGTGATTTCCGCCTTTGTGCCCTGCATTGCCTGGGGCCCACCGCAAAGCGTTGAACATGCAAGCCCCCTAGAACATGGGTTTGGTGAGCAGCGGACCGCAGGTGAGCGGCGGACTGCAGTTGTATGAATTCCAACACGTGACGGGGCCAGAGGGGAAGGAGCCACAAGAAGTTCAAGTTCTGGGGCATTTCTGGGCGAGCATGCATGTGACCTGAAGGCTCAGGCCACTGGTTGCCAACTGGACTTCCCTGAGAGCCGACCCTGCCCCTCTGAGAACCCCTGGACCTCACTTTTGCCCAGCCTGGTCACACACTGGAGGGGGTTCCTGTCTCACCCTCTACCCACTGTGGCCTGGCCTCTCGAGGAAGAGTAGGCTGCACACCAGCCTGCCCAGGTTCCCCAACCCTCTCCTCCCCACCAGCCAGTGGGCCCCCAGCAGGATCAGGGCACGAAGGTGGGGACACGAAGCTACCACAGCCAGCCCTCTTAGAGCTGCTCACCTCCCCTGGGTGTGGCCCCCTACCCAACTTGGTTTGCGCCCTGGCCTCACTCCTCATCTGTCTACAGCTCATCTGCTTTTGAGGGCTTCCTCCATCTCCCCACTGCTTTCTGGGTGCAGATGGCCCTTCCTGTTTGCCCCTCTCTTCTCTCTCCTCCCCACCCACTGCCAGGCGCTTCCAGGTGGCTCCTGTCCCTCCCTGCGTCTTCAGCCCCGTCACTGACCTTCTCGGCCTGGGGACCTCCGTGTCCTGGTCCCCTTCCCCACCTCCAACTCCATGTGCACTCCACACACTGGCTGTATTTTTAGCTGCCACTGATTAGCCTCTAGTTCTGACACAGCTCTGACCCAGGCTGGGTTGGGGCATCCTAGCTGGCACTGCCCCCCACCTTGAGGGGGTTAAGGAGGTAGCACTCAGGCTCTGGCTCCATCCTCTACCCAGCTTCAGGGACTGGGGGTCTCAGGAGCTGGGTAGGGGGCAGATGCCCAGGCAGGAGAAGGATTCTCTGCTGCTGGAGAAGTCCTGGGGGCCACAGTTAGTGTTTCCAGCTAGGCACAAAGGTCCCAAGCCCAAGGCAGAGTGGAGCTGGCTTCCTCTCCCCGGGTGGGTAGCTTGTGGGGGTAACCTGGAGGGGAGAGGAGGTGGGGGGGAGGCGTGCTGGGAGGTTTGGACTGAGAAGAGGAATTAGGTCAGGGATGTAGGTGGGTGGGCGAGAGGGGAGGGCGGCATCTGCTGCGGAGCTTCCTCCTGGTTCCAAACGCATCTCCACACTTCCCTTCCCCTCCTCCCCACTGCGGGTCTCAGGAGAATTCGCATGGTATTCCCCCTCCCCCATGCCCCCCCAGGCGTTGCCACAGGGTGGGGGGGGTGGGGGGAGGCCAGCCTCAGCTGTCTGAAGGATGGAGGGGCTGGGGAAGCAGGGCTAGGTGCCCAGACGGCCGCGTGTGTGGGAGGGGATGTCCTCAGATGCCCTCCACCCGGCAGTCCCCGCTCTGACGTGGGTGCCCCCCCTCTCCCCGCCCGGATTAGTGGCAGCTTGGCCTGACTCTCCGGGGCTCCTTCCCCCGCCCCCGCCTGCTGCCCTCCCCTGGGCCGGGGGCTGCTCTGCCCGGGGGCACTGTGCTTGCCCAGGTAAGGGGCTCTGGGGATGGCAGGAGGGCCACTGGCTCGTGAGCGCTGCTGTGTCAGTCAGCACAAGCGTGTGTCAGTGAGCGTGTGTGTGTCAGCGCACCAGGGGTCGGTGCGGGGCTGGGGCTGGGCCCACGCGTGGCTGGGGGTGCCGGTCAGCTTGCCTTTGTCCACGAGTCTGGCACTGTGTCCACGCACCGTGTGGCTTTCCTTCTGTGTTTGTGTCTTTTGTGTGTCTCCTCAGCTCTGCTCCGTCCTCAGGCACAGAACAGCCAGCTACAAGGACTCCGTGGGCCTGTGGCATGGGTTCTCAAGTGGGATGGGGAGCTGGCGAGGGTGGGGAAGAGGTCTTTCCTCCCACCCTGCAAGTCCCCACAAGCCCCTGGGCTTTTCAGGAGCCTGTCCCCTAGAGCCCTGCTCTAGTCCAGGGACCAGGGCCTGACAAAGCAGACATGAAAACTGGGGGTGGGAGGATCTGTCCCCTCCCCTGGGATAGTCCCCATCCCCTTTGGGGTTGTCAGCGATAGGCCCTCAGGGTTCTGGACTGCGCAGGCGCCCATCTTGGCCTCTTCCAGGCCCCAAGCCGCAGGAATCTCCCCCTGGCGCTCCCACAAGCTTCAGCTGCTGAGGAGGGAGGCCAGAGGACACAGATGGGGGACCACAGGCACACCCCAGCCCCTCACCTTCACCCCTGGAGCCAGCTGGAGTGAGGCTGGGCCTCAGGGCCTGGGGCCTCCAGTCCATGTTAGACCCTCTACAAGCAGCTCCCCTGGCACACTCAGGTCCCTGCCACCCCCAGGGGAGCTGGGGAGGAAGGGAGTGTTACTAACTCAGTCATGTAAACAACCCCTACCAGCCTGCTCTGCCACAGAACTGGCCTCTGGGGGGAGGCCTGGGGTGGGCTGAATCGATGCCAACACGGCCCTAGTCCTGTCCAGTGCTAGCTGCTTTAGGCCCCCTCTCCCCACGACCCCACTCTTCTCAACTGGTAGAAGGCTCCAGGTCTTTGCTCATCCTTAGGAGGAAGGCTTCTGGCTCTTCAGGGCTCTCCTCTGTAGGGATAATGGTGTGACTGGGGACCAAGCTAGAGGTATCCAGAACCCATCACTTTCATGGGATGGGAAAGAGGGGGTACAGCTTTGGTCCCAGGCAGGCCAAGGAAGCCTTCCGAAGGGGCAGGGAGGCAGGGGAGCTGAGGGTGGGAGGTGGGTGCCTGAGGGGAAGGGAAGCACCCGTTGGGCGTGTGGGTTTCTGTGTGAGTCTGAATCTGTCTGTGTGTGTTTGAATCTGTCTGTTTGTGTCTGCGCTGGAACCACCCCCGCAGAGGAGCCGGGATGCTTCCTCGGGTGGAGGGTGCCCTGCTTTTCCATTTCCTCTCCTCCTCTCTGCGCTCTCCTGGGAGCCACTCCCATGGGCACCTCTCCAGCGCCGGGCCTGAAAGCACCAGGAACCCTGGGGATAAGCAGACCCTCAGAGACCCGGGTCTGGGGCCAGTGTTGGAGCTCATCCTGGCCCATGACCTCTCCAGACATTTGGCGAAATCAAGACCCTTAGACCAGGGACAGACCCAAGCCCAGGCCCTCCCAGAGGTCCTAGGCCACAACCCTTTGTGCCCTTGAACTCTGGAAGGGGTTTGGGAAGGGTTTGGGGTGGAAGATGGCAAAGAGCCGCTTGGCCAGGTGAGGATGAGGCAATACAGACACAGGCCAGTGGGGCGTGCCATGGGCCAGAGCTGGAGAGGACCAGGACCCAGTGGCCAGGCAGGCACAGTCCGGCTGGCGTGGGCCAGAGCGCCCATCACTGACCCGTGAGAACCCGACTGCCCTTGCCAGCTCTGGCGCTGCCCCCTCCCAGCCGCCCCACCCTAGCACCCTGGGGGGCACCCCGCCCACCGTGGCCTGGTCCGGCCCCTCCCGCCCTTTGCTCCAGTTTCCCGGGCTTGGCACCTATAGTGGGGGTGCCGCCCGCCTGCCAGGCTCCGGGGCCGGGCCCACGGGAGGGTGGGGCGGCTGGGAAGCTGGCACGCTGCCCCGGGGGAGCCTCTCTCGGCAGGCGCCCGGGTGCCGCGGGGGGGAGGGGGAACAAAGGGCTCATTCTCCCCGTGCGCAGCCGGTGGCATCGCCGGGGCGTTGGCGGAAGCCCCCGGGGCCCGGGAGGGGGCAGGCCCAGACGCGGCCGCCGAATCACGGGCTCCTGTTTCCCGCAGGGTGCTGGAGGAGGAAACCGGCGGAGCAGCTTCCCCACTCTCAGTTGCGCGTCTGGCGATGGCGATCAGAGGTCCTGCTGCGCTCTCCGCCGCGCTCTTCCTCCATTAGCCGCGCTGCGCGGTGCTGCGCCCTAGCCGGTGCCTCTCTCCTGGGTCCCGGGATCGGCCCCCATCCAGGCACGACCCCCTTCCCCGGCCCCTCGGCCTTTCCCCCCACTTGGCCATCTCCGACCCGGGGCGCGTGTTCCCCCCGGCCCGGCGCCTTCTCTCCCTCCGGGGGCACCCGCTCCCTAGCCCCGGCCCGGCCCTCCCCGCGGCGCAGCACGGAGTCTCGGCGTCCCATGGCGCAACCCACGGCCTCGGCCCAGAAGCTGGTGCGGCCGATCCGCGCCGTGTGCCGCATCCTGCAGATCCCGGAGTCCGACCCCTCCAACCTGCGGCCCTAGAGCGCCCCCGCCGCCCCGGGGGAAGGAGAGCGCGAGCGCGCTGAGCAGACCGAGCGGGAGAAAGCGTTCTTGCCCGCCGGCCGGGAGGCCCCGGAGACCGCCCATGGGGAGCAGGCGCCCAGTGCCGGCCACGACGACCGCCACCGCCCGGGCCGCGACTGGCCGGTGAAGCCCAGGTAAGCGACAGAAGCGCGTAGTTTGGGGACACTTGTGGCAAGGGTTTTCTGAGCCGAGTGTGGTGCCCGCAGGGAGTGAGCTCCCCAAACCCCTCTGGGTTGGGCCACCCATTCTGACACCTGAAAGTTAGGATGCCCGACAGGGCCAGACCACGGTGGAGCAGTGGCTCCAGAAAACCTGGGCGCCCTCTGCCACTGCTCCGTCACCTCCCGCCTGGGGCTTCCTCGAGCTGGTGGAGGAGACCGTGCCAAGAGAGCGCTGCCGCTCTAGTGCCACCTGTCATCCTGGTCCCTTGCACGCACGTTCAATTTTCCCTCCCTTGCCTCTCTCTGGGGCCCAGCCCGCTTTCCCCGCCTCCTTCCCTCCCCACTCCCCGCCGGGCTGAAGTTTCCAGCGGCGGTGGCGGCTACACTGGCACTGCTGGCTGGGCTAGGGCAGCTTGACCCATCCAGCTGAGGCTTCTTAGTCCCCCTCCCCTGTGCTGGCGCGCTGCTCTTCCCGCTGGGGGCCAGGGTGGAGATCCTAGCCCCGGGAGTTGTCCTGGGACTCTGCTTGAGAAGCCGAGAAACTGCAGAGCTCTGGGAAGAGGCTGACTCAGGGCCGCCCAGGTGTAGGGAGAGACACAGCCAGCAGCCCTGGCTGGCAGCCCTCCCCATGACTCCAGCCTGCCAGGCCCTCACTTCCCACAGCTACAAGCCTGGCTGGGGTTATGGGCTAGGGTCGGGCTAGTAGCACTCACAAAACCACGGATTGCAGGACGGGGAGAATCTTCTGAGATGTGACCCAAGCCTCAAGGGCACACTGAGGTCCAGAGGAGTGACATGACTTGTCCAAGGCCACACAGTACAGGACAGTCAAGGCCAGGATCCAGCCCTTTTCCAAGTCCAGTGCCCTCCCTTTCTGTCCTCCCTCATGGCTCGAGCAGGTTTCAAGCCCAGTGAGGCCAGGAGGTGTCCGACTAGCAATGGCAGCCTCTGCTGAGGGGTGCTGGCCCAGGTGGCATTTGGGGAAGAGGTGATATTCCCACACTGAAGGAGCAAGATGCGTCAGGCTGCATGTGAAGAGGCAGCATGGTGCCCAGCTGTGGGTTGGCACTTGCCTTACTGGTTTGAGTTGCCTTGGTTCTGCCAGGGCGGTGCCCACTCTGTGGCAGGCGGTAAGGTGCTTGGGGCATGTGCCCCAGAAGCTCATGCTTTGATGGTTATGCTCCAGGGACCCCCCCCACTCTGGGAGAGCCCCATGAGGGCAGGAGAGTGATGGAGAGTACGCCCAGCTTCCTGAAGGGCACCCCAACCTGGGAGAAGACGGCCCCAGAGAACGGCATCGTGAGACAGGAGCCAGGCACCCCACCTCAAGATGGCCTGCACCGTGGACCGCTGTGTCTGGGAGAGCCTGCTCCGTTTTGGAGGGGCGTCCTGAGCACCCCAGACTCCTGGCTTACCCCTGGCTTCCCACAGGGCACCAACGACAATCTCCAACTTGTGGAGGGTGAGAGCACCCAGAATGGGGAGAGGAAGGCCAGCTGGCTGGGCAGCAAAGAGGGACTGCGCTGGAAGGAGGCCATGCTTGCCCATCCACTGCCATTCTGCGGGCCAGCGTGCCCACCTCGCTGTGGCCCCTTGATGCCTGAACCTAGTGGTGGTCATCTCAAGAGTGACCCCGTAGCCTTCCGGCCCTGGCACTGCCCTTTCCTTCTGGAGACCAAGATCCTGGAGCGAGCCCCCTTCTGGGTGCCCACATGCTTGCCACCCTACCTAGTGTCTGGCCTGCCCCCAGAGCAGCCACGTGACTGGCCACTGGCCCCGCACCCCTGGGTATACTCCGGGGGCCAGCCCAAAGTGCCCTCTGCCTTCGGCTTAGGTGGCAAGGTGAGTTCAGGGGCAGAGAGGGTACCTGGGGCTCTGGCCTTGCCAAGTAGCTCGGGTGGTCCCCAAGCTGCCCTTCCACTGTGATAAAAAGGGAAGGCAGCACCAAGGTAGAGGTGTCCATCAGCTCGGAGCTGTCCCAGGTCCCACAGCCAACCCCAGCAAGCCTTCCCATGAGAAGCTCCATCTTTAAGCCTCCCCTCCCCTCAGGTCATTGCAGCCGCTGACTCACCCATTGTCTGCCCAGGATAAGGTCCTGGGAACTCTGGCCTTGGAATGTATGGCTTCTCCTGGGAGGAGATGGGCAGGCTGGCAAGGCCACTCTATCTGAGCGTAGGATGTGCAGGGGACCCCATGGCCCGTGTCTAGGGCACCTCCCCCATAGACTACTCCCACTCCCAGGGATGAGATTTTAAAAGACTTAAAACGCAGTATGGCACAGGACACCAAACAGCCTGAACACACCCGGGATGCCATTTGGCTGTGCCCGGCGTTCACCCTTTAGTGCTAGATTTCGGGGAAGCCTCAGAAATCCTGGGGGAGGATGTGGGGTTGCCAGGACAGAGGCAGAGGCGCTCCAGAGACCTAGAGCAGTGCCATCCACTAATCAGAATGTGGGACCTTCAGTATTCTCACCATCCTTGCTTGTCAGTTCTGCCTGTCCTTTTAGGCACCAGAAGCCCAAGTCAGCCCGAGCGTAACCCTTTCTCCTCCCTTTAGGGCTTTTACCACAAGGATTCGAGCATTCTCAGGTTGGCAAAGGAGCCCTTGGCAGCTGTGGAACCTGGGGTGTTGGGCTTAACCCCTGGTGGGCATCTGCAGAGAGCCGGGGAGGCCGAATGCCCTTCACTGCACCCGAGGGATGGAGAGACAGGGGCTGGCCAGCAGCAGAATCTTTGCCCACTCTTCCTGGGGCAGCCAGACATTGTGCCCCGGACCCCCTGGCCCACTTGTGCCCCAGGCCTCGTTCATACTCTTGGCAACGTCTGGGCTGGGCCAGGCAGTGGGAGCCTTGGGTACCACCTGGGGCCACCAGCCACACCAAGGTGTCCCTCTCCCGAGCCGCCTGTTGCCCAGGGGGGCTGCTACTCAACCTACCTGCCCACTAAAGATGGGGGTCTTGGCCCTTGTGGGAAGTGCCAGGAGGACCTGGAGGGGGGTGCCAGTGGAGCCAGCGAACCCAGCGAGGAAGTGAACAAGGCCTCTGGCCCCAGGGCCTGCCCCACAAGCCACCACACCAAGCTGAAGAAGACATGGCTCACCCGGCACTCCGAGCAGTTTGAATGTCCACGCGGCTGCCCTGAGGTTGAGGAGAAACCAGCTGCTCGGCTCCGGACCCTCAAGAGGGCAGGCAGCCCCGAAGTCCTGGGAGCGGTGGGCAGCCCAGCCCCCAAGCGGCCACCGGACCCTTTCCCAGGCACTGCAGGACAGGGGGCCGGGGGTCGGCAGGAGGTCCGGGACACATCAGTAGGGAACAAGGCAGATTCGGGACGGCAAGATGACCAGAGAGGTAAGGGGACCTGCAGGGGCTGCAGGCCCTGCATGGGAGGGCACAGCTGGGGCTGGGGCTTCGCACGTTGGGGGGTTCCATAGGCTTTGTGAGTGGACCACAGCTTGGATCGTGATGGCTTGCTAGGCCTTCCTCAGCATCTCCAGGTCAGAGCCTTCTAGCAAGTGGCTTCTATCTCCGTCTCCTCCCAAACCCTGGTGTGTTGGTGACAGTATAATGACATGGGTCGGAGCATGGCTCTGGAGCCAGAGTGCCTAGTCTCTGACTTTGCTGATTGGTAGCTGTGTGACCTCGGGTGAGTTGCTTCACCTCTCTGGGCCTTAGTTACTTCATTTATAAAGTGGGGCTGAAGATGGCACCTGCCCCAGGAAGACTGCTGCAAAAGTTAAATGCTAGAATAATTCACGGCAAGAGCTTGGAAGAATTCCTGGCACCCAGTGAACTCTCAAGAAATGTTCACTGCAATGACTGCTTATCCCACAAATCCCTGTTTGGGGATGGCCTGTCCTGAAGGATCCCTTGTCCTGGCCAGGAACAGCTGCTCTCTCGGCCAGATGGAGCTGGAGACTCAGTTTGGACTCTGCCAGTATTACAGGGCTCTGGGCACACCCTGGAGTCCTCTGCCACACGGCGCCCCTCATGGAGGGCCCTGGCACTGCCGGCCGAGCCTCAGTTCTTCAGGAGCACTTCAGTTTTTCAGCTTCCTGGATGGCTGGGTGTGAATCAGGACTCTCCATGGCCTTGTCCAAATGCCCCTGCACCTGGCATGGGCCTGCTGTGCCCTCCCAGGCCTCTGCCCTGGCTGGGAAGTTGTTGGCCCCTTCGTCTTCTTGGGTTACTGCACCTGTGGCCTGTGTTGAAACACTCCGGCCTTCTCACCTTCCAGCACTCTCCGTCCACGCTGGGATTGTCTCCTCCTGTCACGCAGCCAGTGGTCAGCGGCATCACCAAACCCACAGTGGAGCTATCCAAAGTCTACACTGGCTGGATCCTGTGCTTGTGTTAGGACGATCGCCCCAGCTGCCCAAAACCTTGGGTGCAACACACCAGACAACCTCTTCCCTCAGCTGCCGGCCCGGTGCCAGGGCATCCTCAGACTCCCTGCTCAGCCTGGTGTTCGAGCCTTCCAGCTGCCTGGTCCACTCCTGCTAGTTCTGAATTAGACTTCAGAGACGTGGGGCGAGGCTGGGCTGGCTCTGTGTGTGGACAGGCAGGGTGCTAAGGTGGGGGATGAGGTTCCCAGCAGCCCAGGTAACTCTGACTCCTCACCTCCCACATTGTCTCCTCAGGACCCCACGATGGCCAGGCCAGTCTCCAGGACCCTGGGCTTCAGGACGTACCATGCCTGGCTCGCTCTGCAAAACTGGCTCCATGCCAAGGTTGTGCCCAGGCATCTGGAGAGGAAGGAGGGCCTGCCTACCACTCTCAGTAAGTGCGGAGGTGAGCCCTTGACCCTGGATGCCTCCAGCGCCCTCTGCCCAGGCCTCCCTCCTCACCTTCCCCTGCCCTCTGTCCAGATCGCCTCTGGGAAGGGAGCCACAGCCAGAGGAAGACACAGCCGCCAGCTCCAGCTCTGAGGAAGACCCAGGGTGCAGCCCTAACGGCCAGCTCAGCACGGGCCTCGCCAAGCACCTGCTTAGTGGCTTGGGGGACCGACTGTGCCGCCTGCTGAGGAGGGAGCGGGAGGCTCTTGCCTGGGCCCAGCGTGAAGGTGAGCAGGACCTCCTGGGTCTGCCTGGGGTCTGTACTGTGTGGGGAGTCCCAGGCGTCCCTCCCTGGCCCCACACACACTGCCGGCTCCTAGACCTCAGGCAACCTCAGAAGAGCTCCAGGCCTGGGTGGGGACATCAGGAAGGTGACAAACTGGGTACGGCCCAGTTCTCTGGGAGTTTTTGGGAAAACAAGAACAAGTGCCAAGTATCTGCAAGGCACCGGGAGGTGGGGTAGCTCCTGAGGGCTCGTGGGGTCAGGTGAAGCTCCTGGGCCTGGAAGGCTGGCAGGACCTGGCCTAAGGTTCCTCTGGCTCCAGGCGCTCACTGGCGTCGCCCTTCCCAGCTGAGAGAGTTCCTCGTAAGCACACAGCCCCGGGCTGCCGGTCTGCTGTTCGGTGGAGACCCTCAGGGCTCCCTCTTGACCCAGACAGGGCAGGCTCCTTGGCGTGTCTTCAGCTGGCTCCCTGCTGGCTCCCACCACTCCCAGCCTGGGTTCCCGGCACACACGCCACCCATCTCCCTTCCCGGCTCCCTGGAGCTTGTCATCCCCTTGGGCCTTGGCACTGGCTTTCCTGCGTCTGGAATGCCCTGCTCCTCCCTGCCTACCTGCTGAATGAAAACTTACTCATCCTCTGGGGCCCTCCCGGGAAGCTCCCCCGCATTCCCATCCTCACCCTTCCCTGGCATTTTCCATCTCCAGCACCCACCTCATGGTGCCACGGTCATTGCCGTATTTATGGGTCCATCTCCCTACCCAGAATGTGAGTACTGCAAGGCAGGGCCAAGTCCTGACCACCTCTGAGTCCCCTGCACCCAAAGGCAAGACGTTTGTTGAAGTGAACTCCCTGGCACCTTTTCCACCTACCAAGGGCTGAGTCTGATACTTGGCTCTTAAAAAACCCCACTCCTGGCTGCGTGTGGTGGCTCACACCTGTAATCGCAGCACTTCGGGAGACCGAGGTAGGAGGATCACTTGAGACCAGGAGAAGGAGGCTGCAGCGAGCTGGGATCACACCACTGCACTCCAGCCTAGGTGACAGTGAGGCACTGTCTCAAAACAACAACAAAGTCCCCTGGAGGAAGTGTCAGCTGAGCATAGTTACCATTTCTGGCAGCATGTAGGGCTTGGAGGGAAGGAGGTGGAGGAAAGAATGTGCTAGAAGTGGTGTGGATTAGTAATTCAGGGCCACTGGGGAAGTCCCTGGGGCAGGGCTGGGTGTGGGGCAGGAATGGTGGAGCCAGGGCTTCCACTGTCCCTGGCAGTGTTTGCTGGAGAGGATGGTTTCTTCGGGGAGCCTCTGGAGGGGCTGTGGAGTAAGCAGGGGGTAGCTGTCAAGGAGCCTGCCTCCATTCTCTCTCTGGCGGATGGGCACAGGGGTCTTCCATGGAAGCTACTCCCTGTTCTGCCCCTGCCTGGATCCTTCTCATGTGAAGCCTTTCAATGGGGCCTGTTGCCTTCACCCTCTGACCCTGTTCCCTCTGTGCTCAGCGGGCCAGGGGCCAGCTGTGACAGAGGACAACCCAGGCATTCCACGCTGCTGCAGCCGTTGCCACCATGGACTCTTCAACACCCACTGGCAATGTCCCCGCTGCAGCCACCGGCTGTGTGTGGCCTGTGGTCGTGTGGCAGGCGCTGGGCGGGCCAGGGAGAAAGCAGGTAGGAGGGGGCCGGGGGCGGGAGGGGGCCGGGGGCGGGAGGGCTGGAGGGAGCCCTCAGCGGACTGCCCCAAGGCTGTGGTCATTCACTGGCTGCCTCGCCCCAAAAAGCCCCCGACCCACTGCCCAGCCGCAGTCTCAGCCACCGTGGCTCAATGCCCTTAGAACGGAAGTCCCCTCTCTGCAGATCAGAGGATCATGCCTACGTCCTTGACCACCCTTAAACAAAGGCGAGTGCCCTCTCTGCATCTCCCACTCTGCTCAGCTGGCATCCTTTAAAACCTGCTATAACACTGTGAAGTGGCTATTATTGCCTTCATTTGATAAGAAAAACTCAGAGGATAAGTGACTTGTCCAAGGTCACACAGTCAGTCAAGTGTTGCAACCAGGATGGAGACTCAGGTCTTCCGGTTTCGCCCTGTTTTTTTCATGGTTCTCAGCTTTCTCTCCCTTGGCTCAAGCTGGCCATGGGAGAGCTTGAAATTTCCCCGTGTTCCAGAAGGCATGACCAAAAAGAGCTGCAGGGTCAGATGAGCTTTAGAACATTGTCTTCCACATGGTTAGCCTGGGGACTTGCAAAGCATCTCAGCACTTTAAAGGCTGTGCGTTCTATAAGCCAAGAATGCGGTGTCTCTATGTGACCCAGGTTTCCAGAAAGCACAAGTTTTACGGACTGTTGAGTCCCTGGATTTAGATCTCATGTCCTGACCTTCTCTGACCTTAACCCGTGATTACCTTGCTTTCTGAACCTGCAGCTTTTCCCTTCCTGCCCACAGGCTCTCGGGAGCAGTCCACGGAGGAGTGCACACAGGAGGCTGGGCACGCTGCCTGTTCCCTGACGCTGACCCAGTTTGTCTCCAGCCAGGGTGAGCCATCTTGGAGGGGTGGGGTGTGCAGAGGTTGGGTCCTGAGGGAAACCAGCTTCCTGTCTGATTGTCCCTTCCCCCTCAGTGCCATGCCCTTCTGCTTGGCAAAGCCAAGCTGCCCGGGCTGCCTGTTGGTCTACACTCACCACCAACCTCCCTCTCCTGCCCACCCCCACCCCCAGCTTTGGCAGAGCTGAGCACTGCAATGCACCAGGTCTGGGTCAAGTTTGATATCCGGGGGCACTGCCCCTGCCAAGCTGATGCCCGGGTGTGGGCCCCCGGGAATGCAGGCCAGCAGGTAAGACCCAGGGCATACCACCGGTTGGGTATTGTGCCTGCAAATGACTGACATTTGCAGGGGTTTGCCCTCCCCCCTTTTTTTGGTGGGGATGAAAACCGAGAAGCCTGTGGAATCAGGCTAATTCCCGCCTTCCCCTGGGGATCAGGAGCCGTGCAGGCTCTCCAGTGCAGGCCCTCCCACCCCCATGCCCTGAAAGTCCTCACCTCCTGCCTTCCTGGAGTTCTGCCCTACTCTGTGCAGATTCTAGTTCAGTGTCTGCCACATCACAAGCTCACTAGAGGAGCTTGTTGGTGTGACCGTGTCCCCAGGCCATGGGTTCCTTCGGGTGGAGCATTGGCCTGCCTTCTCAGTATCCCCAGTACCTAATACCTAGCAGGCGCTCAATGTGCATTTTGCAAAGCTTTTATGAAATTCATGTTCTTATTATAAAATAAGTCATTCATGGCCAGGCACAATGGCTCATGCCTGTAATCCCAGCACTTTGGGAGGTTGAGGTGGGCAGATCATGAAGTCAGGAGATTGAGACCATCGTGAAACCCAGTCTTTACTAAAAATACAAAAACAAAAAAATTAGCTGGGCATGGTGGTGCCTGTAATCCCAGCTGCTTGGCAGGGTGAGCAGGAGAATTACGTAAAACCAGGAGGCGGAGGTTGCGGTGAGCAGAGATCCCACCACTGCACTCCAGCCTAGGTGACAGAGCAAGACTCGGTCTCAAAAAAAAAAAGTAATTCATTAAAAAAAAAAATAGTTCATTGAATGCATTTTGGGTGCCAGACACTGTTATATACCCACTGTGGAAATTTTGGAAAACGCAGACAGTATAAGGAAGAAAATGACGATGGCCTTAATACCACTGGTAGTTTTGACGCATTTCTCCGCAGCCGTCTGTCTGTTTTAGTGGACGGTAAAACCTACCACAGGTGGAAACCCACAGGCCATGTTTTTCCACCTAACATTATATCCTATAACATTTTGCCCCTATAAACGTGATTTTAGGACTGACAAGAGTCCACTGTTCATTCTTGTGGGTTGTGTTGAATTGTGTCTGCCATTTTTAAATCTCTGGTTGGATGGGGGCGGGTGGATGGGTTTAACAGAAGGATTCGACACAGAAAACGCCCCCAACTCCACAACCTTCCTGCAATGGGGACACCCACAGGACCAAGAGCATCAAAGAGGGTGAGCGGCTCCTCTGGTCCCTTGGCCTGTGCAGGTGGGAGGCTGGGGCAGAGTTTGAGGGAGGTGACAGGCAGCGGAAGTCTCCAGGAACTTTATCTCCCACTACTCCCCTCAAGACATGCCTCCAAACACCTTCTCTGGCCAGACCCCCTCTGAACCCCGGATTTACAGGTTCTGGGGCTGCCTGCAGGAAGGGTAGTAGCAGGGGAGACCCAGAGCAGAGCTGAGGTGGAGGGTCCTGGTAGTGGGAGATTGGGCTCGGCCAAGAAGCAAGGAAAGAGCAGCATGGGCAAGGGGGCCTCACGGGGAAGGGGAGGGACCAAACTCGAAGCCCCTGACCATCTTCCTCCTGGACAGAAACCCCAGATTCCACTGAGACCCCAGCAGAGGACCGTGCCGGCCGAGGGCCCCTGCCTTGTCCTTCTCTCTGTGAACTCCTGGCCTCTACCGCGGTCAAACTCTGCTTGGGCCATGAGCGGATACACATGGCCTTCGCCCCTGTCACTCCGGCTCTGCCCAGTGTGAGTGAGGGCATGGAGGGAGGGCTGGGAGTCAGAAGACCAGAGGCTGGGCTGCCCTCTCTGTGGGGCTGGGTGGGTCCTGAGGCCCTGTGCCCCTTCCTGTGTCCCTATTGCAGGACGACCGCATCACCAACATCCTGGACAGCATTATCGCGCAGGTGGTGGAACGGAAGATCCAGGAGAAGGCCCTGGGGCCGGGGCTTCGAGCTGGCCCTGGCCTGCGCAAGGGTCTGGGCCTGCCCCTGTCTCCAGTGCGGCCCCGGCTGCCTCCCCCAGGGGCTTTGCTATGGCTGCAGGAGCCCCGGCCTCGGCGAGGCTTCCACCTCTTTCAGGAGCACTGGAGGCAGGGCCAGGTGAGGCACCCACCCCGCCCCTCCCCTCCCAGCCTTGGCCACCCACCTGCCCCTCAGGGCCTTGGTCCCTAGACCCAGACAGACCTGGCAGCTCCAAGGGAGCAGGAGGGCTGTCCCCATGCTGTCCTACTGCCCTTGCGACATGCTCTTGCCCGGCCACAGCGGGCACCCTGGCCATTCTCATGGCCTCCTTCCTCTCCTCCCACAGCCTGTGTTGGTATCAGGGATCCAGAAGACGCTGCAGAGCAACCTGTGGGGCGCAGAAGCTCTTGGGGCGCTTGGAGGCCAGGTGCAGGCGCTGAGCCCTGTTGGGCCTCCCCAGCCCACCAGCCTGGGCAGCACCACATTCTGGGAGGGCTTCTCCTGGCCTGAGCGTAAGTGTCCCCAATACGGGGGAGAGAGAGCTGGGAGCCCAAGCCCTAGGGACTGGGTGGCAGAGGAGTCCCAGAGGACGCTGAGGGGCTGCAAGCAGGTGTTGCTGCCACCAGGGCAGGGGCTTCAGGCCGAGGAGGCCCCTCCCTGGGCCAATGGCCATTCTGTCTCTTCCTCTAGTTCGCTCAAAGTCAGACGAGGGCTCTGTCCTCCTGCTGCACCGAGCTCTGGGGGATGAGGATACCAGCAGGTGTGTCTGTCACCAAGGGCCAGACCTACCTCCCCAGCCACCGCAAGCCCCGCCTCGTTCTGCCCTCCCCTCCTCCTCTGCCCCCCACCCCCACCCCATGGCCCTTGGTGCTCTCACATTTGCCCTCTGGGAGTTACACCAGCAGTGGGGGCGTGGCTTTGATAGGGTCTCTGGAGCCCAGGTTAGGCCTGCTGGGCATGACTCCCTCCCCCTACAGAGTGGAGAACCTAGCTGTCAGCCTACCACTCCCAGAGTACTGTGCCCACCATGGGAAACTCAACCTGGCTTCCTACCTCCCACCGGGCCATGCCCTGTGTCCATTGGAGCCCCAGCTCTGGGCAGCCTATGGTGAGTAGCCTTCTACCCGCCCAGTCCCTATTCCCATGCCTGTCATCTCGGGGCACACAAGCGTCTGTGCCAAGGCCCTGGGGCCTGAAGTGCTTCTCTGATTCCATTTTTTTTTTTTTTTTTTCTGAAATAAAGTCTCACTCTGTCACCCAGGCTGGAGTGCAGTGGTATGATTTTAGCTCACTGCAACCTCTGCCTCCTAGATTTAAGCAATTCTCCTGCCTCAGCCTCCTGAGCAGCTAGGATTGCAGGCATGTGCCACCACACCAGCTAATTTTTTTTGTATTTTTAGTAGAGGCGGGGTTTCACTATGTTGGCCAGACTGGTCTCAAACTCCTGACCTCAAATGATCCATCCACCTCAGCCTCCCAAAGTGCTGGGATTACAGGCGTGAGCCACTGCGCCCAGCCTGATTCCATTTCTAACTGTTCTTACTCTATTGCCATACAGGTGTGAACCCGCACAGGGGAAACCTGGGGACCAAGAACCTCTGCGTGGAGGTGGCCGACCTAGTCAGCCTCCTGGTGCACGCTGAGGCACCAGTGCCTGCCTGGCACCAGGCACAGAAAGGTAGGTCCTCGGGCAGAGGTGGGAGTGGGGACAAGCTACAGAGGTGAGCGTCTGCAAGTGTGGGCCCTGGGCTTGCCTGATGGCACTTCCCTCTTCAGACTTCCTTTCAGGCCTGGACGGGGAGGGGCTCTGGTCTCCAGGCAGCCAAATCAGCACTGTGTGGCACGTGTTTCGGGCACAGGACGCCCAGCGCATCCGCCGCTTTCTCCAGATGGTGAGGAGGCAGCTGGGAGCCCTCCCCTTACCCTCGCCCCACCCAGCCTCAGAAGCTTGTCTAGTTCTGTCTGGCCGGGAGCCCACCCTAGTGTTTGGTCCCGGTGTGCTCATCCACCTCATGTCCTCAGGTGAGCTGCATAGACAGGTGCAGAGAAGGCAGAGGGGACCCAGAGAGCCCCCTGCCCCTTCTCCGAGTCAGAGAAGGGGCAGGGGGCTGCAGCAGGAGAGCCTGGACCCGAAGATTTTGAAATGAGAGCACCAGCTGCCTGAGGCTGGACATGGTGCTAGGTCCTTAGTATCTGTTACCATCCCAGCCTCCACCGCCCCATGAGGCGGCACTGTTCCCTTCCCATTTGCAGATGAGAACGCAGAGGCTCAGTGGTAGGGCTGGTATCTGAGCTTCTGTCTGTCATGGGCTCAGGTCATTACTTAATGCTTTTCTTGGGGGCAGGCAGCTCTGCCGCTTCTGAGACTCTATCCTGCTGCCCTCCTTTTGGTATCTGCACCTTGTTAGGGAAGACTGCCTGGAGGAGATGCTCCCAGAGGGGCTAGCAAGGAAGGGAGCTGAGGGAGGCATAGGCAGAGAGGGACCAGGTGAGGAGTGAGGGAAGAGGAAGGTGATGGGGTGGGTAGGAGGCAAGAAGCTTGAGGTGCAGGGGAGGAGAGAAGCCGGGGTAAAGTGAGGGCAGCCCCGTGGTTCCCAAGTCCAGCTGGGCCCTCATTATCCTGGGGAAAAGACTTCCACCAAGTGTCACCCCTTGCCAAGGCACATACAGGGAGACGTGCAGAGGCCAGGGTGGTGCACAGGCACACATGTGCAGCTGCACACACAGATGGTGTGGCATGCAGAGGGCAGCACTCAAGCACACCTCCAAACACAGATGGCCTCGTCCAGGCTGGGTGGGGCTGGCCATGGGCAGTCCCCATGGCCCAACCCAGTGACTCACGAAGCAGGGCTGAGGGGCACATTCTCCCTGGGTGGCCTGGGAAACACTGTTCTGTGCCAGGGTGGACCTGCATCTCCAAGAGCAAGGGAACCTTGGCACCTGGCCAGGACTCCCCTGCAGCCCAAACTGCTTCACCAGCCTTCCTTTCCCCCACAGCCCCATCTTGCAGCCCTAAGCCCAGGGGCAGTGGCTGAGGTCCTCGCTGCGGGTGGATTGGGCTGGTGGCTGGTTCAAGCACGATGCTGGTTCTGCAAGTCCCTGCCTGCCCTAAGAGCTCCCTGATCTGGTTGGGCTTGTGAGGCCCCCGTAGCTGTGGCTGCTGCGGAGTCCTTGGCCTCGTCCGAAACCCTATTCACCCTCTAGGACCCAGAGCCTCTCAGCGGCCCTCCCTTTTTCTGTATCAGGGATTTTAGGGAGCCTCTGATGAATGCTTTGGATTGTCCCCCAAGGGACATACAGCTCCCTCCTCACCTGCCACTGAGCACAGTTCTGGCCATTCCAAAGACTTCAGGTTAAGAAGTCCTGGTACAGACAGTTTATGAACTGAGATTATGCAGGACGTCTTCCTGGGTTTTGCAGAAGGGGGTAGCATTGAGACAGGGAGCAGAGTGGCCGAGGTCCCAGAGGCTGCTCAAGGTCTCCAGCGCCAGAAATCCAGGAATTCAGTCTGCCCACCTGTAGGACCTTGAATCCCTTCCTTCTAAGCTCCTTCCAGCCAAATGTGTGTTCTGCCAACCTGAGCTGCCCCAGCCACGAGCAGCCCAGCCATGCCCTCCCTGCCTGTCCTTCAAGACTTGACCCTTCAGCTCTTCTCTCCACCCCTGGCCTCTGGGAAGTCTGTGCCCCATCCTCCTACAGCCCTGCCCTTCCCGCCCCATCTCACTCATCTCCCCTTCTCTTCTTTGAGGTGTGCTCGGCTGGGGCAGGCGCCCTGGAGCCTGGCGCCCCGGGCAGCTGCTACCTGGACGCAGGGCTGCGGCGGCGCCTGCGGGAGGAGTGGGGCGTGAGCTGCTGGACCCTGCTCCAGGCCCCTGGAGAGGCCGTGCTGGTGCCTGCAGGGGCTCCCCACCAGGTGCTTCCCGGCAGGCAGGGGCTCTGCGGGGAGATCAGGATGGCAGGAGCAACCCAAGCAATGAACAAGCCGCAGGCATCCACATTCCCTCGACACCCCAGAGCCAGAGCCGGGCAGGGCAGGGAGCTGCACGCTGCTGTGGGGGAGAGGAAATGGGGGCGCCAAGAGAACTTGAAGTCACCAAGCCCAAGTGGGACTGCACCACAGTCTAATCCTGAGCTCCTGGGCATGCTGATGCCAGGAGACTCATGGGGAGGCTTTGGGGTCTCTCTGGCAGCCCTTAGGCCTGGTTTTGGCCACAGCCTTTGAGGTGTCCAGTGGTGCTTCCAAGAATCTGCTCTCTTGAGAGCCAGGCATGGGGGTGAGGTATCATTAGAGGAAGCGAAACTCAGGGACCGGGGGACAGGGAGAGGATGCGTGACCTTGAGCCTCGCTGACCCCCCTGTTCATGTTCCCCCCCGACACAGGTGCAGGGCCTGGTGAGCACAGTCAGCGTCACTCAGCACTTCCTCTCCCCCGAGACCTCCGCCCTCTCCGCTCAGCTCTGCCACCAGGGACCCAGCCTTCCCCCTGACTGCCGCCTGCTGTATGCCCAGGTAGGTGCGATGTGGGCCAGCAAGCCGGGTGTGCTGCCTGAGCCCCTACCTCCCTGTGCCACAGCTGCAGTGGACATAGCAGATCCCACCCTGTGCCAAATAGGCAGCCACCCTGTGCAGGGGAAAGAGTATTCCTTTTGCTTACTTTGTTTCATTTTTTTGAGACAGAGTCTTGCTCTGTCAGCCAGGCTGGAGTACAATGGCATGATCTTGGCTCACTGCAACCTCCAGTTCCCCGGTTCAAGTGATTCTCCTGCCTTAGCCTCCTGAGTAGCTGGGATTACAGGCGCCCGCCACCATGCCTGGCTAATTTTTTTTTTTTTGTATTTTTAGTAGAGGCGGGGTTTCATCATGTTGGCCAGACTGGTCTCGAATTCCTGACCTCAAATGATCCACCCTCCTCAGCCTCTGAAAGTGCTGGGATTACAGGCATAAGCCACCATGCCCAGCCAGAGTATTCCTTTTAAGAGGGGTGGGAGATGGCGGCGGACCCAGGAATGTCACTGAAAATTCTTTGTCCTCTCTATTTTTCCTAGATGGATTGGGCTGTGTTCCAAGCAGTGAAGGTGGCTGTGGGGACGTTACAGGAGGCCAAATAGAGGGATGCTGGGTGTCTGGGGTAGGGATGGGGACAGGTAGACCAAGTGGTCAGCCCAGGCACAACTTCAGCAGGGAATGACACTAGGGGACTTGGGGATTTCTGGTCAAGCCCACAAGCACCACTCGGCGCAAGCTAGGTACCCTGCTCCCCTCCCCCTCAAGCCAACAACCACAGTGCCACCAAGCTCACACCTGTCCTTCTCAGGCTGGCACCTCCCCTGCCCTGTGCCCCTCTCCACGGTACCAGGCCCACATTGGAGATGACTGACTTCCTCCAAAGCCCACACCCCCAACCCAGGAGACAAACAGCCCTTCCTTGGGGTACCTCGGTAATCATTCTGGCTTAAGCAACACCTCCTGCTGCTGCTCACTCTCGCTAAGCCCGCTCTACTGCCCCGCTCTGCTTCCACCGCTGAATCCTCACTGGGCTCCTGCAGAAATGCTGAAGAAGGGTCCTGACCTTCTGCCCTCCTGCCAGAAGATCTGGGGAGTGTGAGGAGAGGGTGGCATCAGGGACTGCCCAGGCTTGGCTGAGGGAGCAGCATGGGCGATGTCACTCAGCCTGCTCCCCATCTGCCCGCTTCCCTCCTTCATGATTTCCATTAAAGTCTATTGTTTTGTGACTGCTGCCAGTGTGGTTGGCCCTGACCCTGCAGGCCACATGGTCCAGGGAGGGAGGGAGACATGGAAGTCTGCCCTAGAGTAGAGGCAAATGGAGTAGGGCGGGCCAGAGCTGGGGCCCGAGGGACAGGACACCACAGCCTGCTCTTCTTCTAGGGCCTGGGTCCTTGCCTCCCACTGAGGAGACTTTGGGTGGGGTGGGTGTCCCCTGAAGATGCTCTTAAGTGCAACAGCAGGCAAGGCAGAGTCCTGGGGCACAGCCGAAAGGTGACTGCCCTGTACAGGGATTCTGGAGCCCTACTCCACCCAGCAAGCTCCAAGCCGCCCCATCTCTTCCATCTACCTTGACCTGGAGATCCAGGAGTGTGGCCCAGAAAAGCCCTTGCCCCACCTGTCTGCCCTTGGTGGCCATGATGTGCACCAGGCCCAGCCACCCTGGGAATGAACCCGACTGCTTCAGATAGTGACCCCTCCTTGTCCCCGCCCCACGCCCGCAGGCTTCTGGTGGCGCTGTGCCCTCTCTCTCTTCTCTTGTATATCTCAGCTCCACAAAGAAAAATGCTCCCACTCTTGTCATACCTAATTGTTCCTGCTGTGGTTTGGGGACTTTTTTTTTTTTAATTAAATAAAGTTTTTTATTATAAGCAGAATATACTTTCAGAACATTCAGAAAATAAAGTTACCTTCGAGCCCATCATTACACACTTCCAACTAATATGAGTATTCTGGCATATTTCCTCTAGTGCTTTCCCAGGGACTTACTGTGCACATGGCTGGATTGCTGTGATTTGGCCTTGGTTTCTTTCAACACCATATCATAATCATTTTCTATGTTGCTACCTAACCTTCATTTTAAATGACTCCTCATATTCTATTAAGGGGCTTTGCCATGATTTACAAAACCATCCTTTATTTTTAAAAAAAAAAAAAAAGGCCAGGCATGGTGGCTCACGCCTGTAATCCCAGCACTCTGGGAGGCCAAGGTGGGCAGATCACTTGAGGTCAGGAGTTTGAGACCAGCCTGGCCAACATGATACACTGTCTCTACTAAAATACAAAAAAATCAGTGGGATGTGGTGGTGGGCACCTGTAATCCCAGCTACTTGGGAGGCTGAGGCAGGAGAATCGCTTGAACCCAGGAGACAGAGGTTGCAGTGAGCCAAGATCATGCCACTGCACTTCAGCCTGGGCAACAGAGTAAGACTCCGACTCCAAAATAGTAACAATATAATAATAATAATTTATCTCATTGAATCCCTTTCATTTAAATGATCTCAGTTGATCCATTATCACAATTTTGAGACAGGATTTACTTCCATTTTACAGAAGAAGAAACAGGCAAGCTGCAATTAAGTAGATTACCCAAGGTTGAAGAGCAATTTTAGTGGCAGAACTGGGATTTGAACCAAGTTTTCTGAGTCAAGCCACTTTGTGTACATTATAGTCTTAGCTCTTACTGGAGTTTAAAGACAGGCTTGCCCTCCTCTCTGTCCTCCTTCCAGTGCATGTACTTTATAGCTGATCATGTTCCAAGTGGCCCTGAATGACCCATTGCTATCTACGTTTCATCTTTTGTTTGAGACAGGGTCTTACTCTGTCACACAGGCTGGAATACAGTGGTGCAAACTTGGCTCACTGCAATCTCTGCCTCCTGGACTCACACCATCCTCCCACCTCAGCCTCCTGAGTAGCTGGGACCACAGGTGCATACCATCAAGCCTGGCTAATTTTTGTAGTTTTTGTAGAGACAGGGTCTTGCCACACTGCCCAGGCTGGTCTCAAACTCCTGAGCTCAAGTGATCTGCCCACCTTGGCCCCCAAAAGTGCTGGGATTATAGGAGTGATCCGCTGTGCCCCACTTCATCTGCAGCCATGCTCCAATGTCACCCCAGAACCCCAAATTTGGGGTCTTTCCTGTGGAAAGATGGTTTTCTGAATTTTACCCATTGTGGTGGGGACAGTGCATCATTAAGCCTCTGTCTTCCCCATAAGACCTTCTCTCCTGTTTACCCCTCTGGCCTTCCAGGTGGGTCACAATGCCCTCGAGGACATATTTGGCCTGACTTTGTAAACAGAAGTGAATCAAATGTTCATTTGTTCCAGTACTGCTCCTCAGAATGCCGCTGGGCCAGGTAGGGACTGACCCTGAGACTCGCCTTGGGTCACTCAGGGGCACTGTTCTTCACAGAGACCCTTGTGGCTCTGCTGCTCGCAGGGTCTACCAAGCTGTGCTCTGCCTCCAGCCCCTCTGCCACCCGGATATCCCAGACATACAACCAGCCAAGCTGGAAGTGAGCACGAGGTTGCACATCCAATGCCTTCTTTTCTTTTCCTCTGATAAAATTCTTAGGCTTTTTTTTCCCCTTTTTACCCAGGAGCATAGATTCAAGTTGCCCTGAATATACATGCTCAGGCTTTCTATTTTAAAATAATTTTAGATTTACAGCTGAGTCACAAAGATAGCACAGGAAGTTCCCAATTATCCTTCACCCAGCCTCCCCTATTGTGAACATCTTACATAACCGTGGTGCCTTGATCAAAACTATGAAATTAGTATTGATACCACACTACTAATGAAGCAACAGACCTCACTGGGCTTTCACCAGTTTTTTCACTAATGTTTTTCTGTTCCAGGATCCAGCAATGCCTGGATTTGACAGATGGCCTGGAGGGTAGATGTGGCATCCCCAGAGTCCCCCAGAGAGCTAGCCTGTGGCCAGCCCTCCCACGCCCCCTGTAGCTTGGCTCCTGCCCTCCTCACCTTCCTTCCTCGTCAAGACACAGGCCTTGTTGTGCTGTCCATGATGCTAACTAACATCACAGACACCCTGACCCAACCTTGCCTGCCTGTCCCTATCCTCACCCTCTTGGCCACCTACCCAGGCCTTCCTGCTCCCCGACACATGCGCACACATGCCCTGAAACAACTGACTCTGGTTTCGCCCCCATGGGTGCTGGGAGCATCAAGCTACTCCCATCCACCATGCCATGCAGCCCATCACACTGGCCAGGGTTCTTCCCTCTCTGGGACTGGAGGACACACAGCTGATGTGATGGGGACCCTGGCAGTTCCCATCCAGCCTCCCATTCTCCCTCAGCTGCCTCCCTTGTCTGGGAGGCTCCAGCCTCCGTCTGACCACTGTTCTCTCCCAAGGCCTTGGGAACGCCTGCCTCTTTGTTGTCTCAGCACTGCCTTCATGGTTTATGGGGGCTTTTGGGGAAGGCTTTCCCCTGGGGATGGGATAATGGGCGGCGCCAAGCCTGGGTTTGCTGCGGTCTTTGCTCTCTGAGGCCTTCTGGTGTTTACCTTAGGCTGCCTCTGAAGCTCCCAGAGCCCTGCCCAGACATGATCTCATTCTCTCAAATCACCCCTGTGAGGCGGAAAGGAGTCTGGCACCAAGCTGCCCCCACTTCACAGGTGGGAAAACTGAGAGAGTTGCGCGCGGACACACACACACAGCAAATATGTTGACAAGTTGCTCCACAGGTCCTGATTCTCAGCCCTGTCCCTGCAGTTGTTTGGGAAGTGAGAGGTCCAGGATAAGGCTTGGCCCAGTGGTGTTCAGCAAGTGCCTCAACATTCATGGGCCTTCTAGGGATATCCCACAGCCTAACACAGGGCCCTGCCTCCAGGGAGCCTGCGGTATCAGTGAGAGGAGCCTGAAAAGACATCCTACATGGCTGAAGTTCCTGAGTCCAGTTCTAAGGAAGCTCTACAGGCACATTTTACCAGGCGTGGTGGCTCATGCCTGCAACCACAGTGCTTTGGGAGGCCAAGACGGGAGGATCACTGAGGCCAGGAGTTCGAGACCAGCCTGGGTAATATAGCAAGACCCCTCTATCTCTACAAAGAATTAAAAATTAAAAAACTTCGCCAGACCTGGTGTCGCACACCTGCAGTCCCAGATACTCAGCAGTCTGAGGCAGAAAGATAGCTTGAACCCAAGAGCTCAAGACTGCAGCTCCAATCTGGGTAACAGAATGAAACCCTGTCTCTAGGGGGTAACAAAAGGCACATATTATGAGGACGGGCCTTGTGTGTGGTAGCAAGAAGAGCTAGGCCCGAGAGGGACCACCCCTGAGGGTTGGTGGGCTGCCCAGGGGTGGTGCCCAGCACTGGACAATCCACACAGCTCCTCTCTGATTGTCATGCCTTCCCAACACCCCTGTAAAACAAGAGTTGTTATGACCCTACTCTACAAATCAGGAAACTGAGGCCCACAGCTCACCCAGGGGCACAGAGCAAGACAGCCAGCAGCGACCAGCCATCTGGCTCCAGGTCTCGAGCTTTGTCCACACCACCAAGCCTGTCTTCCTAGCAGGAAGGTGCAAAAAACCAGCCAAGGAAGAGGAAAGGGGTGGCCTCTGTGGGGTGAGGAGCCAGACGGCCTGCTTCGAAGATCCCTTCCAGCTGGCCTTGACTTCCACTGCTGAAATGCGAGTGAAGGAGGAAAGGTCGGGATGGGAGAGGAGCCGGCGCTCGCCACAACAACCCCCACCCTGCTCTCCATGCGCCAGGTCCTGCACGCTGGGTGGGAGGGTGACGACAAGGATGGAGGATCAGGGCCCCAGCCCCGCCCTCCCAGGACGCACCGTCTGCAGCGGCGAGGGCCTTGAGCTGCGTGGGAAATGAGGTGGGCAGAGGGCCACTGATGAGGGTGGGCCGGCTGACTGCAGCCCTCTCTCAGCCCCCGACACCTCCCGCCACCCCCGGCCCTGCCCACTCCCTCTTCCAGCGCCGGTCACTCTTCTTGCCCAAGCCAAGCCTTTAGCACTTAGCCTCGAACCGTCAGCTGATTCCTCATCTAGGACTACGCCCATCTCTCCAGCTACAACAGAATATCCTGAAAGGCAGGGGTTTACGTCCCCCACCCCAGGGGCCACATGACATAACTCTTTAGTAGAGTGAGAACAAAGTTATTTGGGATGTGATCAACTCCGGCAATGCCGTAGTGTGTTTACGGCAACAGCGGGACGGTAGGTCCAAGGGGCGGCCCCGGATCTCCGTGACGTCACCTGGCTTGTACGTCACTGTCGCTTGCGCCGGCGGCGAAAAGCACCCTGCATGAGAGATAACTTGACCATCGGAGCCCCTGCGGACCAGTGCGCGCTCAGGCAGTCGGTGAAGGGGGCAGCTGGGAGACGTCCCGAGCGTGCGGGACCGACAGGCGGCAGAAGCCCGGTGGGAGTCCGTGGGGTTCCGGCCGGGAACCCACCCTGCTCCCAAGCGGCCCCGCCCCTCGGTGACTGTCGCGGGCCGGCCAATCCGGGCAGGCCGCGGCGCCGCGCAGCCTATCAGCGACCAGGGCTTGCGTGCGCTTCCGCGTTCGCGTGCGCGCCCAGGCCCGCCGCCGCCGGATCCCGCACTTGTCCGCGGCTCGGTCCGGCGGGTCAGCCAGGACCCGGGCCGTCGCTTCCCGGGGGACCCGATGGCTTCCGAGGGTATGGCGGGAGTGCTGGCGGCCGTGCTGGCCGGCCAGGGGCTGCGCGTGCAGAGCTGCGACTCGGCGCCGGCCGGGGAGCCACCGGCACCGGTGCGGCTGCGGAAGAACGTGTGCTACGTGGTGCTGGCGGTGTTCCTCAGCGAGCAGGTGAGCGGCCGCCAGCCGGGCCCGCAGGGCCTCGGGAGCGCGCAGCCAGCCCAGGTGGGAACGGAAGACCCAACGGCCACAGCCAGCGCTGCCGCGTGCATGGCGCTGCCCAGTTTTGCAAAGCACTCCCATTCCCACTCGCATCTGTGTCCTGCAGTCGTCCCAATATGGAGAAGAGGAAACTCAGGCCGGGGGCCTGTTCGTCTCACCCCACTAGGCCTCATTCTTTCCCTTCCCAGAGTCTAGCGGAGTGCCCAGGACCCCTCAGATAGCAGTCGCTCAACCCTGGCTTACCTCAGGCCTTTGGTGTGGATCCCCGTACTGGGCAACTAGAAGGGGCCAGGGCCATAGGGCAGGGTTGTACAAGGTGGAGGTCGGGGGTCGTGTTTCAAAGCCAGACCCCAGGGTGAGGATCCATCACAAACAGTTCATAGGCCACGCCGCTGGAGACAAGAGATACCCAATGACATGTACAGACGTAAGTCAATGCAAGACTGACACATGGTGGCCCTCACTCTGGGGCCTCATCTCCAGCCCCTGAAGCAGCTTCCAGGAATCTCAGCCCTTTCTTAAGTGCAAGTTTTCTTAACTCCAGAGAGGGACTAATTGCAGGGAGAAGGTTGCAGCCCCCAGCAACTTGAGGGCAGATCTCCCGCAGCGCTAGCTGGTTTAAGGGCGATCTTGGGCGACTGTGTTTGAGATGCCCCCTGGTCCCTGGGCTGGGGAAGGCTATGGCAGGAAGTGAAGATGCTCTCTCCCCTCAGGATGAGGTGCTACTGGTCCAGGAGGCCAAGAGAGAGTGTCGGGGGTCGTGGTACCTGCCCGCGGGGAGAATGGAGCCTGGGGAGTCCATCGTGGAGGCGCTGCAGCGGGAGGTGAAGGAGGAGGCGGGGCTGCACTGTGAGCCTGAGACACTGCTGTCCGTGGAGGAGCGGGGCCCCTCCTGGGTCCGCTTCGTGTTCCTCGCTCGCCCCACAGGTATGGCCTACCTGGAGGCAGTATGAACAGGGCCAGTTGACATCTTTTCCCCAGCTGCTTGGTGAGGTGAGCCCCTCCACAGCCAGTCCTGTTATGGCACTCTGGCATGGGCAGATTCCAGCCTGCAGGCTGGGGGCCTCTCTCCTGGGTCAGGGATGTCTGTTGAAGCTGCCAACACTGCACTTCTCTCCACACAGACCCTCTGCCCCATCCCCCACATCTCCCCAGGTGGAATTCTCAAGACTTCCAAGGAGGCTGATGCAGAGTCCCTGCAGGCTGCCTGGTACCCACGGACCTCCCTGCCCACTCCACTGCGAGCCCATGACATCCTGCACCTGGTTGAGCTAGCTGCCCAGTATCGCCAGCAAGCCAGGCACCCTCTCATTCTGCCCCAAGAGCTGCCCTGTGATCTGGTCTGCCAGCGGCTTGTGGCCACCTTTACCAGTGCGCAGACAGTGTGGGTGTTGGTTGGCACAGTGGGGATGCCTCACTTGCCTGTCACTGCCTGTGGCCTCGCCCCTTCGGAGCAGAGGGGTGGCATGAAGATGGCTGTCCTGCGGCTGCTGCAGGAGTGTCTGACCCTGCACCACTTGGTGGTGGAGATCAAGGGGCTGCTTGGGCTGCAGCACCTGGGCCGAGATCACACTGATGGCATCTGTCTGAATGTGCTGGTGACTGTGGCTTTTCGGAGCCCAGGGATCCAGGATGAACCCCCGAAGGTTCGGGGTGAGAACTTCATTTGGTGGAAGGTGACGGAGGAAGGCCTGCAAAGCCAGCTCCTTCAGCGGCTTCAGGGATCCTCTGTTGTCCCAGTGAACAGATAGGGCGGGGGAGGAGGTGACGAGGAGCTGGGCGGCTGTGCTCCCTCCAGTGTGGCCTTGTCTCCCTCTGAGGGAGGCAGGAGGCTGGCGACCAGGGATCTTGTTGCATTGGGAGCAGGGGTGCTTTCCTGGTCCCCAGAAGAGATGCTTTGAGGAGCTTTCCTCTAGATCGCACAGGGACAGTGCCTTTAACCAAGCAAGGAATCCAAAGCTCAGGACCTGGCCACTCTTCGGGCACACTGGCACTTCTCCCCGGGGGTTGGGAGCTTTCTGCACTCCCAGTGGTGTCTTGTCATCACAGTTTGTGTTTTCCTTGGGAAAGGCCTGCATCCTGATCCCTCCAGGCCCTTAGAGCTGGGAGGGGCCCTGGGGAAGGTCTCCTGAGGGAGGAGCCCTTGCTCAGTAAAGAGGTGTTGCTTACCTTGCCTCCCTGCCTAGATGTCTCTGTGGGGACAAAGTGATGTGGACTGCGTCCAAGAGCTGCTCCTCCCCTTGTGCCACCGACAGCCACCTGTGTCTTTCCCAGTGCACTGACAATGCGGGCCAGCCTGCTGTCCAGGCTGGGCTGCTGGCCTGGGATGTGACTCTTGAGGGGACCCATCCCTCATGAAACACAGCTTGAGTCCTCCAAGGGTTGGGTAGTGGGTGACCCTGGGGGAGGTTCACGTGGGACAGGAGAGAGCGCTGCCTCAGCTTTCTCCTTGAGCCTCCCTGGTGTGGACCCCTCCCACGGCTCTCCTGCCTCTGCCTTTTCACAACTTCAGCCCACGCCAGACCAAACCTTGTCTTCATTTCCCCTCAGCCTGGCTGAATCACGGTAGGATTTTTTTTATTTTTTAAGTAAGCTCCGGGCATAGTGGCTCATGCCTATAATCCCAGCTCTTTGGGAGGCTGAGGCAGGTGGATCAGTTGAGGTTGGAAGTTCAAGACAAGCCTTACCAACATGGAGAAATCCTGGTTCTACTAAAAATACAAAATGAGGCAAGTGTGCTAGCTCAGCAGGAGAATCACTTGAACCCCAGAGGCAGAGGGTGCAGTGAGCTAAGCTGATATTGCACCATTGCACTCTAGCCTGGGTGACACACTCCCTCAAAATAAAAAAGAACTTTGGCCAGGCACAATGGCTTACACTTGTAATCCCAGTGCTTTGGGAGGCTGAGGCAGGAGGATTGCTTAAAGGCTAGAGTTTGAAGCCAGCCTGGGTAACATAGTGGGACCCTGTCTCTACAAAACAAAACAAAAACAATTAGCCAGGTGAGGTGGTGCACACCTGTAAGTCCCAGCTACTCAGGAGGCTGAGGCAGGAGGACTGCTTGAGCCCAGGAGGTTGAGGCTGCAGTGAGCCATCATCAGGCCACTGCACTCCAGCCTGGGTGAGAGAGCAAGACTCTGAAAAGAAAAAAAAGAATTTTACTAAAATTTAAGGGAAAATTCAAGGAAATGAACAAATAAAATACATCAAGTGTTCTACGGTAGAGATCTGAGTGCCAAGATAACCTCCAAGACCCGTTTCCCAGCACCCCCGTCTCTCTTGCCTGCTCTCATCTTTGTGGCTCCTGGAAGGTGGGAGGAATCCTTGTACCCTCTGAGGACAAATACCTCGCAAATGATGGAACTAAAAACCCTTTTGTTTCAGTTCACTTCTCTCAGTGTCTAAGGGACCCACCAGCCCATATCCAGTAGGCCAGGCAATGATGTTTGGCTCTCTGTTCCCATTATTTAGCCTAGTAGTTTTCAACCCTGGGTGCACAGTAGGGTCACCTGGTTTTGTTTTTTTTCTCAGACAGGGTCTTGCTCTATCACACAGGCCAGAATGCAGCGGCACGATCGTGGCTCACACAGCCTTCACCTCCCACGCTCAAGTGACAAGTGATTTTCCTGCCTCAGTCTCCTGAGTAGCTGGAACCACAGGCACATGCCACCATGTCCAACTAATTTTTAAGTTTTTAGTAGAGATGGGGGCTGGGTCTTGCTATGCTGCCCAGGCTGGTCTCAAACTTCTGTCCTCAAGGATGCTCCTGCCTCAGCCTCCCATAGTGCTGGGATTTATAGGTGTGAGCTACCACGCGCAACCACCTGGAAAGCTTTTCTCTGGGCCCACCCTCAGCAACAGTGATTTAACTGGTGATGGGGCACTGGGCATTGGGATTTTAAAAAGCAGCTCAGTCATCGGTCATAACATGAGCTGAAAGCCACTGTCTGGCTCTTTGTCCTGCAAGTTGTCAGTCTGCCATACCGTCCACGCACATCTAGGGACAAAGGATTTATTTTTCTACGTGTTAATTTTTCTTTTCTCCTGAGAACACACCTGCGAATTTTCTTTTTTTTGGAGACAGGGTCTCACTCTGTTGCCCAGGCTGGAGTGCAGTGGTGCAATCATAGCTTGCTGCAGCCTTGAATTTAAAGACAAGGTTTTAAGTAAGTATCAGGCCTACTTGATGACGAAAACAGGCATACAACGCGTGACACAAACACACCCAGATGAGACATGCACACAGATGCTCCCATGTGGGCCATTCCCTCGCCGTGTGTCACGGGGGGAGGTAGGCTCTCGGCTGCAGGTCAGCCTGGCAGAGGTGGCACTGCTCGGCCAAGAGTCTCTGGCAGGCGCTGGGGATGAGCAGATCTGTACTGCCAGAGCCTGTCTGTTTACCACCCACCCAACCTCCCTGCTCCAGTGCTAGAAAAAGAATTTGTCTTCCTTGGGGAGGAAGATGGTCCTGAATTAGCATTGGAGTCCTGGGCAGAAGGAGGGGAAACCTGGCCAAGAACAGACACCGTGTCCACGCAATCACACCATTTATTGCTGTGCTGTCCGGGGAAGACACCGTGCAGACACCAAAGTGCATTGAGGAGAGGGGAGGGTCTGTGACTCCCAGACCCTTGAACATTTTATGAATCTAGGAGTCCAATCCTAGTTCATCCACGGAGATCTGCATTAACCCGTCCACATTAACCCACGTTCCTGTACCCACACGGCACAGTGCTCTCAGAGTGGCGAGGTCCTCCCCCGCGGGGAGGAATTCGGGAGAGGCAGAGGTCACTGAGTTTCCTCCTGTTTCGTGTCACCCCTTGGCAACCTGTGCCTGGCTTCTAGAAGCAGCATGGGCAAGAAAAGGAAGCGAAAGAGGCTCTGGCCTGCTCCTCCTTGCCCAGAAGCAAAGCCAGCAACTGTGTAGTCCTGCTGTGAGGTAATGCCTGGCGCCGCCTGTGTATTCCTGCAGGTCAAGACAGATTCAGACCGGGTGGGGTGGCAGCCCCAGCCACGGAGGGCAGGCAGGGAGAACAACACCAGGACTGGCTGCCTGGGCCACAGCCACTCCCTGCCAGGCCCAGGGGCCTGGAGTCTGGGAGTGCCCTGCCCTCATCTGTCTCCTGAGCTCCCTGGTCCCCCAGAAGGGTCTTCCATCAAGAACACTGGGCACTGGGCAGAAGGGAGGGCGAGGCCCGGCCTCTCCTAGTCTCTGACCTCTCTATCCAGGTGCTGTGGACCTGCTGAGACGGGTTCAGAAGGTGCCAGAGGAACCAGCTGGACCAAAGCCGGGCACCCAGCTCCCCGGCTCCCCAGCTCCTGGGCCTGCTCCCCTCCTGGCAGCAGCTGCACCAAGGTTCTCATTAGCAGCAGCCCCCGCCTGGGTGTGGAACATGCTTTGGGCATTTGCCATGAGGCGGCTAGGAGTTTCACAACAGTTTCCAGGGGAGCGGAGCAGGAAGAGGGGGCTTCCCCGACAATCCCATTAACTGCTCCTCCATGGGCCAAGCCATGAAGAAAGGGACAAAATGTCAGGTCTCACCAGCTCCCATGATACCTAATGTGACAGACAGGGCTCCAGGCCCCATCTCCCTGCCTGGGCTCCCCACCAGTCTTGGAGGCATCAGCTCACTCCCCATCTTGCCCGTGGAGTTGAGTCACAGGTCTTGGCCCTGGCCACAAATGGTCAGTACAGAGGGGGCCAAGCACAGAGCACCTGAGGGTCTGGGGTTTGGGTGCTCACCTGGCCATCACCCAGCTCCTTCAAGAAAGCCCCAAGGACCCTGCCACCTGGAAAGCCATCTGTTTGGCTCCTTGGCACCTGGCAGGCCCATTCCCTGAAACCCAGTCTGGTGTGGTCAACATGCCATGGCCTCCTTGAGTGAGCATAAGAGCCAAAGCCCCCAATCCCAGGAGGGGAGTATGGTGGCGGTGGCAGTGCCAGACAGGAGGCAGCTCTGGGGCAGAGGTGCAAACAGGAGTCTCCCACCGCCCTGCTCCTGGCTCAGATCTGCCCATCCGGGGCTGGGGAGACGTTCTGGAGAGGACCATTCGGGGGAAACTTGACAAAGGCAATGGCAGCCAGCTCCTTGCAGAACTCCTCCAGCACCACCACGCCCTGGAGTAGGGTCTGATGGTCCAGCCTGAGGGGAGATGGCACAGGGAGCATGGCTGGGTGGGGGCAAGACTGTGCCCAGCACGACAGCCCAGCATCCAACAGGCTTGACCCTGTGGCCGGCCACTTCCTCTCCCAGAGGCACTCTCAGCCCTCCTATCCCCCAGGCTTCACCTGGCACCCTTGGTACTCACTGCTCCCCAGGAGCCTGGCCCATCAACTGCTTGCGCACCAGGAGCAGCTTGCCCGGGAACTGGGGCACCCTCTGGATTCTCTGCATCAAGTCCCCGATCACCTAGAGTGGGAACCACAGGGGACTCAGATGGGGCCATCCCCTAGCCCTGCCACACCGTGCAGAGCATGGGAGTTTGTGGTTTCCCACGCACTGGCAAGGGTGCCCACTTCTCTAGCCCCCAACCACCTGCCCTGTTCCCCTTCCCTGCTGTCCCCTCCACCCCCACTGGGCACACTCCCTCGGGCCACGGCATCCTCACCCTCACCAACACGGAGAACAGGCTCCTGCAGCCGGGGGCCAGGCTGATGTAGGGATCCAGGAGGTACTCATGGATATGGGGGTGGGGGAAGAGGGCAAGCCGGGACAGGACCGAGGTCACCTGCAGGTTCAGGCTGTATGGCTGCAGGAACAGTGGCCAGAGCTGAGGGTTGGCAGGGCTGGTGAGCATTTTGCATTCCCCCAGCAAGGTGTCTGGCCAGTGTGAACGTGTGTGGGGGTGGGAGGCTCATGTGATGTGTGTGTCATGGATTCCATGGGGCTGAGGGCCAGAACATGTTAGAACGTGTAGAGCAGGGGCGAGATGGGGCTTCCCACCTGGAGAAAGGGCAGGGGTGCTGTGGCGCAAAGGAACCAAAGCGGAGGCAACCCCATGGCCAGCCCCTGCTCTCGAAGGATCCCAGAGGCACCAGCCTGGCCTTCTCCTGGCCAGGGCCCACTGGCTACCTGATCCAGAATCCGGGACATGCGGTCAAACAGCACTTGGAGGAAGTGGCCCTCGAAGAAAGGTCGCTCGGGCTCATGGAGGTCCAAAGGTATAGGGGTCCGAGGCCAGCCCCAGGGCGCAACACGGGAGCTGCACTCCTGGAACTGAGACAAGCGGGAGAGTAGAGACAGCGGGTCCAAGGGGTTGGAACCAGAAGACAGGGCCCCATGCAGGAGGGATAGGCAGGGGTCCTCGGGCAGATGAGGAGGGGAACCCAGAGCTTATCATCCAGCCGTTCTGAAGGACAGGAAGTAGGAGCTGGTGGCAGGAGCCACTCACCAGGCCATAAGCATCGTGGACGTATGTGTCATAGCCTGTCTCCTCCAGGAAGGCAGAGGTCTTGGCTTCCTCAGGGACCAGGCACAGGAAACTGAGAGACAGAAGCTGGTGTGGAGGCGCTCCAGGCTCCCCCTGTTCCCCCTGCTCTCGGGACCCCATCTCCCTCCCCAACTGGACCCCATCAGGGCTGTGGCCAAAGAAAGAGTAAAATTCAGGCCATGCACGGTGGCTCACATCTGTAATCCCAGCACTTTGGGAGGCCGAGGTGGGCGGATCACCTGAGGTCAGGAGTTTGAGACCAGCCTGGACGACATGGGAAAACCCCGTCTCTACTAAAAATATAAAAATTAACTGGGTGTGGTGGTGCATGTCTGTAATCCCAGGTACTCAGGAAGCTGAGGCACGGGAATTGCTTGAAACTGGGAGGTGGAGGTTGCAGTGAGCTGAGATTGTGCCACTGCACACTCCAGCCAAAAGTGATGGAACGAGACTATCTCAGAAAAAAAAAAAAACCACAACAGTAAAACTCAAGTGGTTCAGACCGCCTGACCTGCTCCCCACCTGTTGACAATCTCGGTCACTGCTGTTTTGCCATCGTAACTGGTGGCAGGAACAGGGTGAGGCTTTGCTCGAGGTTGAAAGCCGGAATCCAGGAAACTATCGGTGAAGTAGGGGTCCTCCTCCAGATCTCTGTGGCCAGGGCAGAGCAGCAGGCACCAATAAATGAATGGACAGAGTGAGTGTGTGAGTGCTGAGGGGAGGGCTGGGCTGGGTCCGGAGGGCGCTGGTTTCACTTACAGGTTGTCCTCGTAGCTCTCAGGCTCTGGCGAGCCCCGGGCCACATAAGGACGGCCCTCGAGGTTGCGCAGGACCAGGCTGCGGATGATCCCCTCATCGGGCTTCTGCAGCAGTTCCTCGAACAGCCGGAGTGTGGCGATGCTGATCTGGAGCAGGAAGGGGGTCAGCAGGATGGCCCCTTCCCCACCCGGCTCCCAAGGGTCCCTTGCCATTGCTGTAAGAAAAGGCCTCCGAGGCAGAGTCACCTCCCCTGGCTGGATGCTAAGGTGGCAGGTTTTGGAGGGAATGGGTCTAAGGAATCAGTAAGTCTGGGTGGTCCCCGTTGCGTGACTAATTTGATAGGCGATTTTGGGCAAGCCAATTTACTTCTCTGTGCCTCAGTTTCCATGTCTGAGAAATGGGAGTATCAACCTCAGCTACCTCACAGAGTAGGTGTTAGCCCTCCAGCAAGCCAAGTGAGTACAAAATCAGAGTGCAAACTATAAAATGCCATCAAAAATAAGCTGGGCATGGTGGCTCATACCTGCAGTCCCAGCACTTTAGGAGGCTGAGGTGAGAGGATGGCTTGAGGCCAGGAGTTAGAGACAGCAGTGAGCTATGATCACACTACTGCACTCTAGGGCCTGGGTGACAGAACAAGACCCTGTCTCTTTAAAAAAAAAAGAGTGAAGCTGAGGGTAGAGGGAACACGGGGAAAAAATTAATTAATTAAAATAAATTTTTAAAAATGGTGGCTCATGCCTGTAATCCCAGCACTTTGGGAGGCCAAGGCAGGAGGATCACGAGGTTAGGAGTTCAAGACCAGCCTGACCAACATGGTGAAACCCATCTCTACTAAAAAATACAAAAACTTAGCTGGGTGTGGTGGCACATGCCTGTAATCCCAGCTACTCAGGAGGCTGACGCAGGATAATTGCTTGAACCCGGGAGGCAGAGATTGCAGTGAGCTGAGATCGTGCCACTGCACTCCAGCCTGGGTGACAGAGTGAGACTCTGTCTCAAAAAAAAAAAAAAAAAAAAAAAAAAGTGTATAATCATAGAAAATTAGTGTGTGACAAAAGTGGCTCGGCAGTATTCAGCAGTTCAGCGTCTCCCAGCGGGGAGTCACCTGGGAACACTAATGAAATGGGAAGAGTGTTCAGGAACTCCCTTTGGCAGGGGTGGTGGAAGGAACAGAGGTGGTCTCCCGCCTTACCTCATCAGAGAGGTGGTCACAGTGCCCAATGAGGTGAGCATACAGGGCACAGGGTTTGTCCCCAGGGGCTTCAGGCTGGCGGTCTGTGCCCAGGAGGAAAGTCACAGCCTCCCGAAGCAGCGCAGGTGAGCGGAGCTGGCGCAGCATGGCTGTGAGGAGGGCAGTGGAGGTCAGGATGCTCGGCTCAGACCTATGGGAAGAGGGCACCTTAGCTATGCCTGGTATGCAGATGGCACATGAGTGCAGAGGGAGAACCTTGCCTGGTTGCCTCGAATCTTTGGCTGGTATGTCTCTGGTCACTTGCCCATCCCTGCTGAAGTCCTGCAGGGAAGGGTAGGAGGCCTTCGTTTAGCCCACTTAGCTCAGAGCCATGTGCACATCATGGGGCAGACCTGGCAAACATCACCCAAGGGGGCCCACAGATGGGATTCTGGTCAAGGAGGTGCCTGGCCTTAGGGACAGGAGGCTGGGTTGGGTAGGCGGTTTGCTGTAGACCACAGCCATGCCTGAGGGAACTAGACACTTACACGTGCAGGAGCTGGGGCTGTAGGGTCTCCACGAATAACTTCTCAGCCACGGCCTTCGCCAAGGCATCCGCAACCACCTGGGTACCAGAAAGCACAATGTCAATGTGTTTTGTACTTACCATGATGCCCGCTGAGAAGTAACCATGTCATTGCACAGCGCCTGATGCCACCAGAGAGGGTCCCGGCCCACTGGGGCCCCGCTTAGCTCCTGGACCCGTTTCCATGTCCCTGCTCCACTCAGTCCTCGAGACAGATGGTACAGGGAGCAGCGTGAGACCCCTGCCCACGAGTGCCCCTGCTCACCATGTGTGCCTCTGTGATAAGGTGGTCGCAGTAATCAAACCAGCCCAAGAAGGCAGCCAAGGCCTCCTTGCCAGGGAAGGAAGCCTCATCAGATGGGGCACTGGGTAACCTGAAGGGAGAGGGGAGGGAAGGCTCAGAGTGCAGGAGGAGCATCAAGGTCTTCCTCAGTATCTCCTGAATCTGGGCCCTTCCCCTCTCCTGTGGAACCTCTGCTGCGGCGGTCAGTTATCTTGGGGGTTTTATGGACAGAGGCAGCAAAAGCAGTGATTTCCTGGAAGGTGAGAAGACCTCTGGGGATCAGCTGCAGCCCTGGGAAGAGGGTGACCAGCAGGGGTCCCCAGCCACGTGGAACACCAGGGGAACTGGCCGTCAAAGACAGGCAGGGCTGCCAGCTACCGAAGATGCTGGCCAGCCTTCCCCGGCTGGGCACCCACCTCCAGCTGATGCCCTCTAAGGTGGCAATGTCTGCGGGGTCCAGGAAGGCAGGCATTGACCGGTACAGCTGGCAGAGGTGCCAGACGATTGCGCGGCAGCAGGGGCTGCTCTGTGCCAGGTAGGTGGCGGCTGCTGGGGAGGCTGTGCTCACCAGGAGTAGCAGGTTCTCCTGGGCCTTCAAGGCCACCCGACTTTTCTAGGGGATGAGAATACGATTTCAGGGACATGCATGTGAGCCCCCAAATCACCTCCCAACCTTCGACCCACCCTTCCCCTGCCCCCCGCCCTCTCCACCTCTGCCACCAGCACCTTGCTCCGGCAGAGCCCAAGCAGGGAAGTGATCAGGTTGCTCTCTGCAGTCCCACCGTCCAGCTCCTCAGTCTCAGTCAACAGGGGGTTGTTCAAGGTCTGGGCCCCACAGGGCTCCCCATCCCGCTGGGGCCTGGCAGGAGCACCATCCTGGGAGCAGTCCTTGTCCCTGTGGCTGGCTGTGTCCTTAGGTAGGGCATCGGGTTCTCCACATGCCTTCTTCCTAGCTACAGTCTTTTTACCCTGCAAAGAGGGTGGGATGAGGCTGCCAGGCCTGGTGGGGACCACTTCCCAAGGTCCCCCACAGGGAACACAGGGTGGGCTGCCAGCAGGGCCTCTGCCTGGAGGTGAAGGGGAAGCTGCCTGCGCGTCTCCCTGGTACCTGCTCTCTGCTTCTGCCTCCTTAGGAGGGCCGAGGGGGCTTGCCCCTGGGGTTCCAGGCCCTCCCCATCCTGTTCCCGATAGGAGTGCTCACTTCCAGGATGTAGGCCAGCAGCTCTGGGTCCTGCTGGATCTTGGAGCAGAGGACAGTGGTGAGCTGCACCTCCTCCTTTTCTGTAACGGATCCGGGAACTGTCCCACCAAGTCGGAGAAGTTTCTGGAGGAGCAGCAGGACAGAAACAGAGGGGAGTGGGATGGCAGGGGAGAACAGGGGGCCTCATGCCCAGACACCCCTTGTCCTCTGGGCCCCTCACCTGCACAGGCCTGTGGACGCTGAGGTAATGCAGCAGAGGGTGCTGCACCTGGGCCAGGACTCTGCTGAAGAACTGGAACACCTGCTGCCGCATGCCTGGGGGGTACTGGGGCCGGGACAGAGCCCTGTCAGAAGCCATCCCTGGCCCGGAACACTCCACCCTCGGGGAGTCCCAGGGTCAACTCCTCCCTGCATGCCTGGGGGGTACTGAGGCCTGGAACAGACACAGCACCTGTCAGAAGCCTCCCTGCCTGGAACATCCGCCCCTAGAGAGCCCCAGGCTCAACTCCTCCCTCCGTCCCTGCTCAGAAGGCACCTTCTCACAGGCCTGCTCCCCTCGCCCCGTTGTTGGAAACTGGCCTTCCTGGGGCTCGAAACCCCTTTTCCTGCATCCCTTTGCTCCATAACTGGGTCATTATTGACACACCACAGGACTGTCCTGCCTCTCCCAAGAATAAAGAGGATTCTTGTCGGATTCTCTTTATTTAAGAGACAGGGTCTTGCTCTGCCTCCCAGGCAGGAATGCAGTGGCACGATCACAGCTCGCTGCAGCCTCCATCTCCTGGGCTCAAGCAATCCTCCCACCTTGGCCTCCCACGTAGCTGGGGCTACAGGCATGCGCCACCATGCCTGGGTCTTGTCAGTCTGAATCACTGCTGTTTCCCCAGCATCTAGAGCTGAGCCTGGCACGTGGCAGGCCCATCTTTGTGGTGTCAACAGGGAACAGGAGCCCCTGGATGGTAGGATGTTCTAAGTGAGACAGCCACAGTGCCTGTCCCATTTGCTCACCTCCCCGAAACTGCCACTTTCAGTGACAGGATTGGGAAGAGCATAGGCAGAAAGGCCTGGAATCCAGGGAGCTCCGGACTTCCCACCTCAGCCTGTAATCCAGGGGGCCCTGGGCCCCCCACCTCGGCCTTGTCCTGTGCACAGAGGATCCTCCGCCTCGGCCTGGCCTGGAGCACAGAGGGCCCCCGACCTCAGCCTTGCCCAGCATGCAGAGGGCCCCCCACCTCAGCCTTGCCCAGCGTGCAGAGGGTCTCCAGGATCTTGTGCTGCAGTAGGTACTCCAGGCAGGGCCCTGCCTCCCCCATGGCTGCCTGCTGCTGCTCTTCATACACCAGGATGTCCAGCATCTGCTTCAGCCGCCAGGGAATGTCTGTCTTCTTGGCAGGGGTGTTTTCATCTAACGGATGTTTGGGAAACAAGGGTGAGTGGCGTAAAGAGGGGCACCCTGGCTTGAAAACTTCACCCTTTCCTGCCAAAGCACAGAAAGGGGAGGGCCTGTCCAGGAGAGGTGGGGGAAGAGAGCGGCGGCCAACCGGGAAGAAGTTTACAGCGGATGATTCCATATTTAAGACAAAAGTCCTTCCAGGCTTAGGACACAGCCCTCTGAGAACTCATGCATGCCCAGTGCTTTATCCCGGGGCGGCAGCACTGGGTTCCTCCAAACCCTGGGATAGGTACAGAGACAGGGACACGTGGTCCTGGGCCCACAGACCACTGCCTGTCAGCTGTGGGCCTGAGTGAGACGATGTGGGCTCAGGGCTCTTGTCACATAACTTAGAAGGTGGCTGCTGGAATTACAGCTGAGAGAGAACCTCCCCTACGGACAGAGAAGGCAAGCCTCTGTTTTTCACAAAGCAGAAAAAAACACCTGTGCCACCACCTTCAGCTCTGACCCCATCCTGCTCCCTCTTCGAAGGCCCTGACAGGGAAGCTACTTAGTGGGCTTTTGCAGTCAGAGTCTCAGTATGTGTTCTAAAGAAAGTTCTGGTGCTTTAGGACTGGCCTTGGAGCATCCCCTAGCTTTTCTTTAAGGTACAGGAGCTTAAGTAGGGGAGCCTGCCCCTCAGACTTCTGACCCTTCTGGTCTAGGGACCACTCTGGAAATGAAAGAGCTGAATCGGGCTGGATTTAAGCCAGTTCTGATCTTATCTTACTCTGTTGGTGGACTGAGGCTCTCCTTCAAGAGATCTTTAACCTGAAGAGGTGGTTCAGAACCGGGGGTGCGCTCTTGCCCCCCAGGGAACATGAGGCAATGTCTGGAGACACTTCCGGTTGTCCCAATTCGGGGGTGGGGTGTGCTACTGGCACCTAGTGGTCAGAGGCCAGAATGACTGCTGCGCATCCCGCATCACCCAGGAGAGCTGGCACAGGGAGGGCTCCAGGTCCAATGCAAACCTGGTCTAGCAGAACTCTCGGGGTCCCACAGATTTCTGAATTTCTTAGGCTGGCCTAGGCTGGAAAGAAAGCTGGTAGAAAAGGTGTGGGCTGGAATCAGGCCAGCTGGCTCTGGGAAAAGGGGAATGTGTTAAACTCTTCTTTTAATCGGTAAACCCCAGGCACTAGCTCCTGGGGCCTGAAGGCCTGGAACTGGAAGCTGGGGGAAGTGCAGCAACCTCTTCCATGGATCAGGCCACTGAGATGCCCACCTGGCTACTCCTCCCTCACACAGCCCCTTTCCAAAAGGTCAGGGTGGGACCGGCAGCTAAATTATCAGGAGTGGAGGTGGGACAGGCAGCTAAATAATTAGGAGCGGAAGCAGCCCAGGACTCTAGGTCTTCTGTCTGTCTGGTTCTGTCTCCATTCACTTGGCTCGAATTCTGAAGGACTGGGCACATGACCTTCCCCAGGATACCTGGATTGTGACATTCTGCCCACATCTTCCTCCCCGCTTCCTCCAGGGTTCCCGAGCTGGGGAGGGCCAGGCCCCACCTGTGGTCTCAATGTAGTAATGTGTGATGCCCTTCCAGTGCTCCACGAAGGCCTGCAGCAGGTCAATGCTGGGCTCCCGCTGCGGAGAGAGCAGAGACACAACCTCGGCGGGGGCCACAAAGGCCAGGGAGCCCCTGACCTCGTGGGTGTCAGGTTCATGCTAGGCCTTGGAGGAGGCCCCCTACTCCCTGGCTTTCAAAGGGAATGGTAACACATTTCCTCCAGGACACACTGGCACCGTCTCCATATCTTGCCAAGGATCTCCTGGTGGGCACTTCTCCCTAGATACCCCTCCCTCCTGGAAATGCTGTTTTCTTGATATATGTTACAATCCTGTCCTGTCCTTAGCAATCCTGCTAAGAATGTTGCTGGGGAAACAGACACAGACACAGATTATTTCAACACAGCATGGTTATGCTACAGTAGAGGCACCTAGAGGACAGGAATGCAGTCCCCCAAAGAAAAACAAATGATACAGATGGAAAATGAGGCAAAGGCCAGGTGCAGTCGCTCACGCCCATAATTTCAACACTTTGTGAGGCCAAGGTGGGCAGACGGCTTGAGTCCCGGAGTTTGAGACCAGCCTCGGCAACATGTCTGTCTCTACAATTTAAAAACTAGCAGGACGTGGCCAGGTACAGTGGCTCACACCTGTAATCCCAGTACTTTGGGAGGCTGAGGTGGGCAGATCAGAGACCAGCATGGTGACAACCTGTCTCTATTAAAAATAAAAAAGTAGCCGGGTGTGCTGGCACGTGCCTGTAATCCCAGCTACTCAGGAGGCTGAGGCAGGAGAACTGCTTGAACCCATGAGGTAGAGGTTGCCGTAAGCCGAGATTGTGCCACCGCACTCCAGCCTGGGCAACAGAGCAAAACTCAGTCTAAAAAAATTTAAAAAAGAAAACACTAGTAGGACATGGTGTGTGCCTATAGTCCCAGCTACTTGGGAGGCTGGGGCAGGAGGATTACCTAAGCCCAGGGAGGTTGAGGCTTCAGTGTGATCACACTGGTGCACTCCAGCCTAGGTGACAAGGTAAGACCCTGTCTCAAAAAAAAAAAAAAAAAAAAGAGAAAAAGCTTTCTCATTCCTGTTAATGTGAGAGTCTATGAAAATCTCTTCAAGACCACCATGGGCTCTGTCCAGCCTGATGGGTAGGTAACATCAGCATGATATTAACAAAGTGCCTTTCTTATAACATGCTTTCATCTTGTGTCCAAAGCCTGAGCCTGCACAACCGCAACTTCTTAGCCAGTGCTGTTCTCATTTCCTCCTCTACTGGCTCCTTCTATCAGCCTTGAATTCTGGTTCTGCTCTGGGCAAGCCTCTAACCTCCCCCTTTTCCATAAGCACTCTCTCCATCTCTCCACTACAGTGGTATAGCTGATACCGGCCTTGCACTCAGAACCACCACTTTCCCTGAAAACTTCTACAAAAAAAAAAGAAAGCCATTCCTTCCCTTTTCTTGCAGAGTAAATGCCTGCAGGAAAAAAAGAAACGATTCCATCATCCCTCCCCACAGGTGTGCGTTTCTGCCTCTAGGTCTTTGCTGGGTCCACTCCTCTGTCCAAGGTGCTCTGATTCCTGCTAACTTGTCTGGACCCTGAGAGTGCCCAGTGAAGTTCAGTCCCCAGCAGCTCCACCAAGCCCTCTCCAGTGTCCCTGCCTGTTTGCACCTCTCTTTGACCCCACACTTTGCTGCACCACAGAGCTGAGTTCTGTGCCCACCATGTACAAGACACTATGTTAGATGCCACAAGCAACGTGAGGTCAAGAAACACGCCATGGAGAAGACATCAGACTGCACTGAATAATGAAACTAGAAGGAAGTAGTGTGAGGCCGCAGGAGAGGTGGAAAGTAGTGACCTCTCTGGAAAAAGGGGTCACTTCTAACAGGCGAGGCTTTACCAAGGCCACATCTGAACCAAAATTTGAAGAACCTGGTCAGTATCAAAAAGAGCAGGAAAGACAGTCCCTGCAGAAAGAACTCTGCAAAGTGTGTCTGGGGAAGGGATGGGCTGGTGAGTCTTTGGAGCCTCTAATGCCCAGCCAAGAAGTCTTGATCATTTTTTGCAAGCAGCAGGTCAATGACAGCTTTTTTTTTTTTTTTTAGATGGAGTCTCACTGTCACCCAGGCTAGAGTGCAGTGGTACGATCTCAGCTTACTACAACCTCTGCCTCCTCAGTCTTCCAAATTGCTGGGATTACAGACATGTACCACCACACCTGGCTTTTTTTTTTTTTTTTAAATGTGAAACAGAGTCTCCTGCCTCAGTCTCCCAAGTTGCTGGGATTACAGACATGTACCACCACACCTGGCTTTTTCTTTTTTTTTTTTTATGTGTGAAACAGAGTCTCACTCTGTTGCCCAGGCTGGAATACAGTGCTGTGATCTTAGCTCACTGCAACCTTGGCTTCTCAGGTTCAAGCAATTCTCCTGCCTCAGCCTCCTGAGTAGCTGGGATTACCTGCCATCATGCCTGGCTAATTTTTGTGTTTTTAGTAGAGATGGAATTCCACCACGTCGACCAGTCTGGTCTTGAACTCCTGACCTCAAATGATCTGCCCACGTTGACCTCCCAAAGTGCTGGGATTACAGGTGTGAGCCAGCACGCCCGGCCACTGACACCTTCTGAGCAGTGTTTTAGGAAGATTCATCTGGCAGTTGAGCTTGGGAGAGGAGATAAAGGCAGGAAGAATGCTTAGGCCACTGCAATGTGGGGGGATGACACTCAGATGACTGGAAACACTCCCCTGGTCTGCAGGCCATCTTTTCTTTCAAAGCTTGTTAGCAGGGGCCACAACCCTCCTCCAGGTGGCACCACCCAGTTATTCCAAATATTCCACACCTATGGAGTGACCCCATCTCACCACACTGCATGTGACAGTGCCTGCTGGGATGAGCACCCGTCTCTCCTGCTAGGTAAGCCCTCCGAGGACCAGGGTTCTGTGTTTAACAGCTAGCCTGCCCTCCGTGGACTCAGCACATAGTGAATACCCATGAATATTTACCAAGTATCGCAGGAAGCTTCTGGAGACATTCTTTCCCTAGTTCCTTGTTTTAGAAAAGTCCTCTGGCCCTTTACCAGCCCTACGGTTATCTCAGTTTCTGCAATGGGGTTTCCTTTAGCCTCAAAATTGGCTTATAGTCTTCAAAAACCTTGAGCTGGGCTTTAAGCAAAAAGAACACTGCAGTACGAACAGAAGACACAGGACGGGCAGGTTAACCAGCACAGGTCATTGCATGGCTGGTAACACAGGAGTGTAATCTTTTCCTGACTCCAGGACCAGCTATGGTAACTCCAAGCCAAAGGCACTGGACCCAACAATTTCTTTTAAAAGATATTATTAGTGGCCGGGCATGGTGGCTTACACCTGTAATCCCAGTACTTTGGGAGGCTGAGGCAGGTGGATCACTTAAAGTCAGGAGTTCGAGACCAGCCTGGCCAACACAGCGAAACCTTGTCTCTACTAAAAATACAAAAATTAGCCAGGTGTGGTGGCGCAGGCCTGTAGCCCCAGTTACTTGGGAAGCTGAGGCAGGAGAACCACTTAAGCGGAGGCTGCAGTCAGCTGAGATCGCCCCACTGCACTGCAGCCTGGGCGACAGAGCAAGACTCCAAAAAGCTAGGCTGGGTACAGTGGCTCACGCCTGTAATCGTAGTACTTTGGGAGGCCAAGGCAGGCAGATCATGAGGCCAGATGTTCGAGACCATCCTGGCCAGCATGGTGAAACCCCATCTCTACTAAAAATACAAAAAATTAGCTGGGCATGGTACATGCACCTGTAATTTCAGTTACTCGGGAGGCTGAGGCAGAACTGCTTGAACCCAGGAGGCGGAGGCTGCAGTGAGCTAAGATTGTGCTACTGCATTCCAGCCTGAGCGACACAGAGAAACTCCATCTCAAAAAAAAAAAAAAAAAAAGGTGTAATAATTCCTAGTCTGCTGGCTCAGAAGAGGGCAGGGAGGAGCATTCTTCCTCCTTAATGAGGAGTCAGCTGGCTTACTGGCATCACACATTATTTGGTGACCCAGGCCCACGAAAGACCTAGACTGGAAGCCTGGTGGTAGAGCAGAAAAGAAATTCCCAACTCCCTGTAATCACCTGGGGCCAGCCACACTTCCTGGACATAGCCTATGTGGTAAATGCTAAAGGGCCTAGAGGGTCGCCTGCCTAAAACGATCTCCCTCCACTGCCCAAATCTCCTCCTGCCGCTGATGCCTGTACTTTGTCATTGGGAGCCTTAGAAACTGACTCCCAGCCAGGTGTGGTGGCTCACCCCTGTAATCCCAGCACTTTGGGAAGCTGAGGCAGGAGGATGGCTTGAGGCTACAAGTTCAAGACAAGCCCAGTCTCTACAAGAAATGCAAAAATTAGCCAGTCGTGGTGCCACATGCCTGTAGTCCCAGCTACTCAGGAGGCTGAGGTGGGAGGATTGCCTGAGCACAGAGATGGAGGCTACAGTGAGCCAAGATCGCACCACTGTACTCCAGCCTGGGCTCATGAATAAAATAAATAATAAAAAAAAGAAAAAGAAATTCACTCCTTAGGACTGAAGAACTGTCTGGCAAATGGAGTGTTCCCCAGAGATATTAATTAGTTTACCATACCACTTTTGAGGATGACAGCTGTTTTGACTGGGGATGGGGAGAAGGGGTGAAAAAATCATTTTGGAACCTTCTCTACCTGAATGTCCCAAGGCCCTGGACGTGGGACAACAGCAGGGCTAAGAAGCGGGAGGGAGCCACAGTTTCTGACTTTCTTCCCAAGTGTGCCTATGGCTGAGCCCTCCCTTCCACAGGAGCTCCCATGAGGGTGGGGGAGGAGGTGGTGGGGAGGAAAGAGGGTGAAACCCAAGGCTGCTTCTCCTGAGAAAATCTGATCCTCATTAATTGGGGGAAGATTTACACTAGGAGGCAGCAGTACCGCTGACTTTACAGCTTCTTGACAGAGTTACTTTCAACGGCATCCCCCCACCCTACCTACAATGCACTACATACAACCTGCTGAAGGAACCCTAGTAAGTGGGCAGCCAGGGGCCAGCCCGCAGGCCCAACAAAAAACGGCAAAAATACAAACTGTGATGGCATGTGAAACATCAGTGGATTCTCTCCGCCTCCCCTCGCAGGGCCACAGAGGCCCCACCACAGGCGGCCTCTCCCTAGCTCAAAGTCAGTTTGGCTTGCGATGGGTGAGAGCCACGCTGGAAACTCGCTTTCGCCCAGCAGGAGGCGGTTTCCCGGCTGGGCGGCCACCCGCCTGCCAGGGTCCTTCCCCTTCGTGGGGACTTGGACCAGCAGGGCCCGCACTTCCCACGTCTCGGGGTGACGGGCAGGGCGTCCCGCATCCCAGCAAGGTCCCCCGGTTGTCTGGGAGGTCAGACCCAGGGGAAGGGACGGCGATTTTTCGAGACCGGGCGAGGCGGCGGAGTGGAGAAGGGAAAGGAGGAAGGCCCCCAGGGGCTGCGGAGGCGGCCTGGGGCTCCGGGGGCCGGAAACACCCCAGGGGGTGACAGGAGCGTCCCCGCGAAGGCGAGTTCGGGAACTGGGAGAGACTCCGGGGCCGGAACGCAGAGACAGGAAGCGACGCGGGAGCAGGCCGGGGAGGTGGGGCGGTCGGGAGGAGTCTGGGAGCGGGCCTGGGAAGAGCGAGGGGAAGCGGGGCGCGGCCGGCGAGGGGAGGCCGGGGAAGGGGCGCCGCGGCCCGGGGGTCCCTACCCAAGGGGGCCCGCCCCCGCCCAGCTCCGCGCCCGCCCTCTCCCTGGCCTAGACCCGCGGCCCCGGGCAGCCCGCCCCGACCCTCCCGGCCTCACCGCCCCCACGGCCTCCTGCAGCAGCGCCCCGAGCCGGCTCAGCATGATGGCGTCAGGCCCCCCGGCTCCCTCGGCGGAGGGAGGCGGCGGCGACGCTCTCGGCGGAGGCGGCGGCCCGGTGGCCTCGGCGGCCCCGGCGTGGCGAGGGAGGCGGGACCAGGCCGCTCCGCCCCTTCTCGTTCCAGCTGCGTGGCGCTGGCTGAGCCGGGCTCAAGGCGCCCCGCGGGGGCGGGGTCCGCCTGCAGAGGGCCCTGAGAATCGGCCGAGGTTTTCTCTTTTTTCCCTTTCCAGACAGGGTCTCTCTCGGTGGCCCAGGCAGGAGTGCGGTAGCGCGATCTCGGCTCATTGCAGCCTCCAACTCTTGGGCTCAAGCGATCCTCCAACCCCGGCCTCCCAAGTAGGTGGGACTCCAGGCGCAGGCCACCACCCTGGGGAGGTCTCACTACCTTGCCTAGGCTGAACTCGAACTCCTGGCCTCAAGCGACCCTCCCGCCAGGGTCTCCTGAGTAGCTGGGATTACAGGCGGGAGCTAAGGGAGGTGTTTTCCATGAGGAATTATAATTCCTCCTGAATTGAAGTCTAAGGCAGCCCCAGCCACATGGGCTGATGAGCTGATATGTGCTGGTCCCAACCAAAATGTGCAGTGTCAGGCACACCCCGATTTGGAAGATAAGGTAAGAAAGGAAACAACGTGAAACTGCACTAACCATGGCTTATATTGATTACATATTAAAATGACTATTAGGTGTGTTGGGTTGAAGTATGTTGTTCAAATTAATTTCACGTGTTGCTTTTTACGGTTTTGAAATGGCAGTCAAAATTGATTAATATTGATGTTGAAGTCTCCCACTATTATTGTGTGGGAGGCAAGAACAGACAATATAGAGAGGAATATAAATGAATTAATGGAGTTGAAAAACACAACATGAGAACTTAGCAAAATATGCACAAGTTTTAATAGCCGAATTGATCAAGCAGAAGAAAGGATATCAGAGGTCGAAGACCAACTGAATGAAATAAAACGAGAAGACAAGAATAGAGAAAAAAGGATAAAAAGGAATGAGCAAAATCTCCAAGAAATATGGGACTATGTGAAAAGACCTAATTTACGTTTGATAGGTGTACCTGAATGTGATGGAGAGAACGTCACAAGCTGGAAAATAACTCTTTAGGATATTATTCAGGAAAACTTTCCCAACCTAGCAAAGCCGGACAATATTCAACCCCAGGTAATATAGAGAACATTACAAAGATATTCCTCAAGAAGAGCAACCCCAAGGCACATAATCGTTAGATTCACCAGGGTTGAAATGAAGGAGAAAATACTAAGGGCAGCCAGAGAGAAAGGTCAGGTTACCCACAAAGGGAAGCCTATCAGACTCACAGCAGATCTCTCAGCAGAAACCCTACAAGCCAGAAGATAGTGGGGGCAAATATTCAACATCCTTAAAGAACAGAACTTTCAGCCCAGAATTTCATATCCAGCCAAACTACGCTTCACAACTGAAGGAAAAAGAAAATCTTTTATGAACAAGCAAGTACTCAGAGATTTTATTACCACCAGGTCTGCTTTACAAAAGCTTCTGAAAGAAGCATTACACATAGAAAGGAACAACCAGTATTAGCCTTTCTAAAAATATATCAAAAAGTAAAGAGCATCAACATAATAAGAATTTACATCAACAAATGGACAAAACAGCCAGTTAACATCAAGTGGCAGTAATCCTAAATTTAAATCGACTAAATCCCCCAATCAAAAGATACAGCCAAAACCCATCAGTATGCTACATCCAGACCCATTTCACATGCAAGGATACACAAAGACTCCAAACAAAGGGATGGAGAAAGATTTACCAACCAAATGGAGAGCAAAAATAAATAAATAAATAAATAAAAAGCAGGAGTTGCAATTCTCGCATCTGATAAAATAGATTTTAAAGCAACAAAGATATAGTGGTAAAAGGATCAATGCAATAATAAGCGCTAATGATTCTAACACCCAGATACATAAGACCTATAAAGAGACTTAGACTCCCTAGACACCCACACAATAATAGTGGGAGACTTCAACATCAATATTAGATAGATCAACGAGACAGAAAATTAATAAGGATATCCAGGACTTGAACTCAGATCCGGAACAAGTAAACTTAATAAACATTTATAGAGCTCTCCACTTTAATGGAGATAAAATACAATGGAAATAAATACACAAAATATACATTCTTGTCAGTACCACATCACACCTACTCATAGGTTTAAATGAAATATTGTTCGGCCATTATTATTAAGCACAATTATTGGCATAAAAGAAGTTTTCAATACACATTTTTAGCATAAAGCAACATTCCCGTTCTCTCTCCCTCTTTTTCTTCCTCTTTCTTCCTTTCCTTCACTCCTTTTTTTTTCTTTCTTTCCTTCTCTCCTTTCTTTAAAAAAAAAACTTATTATTTTTTTAAATATTAGTAGAGATGGGTTTTCACCATGTTGGCCAGGCTGGTCTCAAACTCCTGACCTCAGGTGATCTACCTGCCTTGGCCTCCCAAAGTGCTTAGGATTACAGGTGTGAGCCACTGCGCCCAGCCTTAGTGTTTTTGTTTTTTTTTTTTAATTTTTTATTTCTATAGGTTATTGGGGAACAGGTGGTATTTGGTTCCATAAGTTCTTTACTGATTTGTGAGATTTTGGTGTACCCATGTATATATACACTGAATCCAATTTGTAGTCTTTTATCCCTTGCCCTTTTCCCACCCTTTCCCCCTCAGTCCCCCTGAGTCCCCAGAGTCCATCGTGGTTTTTTGTTTTTTTGTGACAGAGTCTGGCTCTGTCACCCAGGCTGGAGTGAAGTGGTACGATCTCAGCCCACTGCAACGTTCACCTCCCAGGTTCAAGTGATTCTTGTGCCTCAGCCTCCTGAGTAGCTGAGATTACAGGTGTGTGCCACCATGCCCAGCTAATTTTTTGTATTTTTAGTAGACACGAGGTTTTGCCATGTTGGCCAGGCTGGTCTTGAACTCCTGAGCTTGGTCAAACCTCCTGCCTCGGCCTCCCAGAGTGCTAGGATTACAGGTGTGAGCCACTGTGCCTGGTCCATTATGACAATCTTATGCCTTTGTATCCTCATAGTTTAGCTCCCACTTACAAGTGAGAACATGCGAAGTTTGGTTTTCCATTCCTGAGTTACTTCACTTAGAATAATAGTCTCCAGTTTCATCAAGGTTGCTGCGAATACCATACATTCGTTCCTTTTTACGGCTGAGTAGTATTCCATCATAGACATGCTCTAAATTCTCATGAACTGAAAATCCTTTAGGACCTAGGGTCAAACCTGCCCCTACCACATACATTTCCCAAACCCTGTCCCCAGCACCCCTTAGGGTTCAATGACCTTGACATTTTCCCAAACAGCCTGGGAGCTCTTTGTGGACAAGGGGCAATGCCAACCTCATCAGCTGTGTTCCCCATGCCCAGAGCAGGGTAAGCCCCCAGCATTTTCTGAATGCTTAGTATCGGGTATGCGTGCAGAGACCTTCTCTCTCTCTCTGCAGCTTCTAGTCTGCCCTCCTCTGCTTCCCCTTCACTGACCACGGGACCTATTGGGAAGACCCTGGAAAGCTGAATGCCATCTCCATTCTCCACTCATTTTGTTACTGTGCCTCTGGGCTTCAGAAGAAATGTCTCTGTCCCAGCATTTCTCCTTTGCTAAGAAGATGACAGTGGTCTGCCCTGTTGCCCTCATAGGTTTGCTGACGGATGTAATGATGTGGATGCAGCAGACTCCTACGATGTAAAACAATCCCTCACACATGAGGGATTCTCACCCACTTTGCTAGGAACTCAACTCGAGGACTCAGGCCAGGCCCCAGCTCCAGTCTCAGGTTCATAAGTTGGGCACCCTCCAACTCACCTGGTCCCTCTGAGCACAGGCCTCTTCCTGTCCTCCAGCCAGGTGAGGCCGGCCCCTCCCCACGTAAGCACACACCTGCAGGCAGTCGTCCGCCTTGTCTTTCACTCAGGTCTGCAGCCTCTCTCCCACCCCCAACCCACAACCCAAAATTCCCTGTCTATTCCCCCTGGGAGGCCTTGCCAAATCAACCAAGACCAGATTCCTATCTTCCCCTTCTGGCCTCCCCTTGACTCATCCTCCAGCTGCCATTTCTCCATTCCTTAGTTTCTCCTGCCTAATTCTTGGCAATCCACTCACCGTACATTCACACCCCGCTGACCTTTTCTGTGTGTCTGGCCTCCCCATTGGACTGTGAGTCCCCTGCCTCTTGGGAGGAGCGATCATGTCCAATGTTGAGCCTGGGCACCAAGGCAAGCACGTCAGACCTTGGTGGAGGGCTAGGGCTGTCTTTCCTCTCATCCTGTTCTCTACTGGCTCCTCTCTGAGATGTGAGTTCCCTCTGGCCCCAAACACAAGGGTTCCTGCCCCCATCACAGAGTCCGTGAAGGAGAGGCAGACATGCCCCTACCTAGACAGCTGCTCCTTCTGCAGCCTGGGCTTGGGGGAAGAATATTGTGCAACTGCCTCTCCTTCCCTCCAACCCTGTGTGGCCTCTGCATTTGAACCCTGGCTCCCAGGGCTTCCCTAAGCCTGATATTGATTGCCCCATTCACCCAGATCTGGTGGCTCATAAGAAACAGACGGATGTAGGGACCCAATGCAACCTTTTAATTCCAAGCAGAGTCCCCCTCCCCCAGCATGGTCACACACACAGTGGAAAGGGATGCCAGAGTCTGGGCAAGAGCAACACCCAGACCTGGGCAAAAATATAGATATCATTATATACACATGTGGACTGGAGAGAAGTCAAGCTGGGGGTGTGAGTAAGGTAGGGCAGGGGCAGATGAGGAAAGCAGCTGGGGGGCCCCAATAAATTACATTCTTGAGAGAGCATAGTGTGGGGGTGCATGGGTGTGGGTGACAGCTGATAGTCAGAACACTCCAAAATGTGCCAGGCCTGGCCTCTGGACCCCATCCAAGAGAGGCAGAAGACCCAGCTTCAGCCCGGTGCCTGGTTTCCACTACATGGCCCAGAGGTGGGTGGAGAGCCACGGTTGTGTGTAGGCAGCTTCTCCTCCCTAAGCTGAGGCTTCTAGGGAAGCCGCAGGGCTGGGGCAAGAGGCATCGAAGCTCAGGGATTGCAAGAGGAGGTCAGGGCAAGCTGAAGGAGTGGGGGTAACCTCCC